TGAAAATAATATCAAACAACATCAACCATTGTATGCATAATAATAATGAAACTGGCAAAAGTCATAATTTTTGGTTCCTTTTTCCTTCTTCAATTGTTTCCTTCAAATTATTAAATCATTTAATAGCCAAGGTTTGTCAAGTGCAATCAATTGATATGGAAATGACGAGTAAAAGTGGACTGATATTGCATCCAGCGAATTTAGTTGACAAATTAATCGATTAAATTGCTTGAAATTGAACTAGTCATTTGCAGGTTTACCATGAGTTGTGTTTACTTTCAGTCTAAATTGTCTTTATTGTATAATATATCTGTGCGAATCAGTTAAGATGAGTTAATTGTTGGTACAAGAGGTTGGATTGAAGGGAGAAAGGTTTGTTGTTTTGGAACAAGAAAAATGTCTTCAAGATGAAAATGAAGAGGAAGAAGATGCGAAAAGGTTGTAACTAGTAAACAAGAATGTCTTGAAGTTGGCATCTCATCACATATCATGAACAAGAAGAAGATGAAGAAAAGTTGAATGTTATCATTGAAAGTTTACATGTTGCCTGATTGTCCAGAGTCTAGAAGAAGAGAGTCAAAAATCGTTTGGTAAACTTGCTTGTTCCGAGCTCATCAATTGTTCAGAAAAGTGTAATAAGTTGATCAAGTTGAAGCGAGCAAGAAACAAACCAAGCAAATTACAATATAATATTACTTTAACAATTCCCTTGTCTTTTCAGTCTTTTTTCTGTTCAAGTGCAGGGTTGACGTTGAAAGGTTGGAAAATGAAAGAAGCTAAAAAAGGTTAAGCTAATTATGCATGTCATTGGACAACAATTGACAGGAAAGTTTTACATATCTAAATGTATCTCCAAGTCGTGAGGCTGTTATTGTTGGAGAGCAGTCGATAACTTTTTTTGTCCCTCAATTTTGATGGATACTTGTAAGATGAAAATGAATGCGATCATCAATCAAATTATTTTTACCAGTGTTGAGTTGCTTTTATTTCTGTTACTATCTTTGGCTACTAGAACTAGCAACTTTTTCTTCCTTGGATGGAGACACAATTTACGAACAAATGAAAACCTTCACACAATCCAATAACGTGAACTGAAAGAGAAAATATCTTGTTATGAATCATGATAATGAGTTGGTTTTTTCTGCCTTCTTTGCCTTCTCCTGCACCTTGACAAACATTTGCTGGCCTCATAATGAAGATCTCATTAATGAGATGCTATTCAATTTGCTCATTGATTCCTTATTGGTAACCAGAAGAAAGAAAACAAAATACCAAACAAAAAAGGATAATAATGGTAAAGATGAAAGTTCATAATTATCTCAATGAATCATTTATTTCAACTTCATATTCATTCTGTCAAAGCTTGATGTATAACTGAGATCTTTTGTGGTTCATTTACAAGTTGATCCATTTTCAATGCAAATTGATGCTAAGAGGAAGCCCTTTTAGGTCGACTTAATCCTTCAACATAACCATTCTCACACGTAACAAATCAGCTTATAAATTGTTAATGAAACACAAATTTTCTGTAATTTCGACGAACTGAGACTAGATATTACTCGGGCGATCCATAGAAAGACTGAAATGTCCATATTTCTCCAAACCCTGTTCAAACGTTCTCAGTGATCTGATTTCTGATTTAGCTCTGACTACTTCTGGAACTGCAGTCACGGCTTTGGTGCAAAATTTTTATTGGAACTCTCTGTTTGGACACAATTTTGCCACAAAATTTAATGATTTGACTTTATTTATTGTATGATGGAATGAAATTAAAGGTGAAAACATTTTCTTTATTCTCAATCTGAACTGAATAGAAAAGAAAAATTTGAAATAAAAAGCTTTATTCCATGTTGTATAACTTTTCACTTTGAACTCTTTCAGACTTTGAACAAAAAAATGTAATCTGAAAAGTGTATTTTTATTGCACTCAAGTGAGTCTTGATTGTCAAATGGTTTTCACCATTTTTAGACAATAATATACGATGAAAAAATGAAACATGAAAAAGAGTCAAATGCCTGAAAAGTGTATTTGACCTGTCAATTTGTCGTTTCCTTGATCTGATTAAATTGACAGTAAATCATTGAGCTAATGTAATACCATTTCTCAAGTTATCCAACCAATAACACTTTTGTGATAAAATTTACTCTAAAAATAGAATAAAATTGAATTCGTTGATTAACCAGACACTAATGAGTAATAAAAAGATTCCCTTCATAAAGAGAGCGACTTCTAATCGTAAAACTTGAATAAGCTCTACTGGGAGGCAAAATTCACTCCCAGAAGAATATCAAAGAAATGAATTTCTTTTTGTAATTCTATGCATTAACTCATTACTAATCAGATAATGAACTGATTGAATAAAGTAATTAATGAACCTTCAAGTCAAGATTAAAAAATTCTTAGTCAATAAAAGTCAAAGTTGAAGAATTTCAAAAAAAGTTCATCGAAGTCTACAGAGTTGAATATATAAATCAGAATGAAAATGAGCAACGAATAGCAGAAAATTATGAAAAAATTCATAGTTGGCTGAAACATTGAGAGAATTTAGAATTTCGTTAGAAAATTCATTGAACTTTTCAGCATTGAGCCAAGAGTTTGAAACTTGAGGTAAAAAAATCAGAATGGAAATTGAAACGAAAAATGAATCTTCTTTTTTTATCTGATTAGTTCTAAATGCTTTTTATATCCATTGAATAAGTTGACATTCACATGAGCTTTCAATTAAAAACCTTTTTTCTATCATCATTTCCATGATTTCCATGACAAACATTTTCCCTCAAGAGATTTCTCAATTTTCTGAATCCCATGAATTTCTTATTAATTTAACTTTCATCTTACTTATCACTTAACTTCATAAGGCCAAAAGTTTTTTTACATAAAACTTTATAAACTATTAATAACTTGGAATGAAAAGTTTTTTTCTTCCGTTTCCCACGAAAAACACTGTTGATCAGTTGTTGGATGAAATTCTCATGATAATTTGTGTGAAAATTCTTTTGATAACTTTATCCATTAACAATAATTCGATAACTTTAGGTACCACTTAATTTCTGTAACATCTAAATGGATATCAATAATGGCAGTGGATCATTATTGATAATTATTTCTCTGTGCATTCCACTGTTCAATCCAATCAAAAACAGCCAATTCTCCTGAGCAATTCATTCCATATTAACACCATTATCAGAATTGATATCCATTCAACTTTTCACACCTCAAAAATTTGTAAATATCAATTATTCCAATCATCACCAAACACAAGTCGTGATCAAAATAACGAGCAAAATCATGTCAACAGAAGTCAAAACGCACGAGTTCAGAAAACTCGAAAACATAAATTTCTTTCACAGATCGAACTCAAACTTACCAAAGAAAAACTTTTCTCGATAAATCTGAGAAACTTGAGAATATCAATTTCTTTTGCAAATCGAACTGAAAGTTACTGAAGAACGATTTTGCTGTTCTTGAATGTTGAATGTATTATATGTTGATGAATCTTGAATGAATCTGGACTTGTCCATGGATATCAAGCATTGTATGTGACGAAAAGTGTAAAATGAAGATTTATCTCTTTTGTCTGGAGTTTACTTTGAGTTGTTATTGTTGGTCAAAATCGTTTTTTTGTATCTTTTTAGAAGACCTTAAGGTCTCACAGGAATATTGGTTATTATAGTGCCAATAGTCAGTTCGTTGGTAATAAGCTTTAAGCTGATTTTCGTCTTAACTTTACGTTTCCATCAAAACCAAAAGTTGATCTGATTCTTCATCTAATGAATCACTTTGTACATTCATTTTTGCCTGTTATTACCATCATTTTTATTATAGTGTCTTATTGTTGTACTTAACAATTGAAGAGCACAAATAAAAGTACAAATAATGATAACAATAATAAAGGATAACAAACAAAGCATAACACTTTGACTTGTTGTTAATCAAAAAAATATCAGCTCAAGCACGTTTAATATTGAATTAACCTTTAGTTGTTGAGTTAAATAACTTGAAGCAAGTTTTCACCTTTTTTCACATTTCTTAATATCATTCCATACAATTTATTATCATTATACAACATTGAGAAAAGTTGAAAAAAGTAAAATGAAAAGCACAAAAACTCGACTGGTAATGAAAGATAATATTGTTTTACAAGTAATTATCCTTGGGCCATTTCAGGATAACTCGGAATAGTAAAGATTTTCCTATCAAATGTCGAGAAATATTTTCTCAAAGTAAATTTGCAAAAACAGTATCGAATGATCAGTTCGAAAATGAAAGTTTCGCTTAAATTGAACGAAACAAAATCGTCAGTAAAACAAGTTTCAGAATTGTCTCAACTCTTGTGACCTTTTCCAATGAGAATATTATTTTCTCGAAAAAAAAACTTGAAACAATATTCTTTTGCTTTTACAACGAATAATGTACAAAAGGAAAATAAATTACTTTTAATCAGAATCGACAAATTGAAATGAAATTCTCATGATAAATTTGAAATTTGATTCTTTTCATTCCATTCAAAATATTTGAAACAAAAGAGTTGAAAAGGTTTGGAAATTTCGTAAAAATAGAAAAGTAAATTTGATTATTGCGATTATTGAAGTTATCAAAGATCATGGAAATTGATTTCGTTGTTGTTTCGATTCGTTTGCATTCAGTTTTGAAACATGAATTCAAAGTTTTGCGAAGATTGAAATTCTAATGAAAAGCCATTTTCTTGCAATCAACATTTTCCACCAATTTGTTGGTTTCAATTGTTATCGCACTTTTCACTTGAAAATTGGTCATCAAACTAAATAAATTACGTTAATAGTAAGAAAATTTTGTTGCTTCAACTTTTCGCCTTGTTTTCCTTTACGATTATTGCCATCTTATTATTATTTTATATGGAAACGGAGAAGCAAAAAACAAGTGATTATCTGTTTTGTTTTCTCAGTCTAAACATCATTTCGTTATTACTTTTCTGTTATTTCACTTTTTTTATATATTATTGTTGCTTTCCATTGTACAGGAGATTCTGATAAAAAACTTCCAGTAATGGTATTTATTCATGGTGAATCGTACAATTGGGGATCTGGTAATACTTATGAGGGAACCATTTTAGCTGCCTATGGGAACATTGTTGTGGTAACTCTTAATTATCGTCTTGGATTATTTGGTAAGTAATTTAGTGATCAAACCATTATTTTTTATTAAAACGTTCATCATTAATGTCTTTTTTCTTCCCTTCTATTAAATATCATCTTTTCTCGTTCAACCCATTCACATGATAGTTCAGTTTTAACTTGTTTTTACTTCTGCTCTATAACATTTCAGTCCATTTCTCCGTTCGACTTTGCAAACAGTAGAATCAATGGTTTTTGCACAGAAAACATTGAAAGGACTTCTTAGAACTCTATTAAAGTAACGAAGAGAAAGATTGGTTCGATCCTCTTTGCAATGCGAATGTACATTTCGCAAACCTAAAACATGAAGATAGAAGTCTTTACGCTGTTTGGGCTAATTAGTAGTCAAGTTATGCAAATGTAACAGATTTGTGTCAATTTTTCGCAATTTGTTTCTTAACAGATTTGTGTCAATTTTTCGCAATTTGTTTCTTAACTGGAGTGTAAATTGATCCTAAAGAAATCGGTAAAAGCACGAATAAGCGTAAAAACTGGTTGAAAAGTCCAGTATATTTGAAGCTTTTGAGTGAGCTGACGTTTCATTCGGAAAATTTTGTTGGAAAACGTTTTCCAACAAAATTTTCCAACAAACAACAACAACAACAAACATTTGTTTGTTTTACAACAAACATTTCAAACTTAGAGTACTCTAAGTTTGATTCATTCTTGGATTGCAGTTATAATTGTTTCTAACTTTCTGTTAGCAACTGCATTTTGCAGTTGAATAGTGAATATTGATGATGATATTGATGCAGTAAAACACGAGTATAAGCTCAGGTTATTTGTTACCATTCAATAATAGTCGAGTTTCTGCAATATTCAAGGGAAAAGGAATCAATTGAAACTGCGATTAAGCTGAATGATTATAATAATAATGATTTCTTATTGATCCATCTTAAGGTTTCCTTCCAACCATAATTGATGGTAATACTCGAGGTAATCATGGTCTAATGGACATCATTGCTGCTCTCCATTGGATCCACGATAATATCAAAGAGATTGGTGGAGACGAAAAGAATGTCACTTTGGTTGGACACAGTCGAGGTGCCGCTTTCGTCAATCTATTAATGATATCACCAATGAGCCAAGGTAACGCATTTGTAATACACAAATAAAAAGTCAAGCTTTGAGAAGAAGAAGAAGCGAGAAAATCGAAAAAGTTGTTAAAGAAAAGTTGAAACTCATGATTTTCAATACTAAACAAAAGACCAACCAAGAAAGGAAAGAAAAACTCATAAACATGGTCATTTTCATGAGATTATTTTCCCTTTGTGAGTGAAAAAGATTGCCATGAAAAAGAGAATTGAATTATTCTGAGAAAATTTCATTAATCTTGTTTTCTTTCAACAATTCATAACAAAAATGAAAAGTGTTCAGTGATGAGTAACAATGAAACGCTTTTTTGGTCTTTTGTCATGCCAATGAAAACACTATGAAATTAAAAGTTGGCACAATAATAGCAAGTCGATCATTATTCAAAAGAATCCAACTTCAACAACCTTTCACCTTAATTATCATGTTAACCAATCGAGCTGATCATCGAAAATCAATATCTTTCAGAAAGTCTTTCATTTGCCAAATGTCAGATGTAAGTTCAAAGTGTTCAACAATAAACAGTCGAAACAATTAACTTTGAAATTTTCTTTTACACTCAATTCCATAAAATGATAACTGGCAATGAAATTCATGTTTATCGATTGTCTATCATTGTCCTGAAAAGAAAAACGTTTTTTGTTTCACTCCATGTTAGACTTAAATATGTTTACTTTATATTTTGCTTTTCACAATTGAATTTCATGAGAAAGAAAAATCTTTCAGAACTTTCAATTCTTTCATATCGTTTCTCGATCCTTTCAAACTGCAGATAAGTTTCAAGATGATAATCATGAAGAAAAGGTATTAACTGAAAGAGCAAAAAGATTGCAAAATTGCTATTCAATTTCGCCATCAATTTCAAGCTTAAATATACAATTTACTGTAATCGTGAAAAATGAACATTGAAAATGATTCGATTCTACTCATTTCCATGTTCTTTTCAACTTCCATGTTCATGATATACTCTTGATAAAGGCAATGATGAGTCAATTAGAAAACTCGAGTTGAACGATGGAACAGATTAGCTGAATTCGCACCACTTTTTCGTCAAAAGGTTCACTCGAAGAATGTATTTTTGAATGAAACTTTTGGTTTTAATTTTTCATCGTTTTGTTTCCTTTCCTTTAGGTTTGTTTGATAAAGTTATCCTGATGAGTGGCTCAGCGTTGAGTTCATGGGCAATCTCTCATAGAATTGAAGATTATGCAAAATATTTATCGAAAGCTGTTAACTGTCCCAATTATGACAACATTTTAATGGTCGATTGTCTTCGAACCAAATCAATGGTTGAATTGTTAAAGGTTGATCTGGAAGAAGATGATGACTTTTATCTTTCTGGTTTTGGTCCCATCATTGATGGCCTTGTGGTTCCGTCTGATCCTCGGTTGGTCATGGAATCAGTAAATAGTTCATCTTCAATTAACTCAATTTTAGCCAACATCAAGAAAGCCTCTTCATCTTCATTCTCTCATTATTCCCATAACTCTGTTAATACAAATATCCATTCTAATGGTGCCGGTAACAACAATAATAATGGTAATAATAACGATAATAATGTAAATAGCAATATGAAACAAAATGCCTTTGGAGGTAACAAACCTTACCAATTAATGTTTGGTGTTACCAGAGTAGAAGCTCCTATTTTATTTAATAAAGATGAAGAGAAACAAGGAATTGATTTGGATAAAAGAGATTCCATTTTACGAACTCTTGTACGAAATATGGTTAATTATTATCAAGAGGTAATTACAATTAACATTTATATTGAATTAATTACTAACAGTGAAAATGCATATTGAAACATGCAATATTGGTTCTAGTTTTGGTTTTGGGTTTTGTTTTGGTTTTTGGGTTTGGTTGTTTGTTTTCGGGTTTTTGGTTTTTGATTTTTGGTTTAACATTAATTTTTGCGTTGAAATTGAATGTTGATTGGTATTATTTTAATTTGGCTTTTCTTGCGTCAATGTTTTCCTTTTTATTGAATATTGTTTTTTGTTGCTTCACTTGCCTTTAGGTTATTTCATTAACTCTTATTAATGAATATACTGATTGGAGTGTTCCTTCTGAGCATCCAATTAATATTTTGGATTCCCTTATTGATATTCTTGGTGACGCTTTGGTTGTTGCCCCGATAACCCGAGCTGCCTCATTGCATTACAAGAAACTTCAATCGCAATTGCAGCGGATCAAAGGAAATGATAAAACAATCAAGATTGAAGCGCCTTCAATTTATTCATATGTTTTTGTCTACCAAGTAAGTATTGTTTCAATGCTGTCTTTGCATATAAGTTTGAGACTTGAACTCGTTTCTACGAGAGTAATGATCGCTTGTTTAATCTCTTTATTGTCATAGTCTGAAAGCTATGGTTATTCAGCTCGATTGGGTTGTGTACATGGCGATGAGCTTCCATACCTGTTTGGTGCCCCACTTGCTCAACATTATTTATCCAAATCTTTAGGACACTTTCGCCTCAATTATAGCAAACCCGAGTTGATTCTATCTGAAATGACCATTAATCAATGGGTTAATTTTGTTAAATTTGGGTAAATATTCCAAACATTCATTCCTTTCTAATCAAAAATTGATTCACTAATAACCTTTCTTCGAACTCCAATTCACAAAGCAATCCAAATGGAATCAAAACACAATCAAAAGAGAAACTCGACAATCTAGTTTGGCCTGAATACGATACAATCCAAAGGAAATATTTGATGTTAGGTAAGCATTTAAACCCAATTCACCAACCAATCAACACCAAAAGATCGCTTAAAATGCATTCAAACTTTTCATGCAAAAAGCAAAATAACATCAATTGGAAATGCAAAGTTCACAGTTTATCGAAAGCTGTAATGAAGTCAAATGAATTTGCAGATAAACGAAAAACTTTTGTTCCATTTTTACCTTTACGTGAATGTGAAAGTTTACTTTGATTAGAAGCAAATTTGATTGAAGTTAATGAATTGGTTACAATTATTAATACAGTTATTATTATAGGATCTTTCACTGAATTGGTTGATTCAATGAATTAAAGGGAAAAGGGAAAAGTCATGATATGTGAAAGCTATTAATTCTGTTAAGAGTTTGGATGAAGGATGAGGATAGAGATGAAGATGAGGAAAGAGGGGAAGAAAAGTGAGTCTCGGAAATGTTTAGAATCAAATACTAAATAACAAATTGGTCTAATCAATTGCTGTCCAATGAATTGAGATCACTTAACCAGATTTTTTCTCTTCACTCGCCTCTTCTTCTGGTTCATCTTATTCCTTCCATTTCCACCTCTTTCCCTTCCCTCCTCCTCATCATCATCATCATTTTCTCCTTCGTCTTCCTTCTCTTCCCCATCTTCCTCCTTCCTCTTAATTCTTAACCTTTCACATGTTCCTCAATGTTGTAAGCAACTTTCCTTCGTCTTCCATTCATCTCATTTAGAGGCACTTTTCTTCCATTAAGAAGGCAAAACTTTGATTAAGATGGCTGATCCATGATAAATGGATACTCAACTTATGATTCAAAATGTTTCATTGAACAAACAAAGACACTTTTAGATGCCATTCAATTGGTTAAAAGGACAGTCACCGAATCTGTCTACTTTTTAAGTCACCCAGAATTTCAGTGATAATCAATAAAGCGCATTTGTATCTGACAAACCAGTCAAAACTTCAGCCTAAAGGTCGAGATGCAAAAAATAGAAAATCATCATTTTCCAGATTCCATCCAATAAAGATTAGAGATTCGAAAACAATGAACAATAATAAACTTTATCATTCATATTGCTTGAGTTCGCATGTTCCATTAATCAAGTTTATTCGCTCGAACTTTTGTTTCTATTAATGTCTTCCATTGATCTATTCTTAACCGACTATTTTTACATTTGAATCTGCTTCAAGTCTGGTTTATTTACTTTTCCTACTCATGATTATCAAGTTATAAATACATTGATGTTTGATCGAGGATTTAGGATAAGCAACAATTAAAGTTGAACAAATAACGAATAATCTTTTGGATATAAAATTGAAATAAAAATTTCGAGTCTTCTCTCGCAGAATCGCCGTCAGAAAAGATGTTTTTAGGTTTGTTGGTTTTACCATTCAAAGTATCCAAATGGCAAACCAGAAAATGTTAAACAAATGTCTTTCCTTTAATTTCATAATTTGTTTAAATATGCAAAACTTTAGATTAACATTTACAATTTTCATGTTGCCAGCATTCAAGTTCATGTTGTGTCCATCAAGCATTCAAAATTGATGAACCAACTAGTCAAGTTTACCCTAAGAATGACAATTTGCTAATTAACGAAACAAATGAGAACATTTAAATTTCTCATTTAACGTGAAAATTTAAAAGCGATCAACTGATGGGAAAAAAAGCATTATTTTAACCACCAAAGGTTCACCTCCATAAACTTTATCCTCCTCTTTTCACTCCCTGTAGTTGTTTATGGACAGCAAATGTTGAAAGGGAAGACAAAGAAGAAGATGAGGAAAAACAAGTTTCGGTTGTATTACACATTTCTTCATGATCATCATCCTGAACATCATCTTTCGCCATCTTCCTTTTCAGAATAAATGATGACTACTTTTCAATCGTTGTTCAATCCCGTTTTGTTTATAACTTATCACTCTTTTTTTTACTTGTTTTTCCTCTTTTTTTGTTTTCTCTTCTTCTTCTTCTTTTTTTTCTGTTCTTCTTTTCAATTCTCAGTTATATTTACATCATGATATCAATTGATTTTACTGTCGATTGTCTCCAAAATTTTCTCTTATTCCTTTTCCTTATCTTCTTCTTGCAACAACATAAATCGTTCTCAGAACATTTCCAATGGTAGAACTAAAAAGGAAATGTAATTGATTGTTTCCTTTGTCCCTTTAACTTATCACTGGACAATTCAACTTTATCTGTACGATAAATATATATACATTTGTTTCATGATATTCTCAATTCTACTTGAAAAATATTTTTCACTCCCAGCAACAATAACATTTGTTCAGTGCTCTTCGGGAGAAAACAGTAAAAAAAGGAAAAAAAGATTCAGCTTATTTCTTCAAGACTAAAGTCACCATTAAAGCCCCTTTCAATGTAATCAATCAACATTTGAATTCTGCAATCAATTCGCTCAACTTTATCATGGTTAAGTGTATTATAACAAAGACTTTCAGCCATTCATGATTCAATGAAACTCACAATTAACCTTAAAATAGCCGAGAAAAGTTTATCCAAAACTTGAAGTTTACCTTAAATATTATTTACCATTTCAATGATTGAAACAAAATCAGTTGACTTATTAAGATTAATATTTGCAGAGTTAGGAATTTGAATATTTTTACTTTTCTTTTTCACTGAATTTTCCTTTTTCCAATTCACAATCATTGAATAAGTGATTGAGTCTAATTTGCTAGTAAAATATTAACATGAAAAACTTTCAAGATAATATTCAGTTGGAATTAGATTATTTATAACAAAATAGTGTTTTGTGCTCAATGATAATGATAATACATTTTGTACATTTGGAGGGAAGAGGAAAAAAAGGCTGAAAAATATGGAAAAGAAAAGAAATGATATTTTTTGTTCTTTCTAATTCCATGCAATTCTGGAAAATACAAGCCATTAATTTCAATTTAAACGAAATTCTGAACACTTTTAACAAGAGAATATCAAAAAATGTAAAAATACTGATTAAAAGTTTACCTAATTTATTATCATCATTAACGAGACTCCAATTGGTGAAGCTTTTGCTAAGAGTTTCCAATCTTTTTTTACACCTAAAAATGAACAAATCTCAAGTTTTTAACCCTTTTCTCTCTTCTTTTATCATTTCCTTCCTTAACTTTTCTCAATTTTTCCTGTTTCCTGTTGCCTAAATGTCATCTTTACCATCATGATGGTTCAATTGCATTTGAAAATGAATTTAAATTTCACACTCATTAACTCGATCGATTTGAATCAATTGGAAATAAACATTTAGGAATGAAACCAAAGATTCGTGATCATTATCATAGCCATAGATTATCATTTTGGCTCAACTTGATTCCTAAATTGGAGCGTCATGCTAAGGATGAAACTGAACATTTAAAGCGTCACTCGCAAGATCAAGAAATGCTAGACAAGAATGGACAAGTTTCCGTCTTTGAACGAATCTCGCTCAAATTTCCATCCTCACTTCAATCGCTTGGAGGCCTTGCTGGGAGTAAGAAAAAGGATTCCCTGTCTTCGTCACCTTCACTGGTTACATCGGATAAAAGTGCCACTTCATCTGAACCCTTTGCTGGTTCCAACAACTTGGATCACCTTAAAGAGTCCAAAAGCTCCAGTTCGAACAATGAAAATGGTGACAACTTATTATCAAATCAGTCGACTGCATTCCAACATATAATTAACAATCGAACCATTTATTCAACCGCTCTTAGTCTAACAATAGCCATTGGGATTGTCTTGTTGACCATTAATGGGCTCATCTTTGGTGCCGTCTATTATTACATTAATAAACATCGAGTTGAAAAGAATGGTCAAAATGGTCGAAACAAATTTTCTCCTGTTCGCTATGTTGATATACAGTCGAGTCTGGAGGGGCCCTCGGCTTTACCTTCAAACTTAACCAGTGATCATCATTATGCAGGCTTTTGCTGTGAAAACCATCACCTTTGCCCGTTCACGGGTGACCCACAGACTCACCACCTAACCCCCTCCTCTTCATCCACAGCATCAGCACATCATCACCACCATTCACACCTTCATCGCACCGAGTCACATTCATCGCCCTTGCGGTCGCCACCTTCAAACGGTTGTCACCTTTCATCACCCACATCAACCCACGAGTCTCATGGGCATCACCTTCATCACTCCGGTTCACAACAAGCAACCTCATCGGGCTCATCTCACGTAACCCTTCAACCCTCAATCACTGTTGCCTCCTTGAATCCATCTTCAATGTCATCCTCGTTAACCTCATCAAACCAGGTTACATCAGCTTCTCAACAACAATTAACATCATCAGCTCATCAAGAATCAACGTCCAATTTAAATGATTCTTGTGAATCAAAATTAACCTGTCAATGTGATTCTTGTTACCATCAACAGTCCATCTGTGATAATGGTCACTGTCTTACAGTTATCCATGAATTTGATGAGCATCTTTGACATCAATTGATCAACAATTGTACAAACAATCAGTTAAACAGTTAAATAGTGCAAATAGAGGGAATAAAGTTCAATTTGATTCTCTCATGTTAATCAAATTCAAATTGTACAGATAGACAATTGAAACAAGATTGAAATAAACATGAAAATGAAAGGCTTTTTGGTTAATCAAAAAGTCCATTTCGTCCAAACGAGTTTTCATAGTTAAATTTGATCAACAAAAATGCAACTGTTTCCTCTTAATCAATTGTCAACACTCATCAAATCAAGTTGTTTAAATTCAACATTTTTCAATCAATAATTAATTTTTCATACATCAACAATGTTCACTTTTTAAACATTGTTTAATCATTTTGTATCTCATGTGCAATAAAATAATACATTAAAAACAATAGCAATTTATCAAGTTTAACCCAAATTATTTTCACAATTTAACATTTAATCGTTTAAACAAATAACAGAATAACAAATTAAATTCAAACGCGTAACAACTCATCATCAATCTAGCTTAAACATCGAGACAAAACAATTAAGTTCATTGATTAGCTTGAACAGTAACATTCAAGATCGCTTCGACTTGCAATTTTTTCTGGTTTTTTGGGTTTAATTTTTTAAATGTTTGCTTCTTCAAAGCATTTTTATACGGTTTTGAACACTTTTGAAATTACTCCATGAAATATTCATAACTTAAGAAGTAAACTCAGTAAATTCAGATTCAAATTACGAAACAAACATAAATAAAAACTAATTCAATTTAATCTGTAAATGTAATCAAAGAGTAAAGAAGGACTTCTTTACTCTTTGAATGTAATTGAAAATTTTTTCAACAATCAAGCGTAATTTATAGCAATCCTGGCTCCATCTCTTGGTACCGGTTGAAACAGAGGTAAATTTGAAATCTTTTCATACAAATGTTTGTTAACAAGACATTAACTTTAACATAACTTAATGGCTTCAAAATTAACTTTTAATTTATCCAATGAACTTGATTTGAGACCGATTTAGTAAAATTTTTATTGCAATATCAATTGACAATTTACTTGGCAATATCAATGGCAAAATTTGCTTGAAAAGTTGGGTTTGAATGGTCAGTTAGAATCAGTTTTTGTCGAGAATGAAACCTGTCCATGATTTTACTTTTGCTATAGTTTTTATTATTGTGTTTGATTCAGGTTAGAAAGTTCAATTGAATGAATTTAAATGAAATTTGTGGTCAAATTGAAGTTGATTTGAAAAACTTTCCAGGTTTATACCTGACTCCATCTCTCGGTGTTTAAGTAAAGGTTTTCTGAGACTGTGTAAGCTGATCATGTTTTGACCGCAACAACAAATAAACAAACACCTAAATAAAATTAATTATTACCATGATGAAACAATTTATTTGTGTTTAATTTGGTTAATTGAATGAAAAATTAGTTACTGTTTATCATTTTCATCAACACTTCACCATTAATCAATCAACTGGATTATAACTACCATTCAATCCGTTTCCCCTCAACTCTTGCTTTTTGTTTTGTTGCCTTTTCCCCTCAAGTTTGCTCCTCATCAGTTGATGGTTTCTCTTCATTTATGCCTTTTCCCTTCTCTCTCTTTCTATTTCTTGTCTGTTTTATGTTCATTTAGCTTGTCTTAGCAACTCTCTCTCTCACACACACACTCTCTTTCTTCCTTCCTTTCTCTCTCTTTCTCCCTCTCTTTCTCTCTTTCGCTAAAGGTGCTGTTATCATTGCTATTGCTGTTGCTGTTGTTAAGTTGATAGTTTGATTAAGGTTCTGTGCTGTTCAGTTTTACCCTTGCTTGTCGGTTTTGTATACACCAAGTGTTCATCACATTGCTTCTGAATAAACATATATAACGACCTTGATTGTGATCATAGTAAGGTAAGCTTGTTTAATTTAGCCTCTCTCATCAACTCTCATTCCTCTCACTATCATTTATTTTCAATTTAATTTAAATTCATACCTCTTTGGATCCAATCTTTTTCACCATCACTCACATCAACCATTATCATTATTATGACTAAAAAAATCAAATTCTAACTTGTATTTTTTCTCTTCCTTTTCTATCTTTTCATAGCACTGAAACAATTCAGATTGTTCAAAGATACTTGCTAATGGAAACGAAATTTCCACCAATCTCGACGATGGCCAGTTTTGTCGAGTTTTTTCAAAAAGGCAAAGTACGAAACAAGTACAGTAAAACTAACGTTAGTGATCCAAGCCCTCATCTTAATTTTTAATTCTCATTGCTATTCACTGCATTCTATCGCTTTTTTTCATTATGCTAACTATTAAATTTTTGGCTAACCGATTGATTACATCATTGTAAATAGCTTACCTGCCACCCCAAACATTTTAATGACGCCCTTGATAACATTGAACAAACTCCATTTTAGCATTAACCTTACTAACAAAATAATGTAATTTAATTTTATAACATCTCTATGATTAGTTAACTGAATCCTGTTTACTCAGCTTTTTGGTTTTATCCATGACTACAAAGTTAACCCTTATACAATATACCGTATCTTGTATCACAAATTGACCTTTCTAACTAAACCTTCAGCTGTTACTGGTCGTGATTAGTTTTGCATGTTTTTCTTGTCTTTATTTACTTTTGCTTTCAACTAACATTTAATGCAAATCAATTTACTGATTAATTCTAACACATTTTCACCCATTTCCATTGTTTTCTCTGCTCTTCAATTCATTTCTGGAACTCGTGTCAACATTTAAATACCCTTGTTGTTACTGTGTTTACCACTCATCTTCCAACGGATTGGACGTTAATAACTGACAAAAATGATGTTCGAATGTTTTGGGAAACAAAAATTGCAGACTTTTAGACCAAAAAAGAAATTCGAACCAGGAACTTTACGCTATTCATTACATAAACATGCCCAAGCATCTCTCAATTCTGGTATCAATTTGTATGAAGCTGTTAAATTACCTCCAGGAGAAAATCTTGCCGACTGGATAGCAGTTCATGTTGTTGACTTTTTCAACCGAATCAACCTTATTTATGGTACAATTACAGACTATTGTACAGAAGAGTCATGTCCAAGAATGTCGGGTGGTCCCAAGTAAGTGTGTGTTTTGGTTAACCTAACCTCACCATACCTTGAAAATGGAAGAGTTTGTCAAGTGAACTACAAGGAAAAATTTCAAGATCAAATTAGGAGAAAATCAGACAAGCGGAATACCAAAGTAGCTACAAATTGGCATCTTCAAACAAGAATTGGTGTTCTTCCTTTTGTTGTTGTTGTTTCGGATTCACACATTTTTCTTTGACATTCCATCATCACCTTGTTTACCTTATTCTCAACCCTTCCGTTGTTTGTCAACTAGATCAGCTTTTGACTTCTCTATCCTCGCTTGACTTTACACCAACAATTTCGCCATTAAATTTCTGGTCATCAAGTGAATCGATTAACCTTAGTGTAATGTTCTGTTAACCAGCACATTTCTTGGTCATGCATTCAAGTTTATCAACTGCTTCACCAGCTGAACTTTTCATGTAACCTGACAGCTTTCCTCATCTCTCTATCTCTATCTATCATTCTTTCTCTTTCTATTCTGACATTTGCGCCTCAATTTTATGATACATTTACTTTCTTTCAATTTTTACTCTCAATCCTTAAAATGTTACGGGAAACGGTAGGCTTTCTCATCTCTTCCTTCCTTCTTATTGATCCTCTTCATCCCTTTTTGGCTTCCTTCACACACTTTTTTGCCTCTTCATAATTTTGAGAGTCTTCATTGAGCCTATCTTTTGCAACCTCACCTTGAACTTGCACCAACTCAATCTTAAATATATAAATGTTTGAACCACACTCAGCCAACACTCAAACACAATCCAAAAGCCAAAAACTCAAGGCCAACTCATCAAACTACAAGCCAAAAAGTCTTACAGGAAGCTTAACAATAACATTAACTTTTTTTTCATTCAATCATCAAAAGCGTCATCATGAACATCAACAAATATGAGAGCAAATAGACACATCCACATTTACACACATATTAAGTATTATGGTCGATGAACCTTGAACTGATTACCGGAACATGATGTGAATCCCGAACAACAACAACAACAAAAAAGACAAAAGTGAACTAATTCGTTGTTTGTAATGATGAAAAAATGAGGATTCCTGATCCCGGAACCTCAATTCATACCTTGGCCATTAATATCCTTTAGTTTTCGTAAATTGCTTCCAATACTTTACCAATCTTTTGGGTCGTTATTGTGTCTCTCAAGTACTCTTTGTCACTATTGACACACAGTCATTCAATAATTGTTACAATCTCTTTTGACTTACTTTCTGATCAAGAGTTAATTTCATTATGACTTGCATTAATGAAAAAAATAGCTGAAAAATCATTACTTATAGCCCTAATTATTACTATCATTCACTCGCTTAATCGCCAATTAATAGTCTTTTTTATAACTAGTTTTACTATCAGTAAATTGTTTCTTCAGTTCCTTTTTTTCTAATCACAATTCAAACGCATTTCAATTGAAACCAGTTATCCAGCTTTTTCCATATCAACCAAACCAAACAATTTACCAGTGCAATCTGTTTCCCCTGTTGTTAGTTGATTTCACAGATAAATCTATTCATAGCTGGTTCCTTTCACAACCTTTCAACAGTTTCTCTCACGCACCTTTTGCTTTCCTTAATATATCTTCTCACAGGGAAAACAGAGGTTATGGTTAGAGCGACATATTGATGTGCAGAGAAGAAGAAAAAAAACAAAAACAAAATTTCATTATCAACCCAAATTCATTGGTGCCTATCAATAGGTAACTTGATTGTCAGTCATCTTTCACTCATTGCTTCAATCCTCTCCTTTTTTAGGTTTAAAATTCAACTAATGCTTTATCCAGCTTCATTACACCATTAGCAAACTCTTTGTTAGTAGAGGTAAATTCCCATGAAAACTGTTGAAACTCTTGATCTTTATGATGTAGTTATCAGTCTGTAAACCCAATTTAAGACTCTCATGAAATCTTGCTTCATCTAAATCATGTCTTACGCGTTACTGATGATCAACCTGTCTTCACTGTAATAATCAATGTTACTTATTTGTATTCAAACTTGTACTCTTTAATATCAAGTCTATCCTTGAGCCTCTTCACTTTTATTCACAAACAATATCCCATTCAACCCAATAATTAATTGATGCGTCTATTTTATCTAATTAATCATCTTTTTCTTCTGTCTTTTTGCTCTAGATTTGAATATCTTTGGGTTGATGGTAAAAAATACAAAAAACCAACTCCACTTCCAGCACCAAAATATGTCGGTTTCCTTATGGATTGGACTGAAGCTCAGATCAATAATGACGAAATATTTCCTGTTAAAACAGGTACAACACAATATTACAATAATGATTATCACCAAGCATCGTTATCACAATAACAATCCGTAATGCCGTAATTTTCCTGTTTCCTTAAATCTTTCAAGTCTTAATTACGAAAGGAACTAGACGAGGAACCATTTCTAGATCTTCGGAAATTCTTTCATTTCTTTTACGCATTCAATGATCATCTTCTTAACATCTAGTTCTGACCTTTAATTATCTCAGCTAATCAACAAAACCTAGAATCAGTATTTTCAAAGAGACGATTTCTCAGGATTAGTCTGTCATCCATTAGATTTTATTCATTCCTTTCGATAAACTTCATCAATATGCTTTTTTGGAGCTGAAATTGAACAACCTTTTGCTTCCTTAATTTACAGTTTCCTCTCTTTCTTTATCAATCAATTACTTTGAATAACTCGATTTGTATCCATTTCTTCCCCATTTTGATACATTCGAGTTGTGCTTTTCATTGATTAATTTCTGATTTATTTCTTATCATCATTAGTTTTTGTTCAATAAGAGCAAATTTACTCCAAAAAGCTGTTGAAAGCATCGAATTTCCTTATTCAATTTTTGTCAGACTTTCTTAGCATCTAATTGTATGAGAAAGACTCTTGATGATCATAATAGTGGTTTCAATATTAACCTTTCAATTGATTAATTTGAAGATTTCCTTAAAGCTCATCAACCTTTGTTTTATCAAAACTGATTGTCAAAAAGTTCAACACTTCTTTTCCTCTTCAACCAATTATCGGTTTTCAGACATTGATTGTAAACAAGCATAATTTTAACCACTTTTTCCTCCCAAATTATAGTGATTCAAGCAATCAAGCAAGGTTTGAGTTCCAAAGTTTTATCCATTTCTATCGTAGATGATACATTTTTGCTTTACTCATCATTGAAATGTTGTTATTTCATTACAACATCTTGATATTACAAATGATGATAATCAAGAAATGAAAGTATCAACAATTATATCAAATTGAGTGAGATTATGTTAATCTTTGATACACAAGTAAAAGTTAGTTTCTTTACCCTTCAGCAGATCCAGAAAATAAATGATAAACAAGGTTAACTGAAACTTTGTGTTGAGCATTTCAATTGCTGATTTACTTGATCATTGACTGGTGAAAAGCAATCATTAAAATATTAAACATTTATTGAATTTACAAATTACAACCTAAGGGTTTGATAATGACACACATAAGTTTAACCCGAGTTCAAATTTTCAACCTATTCTTGATTCTTTCCTTTGATTATTGTTTCTTCATTGTTAACCATGTTAATCTGATTATTGCAAAAACTAATTGCAAATCTAGGAAAAAATTGAAAATGGTAAACGTGAAATGGTTAAAAATAGCGTCAAAAATTTCCGAGTAATTTTTGCAAACCTTGAAAATTGTCTGTTAAAAACAGAAATCCTTCAAGTTAATTAATGCTAATTTACATTGTAATTTACACACCGTTAAACCATTTACCTATTGTTGTTGTCTCGACAGATCGACAGTTACAATCCTTTTGTCCGATGTAATTCTAATTATCTTTTTGTATTCTTTTTCTTTACAGATGTACCTTTTCCCAAAAATTTTGTCCCCACCTGTAAGAAAATATTGACTCGATTGTTCAGAGTTTTTGTCCATGTATATATCCACCATTTTGATCGATTGGTTGCAATTGGTGCTGAAGCTCACGTTAATACCTGTTATAAGCACTTCTATTATTTTGTCACGGAATTTGATTTGGTTTCTCATAAGGAATTTGAACCTTTGGTGGGTTAATATATCATCACTGAGTGCGAATAGATTTTTAATTCATTTTTCTTTCTTTCTCCCCTAAAATAGACTGAATTAACCCGGAGGATTTGTCATATACCACAAAGAAATTATGATAATCATCATCAAAGATAGATAAATACTCGTCCATAATTGGTGTATTTACTGTTGACCATCAACTTACATTGTAACTTCAGTCATCTTCACCAACTTTAATCATTGTAACTCATTGCTTTTCTGTTATTGGCTTTTTTCTGGATTCTTTTATCATAATTATGGTTAATCCATGATTAATCAGTAGACAGGAGATGCAATTAAATCAAGTCATCATCATCTTCATTTTCACTTTATAAGTCTTCACCTTTTCACTATGGATCACGATGTAAATCATTTACTTTCATCTTCGAGCACTTTTTTGTACTCTTCTTGCTGCCCTACATCTTCATCGGCACCAATAACGATGATAATTACCAGTAGTAATAATAACATTAATCAAATTGCCGATTCTCAATCTAATTGACTAAAATGGATTCATCAAAGAGTTGATTGCGATAAAAGGAGTGATTTATTGGCTGCTAAATTTTACCTTCTTACCTGACCAAACAAGATTTGAGAACGTTATTTACAAATCAAATTATCTTTCATGAATGATGAAATTTTTTGGTGAAACAATCATTTTGGGATTGAATCACGAGTAAAAATGTAAATTACAATCAACAATATGATTGTAATTATTTTGCAGCAAAAAATTTTGTTACCATCAGCTCATTTGAACATGTAATGATGTATGTACAATGTTCAAAGTGATATACAGTAGTGTTGGTCAACATCAAAATCAACTGAAACATTGATGCTAATTTAACAATTATAATTACAATTTTCCTGTACATACGAGCAAGCATGATAACAAAAATGAAATAATAATGAAACATTAAAAAATAGCTCAAATTGTAAATTATTTTAAGCTTTCCATTGATAATGAACAGTCAATTGTTGCACTTAACATTGTTCAATTTTCATGTTGTACATGAAAACCAGCAAAATTAGACTCTAAATCATCTTCAATTAATTCAACTTTTAATGCTCCATTTACTGGTTATTTACTAATTTTTGCCATCATAAATCAAATTTGACATTCTTTACTTGCTAACAATCTTCAAGCAACAAAATACCAATCAATTGAGGCCTCTGCTTAATTGTAATAGCTTGAAGCGTACATAATGCATAATGTATAACAAAACGCTGTATACCAATTGATCATCTGCAGTATCTTTTGATTACCATTATTTTAGTCTAATCTTGTTTATTAGTTGTTACCTGTACAGTCAACAATCAACCTTTAACATGTATTTTGACCAACTAACCAAGTCAACTGTTTGCTCTGTTTATTCCAGTTTCATTTACCTTTATTTAATATTCAGCTTTTTTGTTCAAATTCACTTGAATTTACTGATTACTATTAATGTTTTGTTTTTTGTCTGATTACAGTGAATTGTTTACAGTGAGCTTTGTCTCTTGAGTTATTAACAGTCGTTGACGTTGATTGTGACAAACCTTTTGTGACAATATTTTAGCTAACAAAACAATGTAAAAAAAATGCTAAACAATCATTAAAATGAATTGTTTGCAACTGACAAAGTATCATGAATTATGTGATTCAATTCAATCAATAAACTGAAGATTCATCACAATCTAAGCATTTGCAAGCAGAATCTTAATTATTGTCACTGGACTTGAATTTTTATCATGTCAAAGGCACAATATATTCAATGGAAAATTGATTTCATTCAGAAATGTGTTTTCAAATGCAAAGCCATGTACCAAAAATATTTCAACTATAAAAAATGATATTTTTCACCGTCAAAAGACAAGAATATTGATTTGAAATGATGAATCAATAAAATTTAAATGTAAAACATTAACATGAGTAACAATCATTATACTTAAAACAGCAGCAATCACCTTAATTGTTTGATTAAGTGAGTTGATGGAGCCTTGATATAATACTAGGAATAATAAAATTAGGGGAAAAGTGGCAAATCAGTCATTGGTTATTACTTACAGTCTTTTCATTTCTTGACTTATTTTTGCCGTTTACCCTCAACAATATTAATGATTTGTTTTTTGATGGATTCATTTTGTGTAACACAGTTTTCAATTTTTCATTTAATTTTCATTAATCCGTGTCTTAACCACTTCCATTAACTGTTAATTTGTGTATTTCTTAAATCATAATCAATCAATTGTTAATCAGTAAATATGCCCTCAGAAGATTCAAAGGCTTCTTCCCCTTTAACCAAGGAGCAAAAGAAACTGCTAATTGCTTACTTTTACATGAACTTTTGCGTTGGCGCCTCCAACTCTATTTTGGCTCCATTTTTTCCCAGAGAGGTGACAACTCACAGTTCATTTCTTTATGTTTCATTTTCAGCCATTTTTTAATTTTACTCAAACCTTACATCGCCATTAAACCATGAATTAACCCTAAATTTTTTCAATCAATTAAATTGTCTGTTTCAACATGTATTTCCATCCAGGCTGAGCTTAAAGGAGCAACACCAAGTCAGTATGGAATGATATTTTCCATTCAAGAAGTCATCTGTTTCTTTTTGTGTCCAGTTTTTGTTAAATTGGTGAGTTTATTCAACCAGTCCAATTATTATCCCATCTTATAGCTTATTATCTTGTCTCTACGTCTGTACACAGTTACCTGTTATCAATACTCGTTGGATGGTCATCGGCGGAGCAATCTTGGCTTCAATTAGTATCGTTTGCTTTGGGTAAGTTGAAAAATTCAGAACAAGATCTCTACATCAAAGGTTGCAATCTAAAATTCCCCTTTCACCCCATCTTCACTCATCTTGACAATACAGTCTTGAAATAATTCTTTAATCGTGTGTTTGATCAGTTTAAATTTCTCACAATCAAATAGTGATTATTGATTAAGTATTGGGAATTACCGAATTGATCACGGTAAACTTAGTTCACATTAAAATTGAAATTTAGCTTGAAAATGAGCTTAATTTAATTACATATAGATGAAACACACGGGAAAATGATAATTTGGAGCAATTAAAGAGAAATTGAATCAGGGCAAGCTCATCAATTAAGAGTTAATATTAGAAAAGTAAAATTTAGTTAAATAAAGTTATTGTGTTACTCTGAAAAATTTAATTGCTAACCTGTTTTCAATACAATGTAATTGATATCCATTAAAGATGATTTTGTAAACTTTTTCATGATCGATCTATTTCTGATGTTTCAATTTTATTTTTCAATTTCTAACTTTTTTCATTCTCAATCAATTATCAGATTATTAAAATGGTCACCCGCCGGACAAGGATTCATCATTCTGGCTTTCGTTATACGTTCAATATCGGCAATTGGAAGTTCAGCTTTGATTACTGGTAACTACTCAAGCATTCCAGTTCTATTCAATCATCATATGGCTCAAGCCTATGTAAGTCAGTGAAAAGATTCATTTGGCATTTGTTTTAGACTAATTTCCAACCTTCGCTTATATCCAGGGTACCTTTGAATTAGGACAAGGACTTGGTTCCATATTTGGTCCATTTATTGGTGGTCTTGTTTTCCAAGTAAATAATCTTGATGCACACTGATCACCTCTTAAATAATTCATCATTAATAGCTAACAATTAGTTATTTTACTCGATTTGTTAGTATACTGATTTCTCTGGCCCTTTTTTTGTGATGGCAGCTATGGAGTTGATCGCTGCGCTTATTATTTTCATTGTCCTTCCACCGGGCCCAAGTAAGAACTAAGCGTCGTATCACTATCATTACTAAATAATCTTAACTTTTTCACAGAGTACGATACAGATGCATCATCAGGAAGCAGCTTTAAATCAGTTTTGTCAAATTATTGGATATCATTGAACTTAGGAGTCAGTATCGTTGCTTGTATTTTTCTGGGTTTCAACGATTCTTCCCTCGAGCCTCATATAAGAGAAGTAATGAATAATTTTTTATGGATTAAATTAAACATTATAACTTATAAAGATTTTGATCTTTTTTACATCTTTAGGTAGCTAATTTATCGCCTTTCCAGACTGGATCCATTTTTCTTGCCAGTGGATTAACTTATGCAATATTTTCTCAACTATTTGGCTGGATAATTGATAAAATGAATGATCCAACATATCTATCATCATTCAGTTTGTTTTTATGTGCCTTCTCGATCGGGTTCTTAGGACCTTTACACGGCTTGCCCTTTAAAGCGTAATTTTTGTCTTTTTTCAAATTAAGATTCGCTAACAATTGATTATCAACTGTTCTCTATTAAATAGCAAACTTTGGACAATTGTTCTGTCTCAAGTCACTTTACATATTGGCTTGGCCATTGCATTTGTTGGGACTTTCGATGGAGCGATGAAAGCACACGGGTATGTTACTAAAAATTTACCAATCATAACAATATCAATACAAAATACTAACAATAAATGTAAATAATATTAATATAGAAACAAATAATACAAATCTTATTTGTTATTGCTACTTTTTCGGCAGCCGTAGTAAACACTGCGACGATCCTTTGATTCCTCGGACAATCAGCAGCATCTTTGTCGCTTTCTACTGTTTCGGGTATGTTTAATTTGAACTTCTCAATAATTGATTTGATATTCAAACTGCTGCCAAAAAATATTCAACTTCTTTCGTGTTTTCAAGAAAGATCATGAGTCTCAAAAATTTCATTTTTAATTACAAGAAATGGAGTTGGACCAGCTTTGGCTGGCTTTTTAGTGGAAAACATGGGTTACCAAAAAGCAAGTTGGCCACTTTTCTGTTTGGGAATTGTAACGGTAATAACCAGATATAATCGATTATATACATTTTTTATCTTCATCTGATTCAATTTATCTTTCAGGGAACAATCTTATGGATCTCGGCATTTACTGGTAAAAAGCATTATCCTGAATGGTCAGCCGAAACCAAAGAAGAAATGGCTTTCTTAAGACGAGTTTCAATCAACAAAAACACTCATGTTAAGTGTGTAACATTAAATACGATTGAGGAAAATGAATGAAATTTAACCAGATCAATCAAGACAAATAAAGATTGAATTCAATTTTTGAGGGAATCTCCCTACACATTGTATACAAATATTGGCTTTCATCGTCATCTTATCAGTTTTCAATTGTTTTTGTTCACTTTTTGTCATTTATTTTATAACAATAATCAAAATTTGCTAACAAAGTTCCAATCAAGTATAAATGATTCAATAGCGAAATAAAAATAAAAGAGAAACGTCATTCTCGAAACAAAAAATTCAGCTTTCAAGCTGACAATGCTTTCATCGGTTGAGAAAATTTTTCATAAAAATCAATAAGTTTTTGATTGTTTTTGTATGCTTGAAATAATTTGAGTTCAATTGGATTCTTTGTAAAATTGTCAATTTTTATTGTAGAAATAATTTGAGTTCAATTGGATTCTTTGTAAAATTGTCAATTTTTATTGTAGATGTAAATTTTGAGACTTCAATGCCAATCATTAGACGAAACATTAGCTGACAAATTGCCATAAAGTAGATGTTTTAAATCATTTCAGCCTTTTACAACTTTAAACTCAATTTAGTCGTAATCAAGATTTAATTTGACTGAAAAATTTAAAAGAGGCTGAGAGATTGAAAGGCTAATCAATTGAACTGTATTCACTTTTATAATTCTGGACATGTTGGACATGGTTGAGACCAAATTTGTGAGCTTGATGGCTTATCAGGATCCCTTTCATTTTTGCTGATTAAATTGTAATTACTTTTTGCTTTATTTTCATCATTAATCTTGTCTTTAATTAATAATTCAGGATCATTGGGAATGTTTTTTTGTTGCTGTTGCTTTTGTTTTGCGCTCTCAGATTGATTAACATTAGCATCATCATTATCCTCATCATCCTCACCATTATCATCATTAACATTTGTATTAAAATTATTACTTTTCATCATTATTTCTTCAACCGCCTCTTTCTTACCTTCCTCCGTCTTCCCTCTATCATCACCAACATAATCTAAACCAAATTCACTTTGATTATCATCATCTTGATGATTCATGGACTCATCATCTTCAACCTCATCATCGGAATCAACTGTTACATTAAAATCTTCACTCGCTGATGAAGGCATAATGAAAGGTGAATAACCACCAATTAGAGGATAAATTTGAGATGAACGCATTAAAAGGTCTTGAGCTTTTGGAGTTCGCATTCGCTGAGAATCAAAACCTATGGAGATCATATCATCAGTTAATTGTTGAATTTGCTGTTGATAACTATTAACATTGTTATTACTTTTTTTATTATTCTTCAATCCTTTTGATTTATTTTTCTTTTGTTTACGTTTTTTAACCTTATCAGCTTCAGGCTCAATCCATGTTAATCGAGGGTAATCAACTGGTTTAAGCTCTCTCGGTGTTTCGGTAATCAACTCTAGTGGTTCATCAAAAGCAAAGCCCATTTTTTGTTTAGATATTGGTTTTGGCGTTGAAAAGCGAACTGGTCTCTGATCTCTTCCTGAATGCCTCAAATTTTGATCGACTGGTTGATTGAAATTATTTGTAATCTGCTTTGATTTTTGCTTTCCTTGATCCCATGAAGATGATTTTCCAGGATTGCTTTTCAATAAATTGTCAACCTCATGCTGATACCAAGGCAATGTAATCGGTGTTGTTTGAAAATTTTGAGCATTATTTCTGTGGTTATTACCATTCCAAGAATTCATTTCATTTGTCATTTTACTATTGGAAGTGAGGCCATTTTTAAACTGATTCAACATTGGCTCTGAATCTTTTCCAGGTTGAGATAAAAATAAATTATCGGGCGATTCTCGACCAAAGCTAGGATCAACGGTATAACTGTTTGACATTTTCTTGCCTCTTGTTATGTCTTGAATGGATGTTGGATAGTTGCGAATTTTATTCGCTTTTGAATCTGAACCAGAGTTTGGTGATGTCAATTTTTTAGGTCCATTTAATGAACCAATAAGTATTTCGGTATGAGGTGGACTAACTGGATGCGATGTTAATGGATCTTCAAAAGAGATTCCATTTTGACGATGTTTCTTTCCAATTTCTGTATAATCTTGAAAACCGAAAAAGTTTTGCTTCTGATTGTTACTTCCATCGTTTTGTTTCTGATTATTTAACAGTTTAAAAGGGTCAGCTGTATGTGGATTTTGTTCGCCATTTGGAGTTTCAATCAGTCCAGGAATAGAGATTAAAGTTGGATTACCAAATGAAATATCATCAAAGTCATTTTCATTGGGCATGTAAAGGCCATCGTGGAAACCATCAAAGAAATTTAATGGATTACTAATTCCAAGAGAAGAATGAATAGATGGATTTTCATTACCATGTCCAGAATTGCTAGCTAAAGGCGATGCTGGAAACATAATCTGCTCTTGAATTGACATCGGAGATCTAAAGATATTACGATCAGCTTGTTTTAAATTGTTTGCTTGATATCCTTGCTGTTGTTGTAACACTTGATTTTGTAATTTATCTTGTTGCAGTTTTAATTTTGCCTTTTTCTTGGCTTTGGCCTTTAATTTCTTTTGAGCTGCCAATCTTCGTTTCGATTGTTCATCTTCCGACTTACTAGCGCTTTTACTTTGATCTCCTTTATTATTGGTGAACTCTTTAGATTCGGATAGAGTTGAAATTGGTGTAGTTGAGGATGAAACTTTATTCTTGTCACCATTTTTAAAGTTACTCTGGTCAACACTCTTTCCATCTCTAACATTTTGCTTTTTACCAATTGTTTCTTCGTCTCTTTTTTCAGATGTAACCTTGCGAGTCATTCCTTTAAATGAATACTTTTTACCTTTACTTGGTCTATTAGATCCTTTAGTGTTATTTAAACTCACTAAGTTGACTGTCTTAGGGCCTGTTGATGGAGGTGAAGCTTGAAGTTTTAATGCCTCTGGCGGAGGTGGCAGTAATACGGAATGAGTATGCTGTAAATGATGTTGCTGGTGGTGATGAGGAATAGAGTGAGGAGAAAGATGAAGCTGAGGTTGAGAAAATTGATATTGATGTGGATTTTGATGTGGATGTTGATGAGGATGAGGAGGCAAAGTTTGCATCGGCTGTAACTGATGTAGAGGTTGACGATGATTGTGAGGCGAAAGTTGAACTTTATCCTCAGGTCCATCCAATTCTGTTTCATAATCAGCTGGTTCAAGTAAAAATTTGGGTAAATTGCTAAATAAATTTTTCTGGTTTGTTTGCTTGTTTTCATTTTCCTTCACTTCAAGTTGCATTTTATCATTATCGGTATTATGATTGGCTGACAATGGTTCAATATGCCTAATCTTTTGATCACCCAATGAGCTTCTGATGTAAGAACTTGGAGTTTTTCCTCTTATTGCGTTTCCTCGCTCATATCGTTGAAATGTTTGTTGGCCTTTACCACGTTCCCTTACTGATCTGACTTTATCATGAACAGCTCCTAAAAATCAATAAAAAATGAAATAACCATTAACATCAGTAATCACTATTGTGGATAAATTTGCATCCATTAGAGCAACAAAGAACGTCAGGTTAATGAATTACCTCTTTGAACAATCTCCAGTTCAGTAGTTATTTTGTAACCCTTTTCTCTCCAACCTTTGAGTCTTTTAAGCAATAAATCATGTAAAGATTGAAAGTCCATCCCATTATATTTATCATTATCATTATTTTGGTCCTCCGGTGATACTACAGTTATTGGTTGTCGATTAGCTTTTTTAGGAGCAACAGTAGTCAGCCTGACTAGTGCAGGGCGATCATTCATAACTGGAAATTGATTAGGTTCAGGCTGTTCTCCTTCTGTCTTTTGATTATCATCATTGGCAAATATTTTTTCTAAAAACAAAAGGTAGTGAATATCGGAATTAGTACAACGTTGTTACTTTTATGTTTAATCCTAATACAAGAAATTACCTCGTTCAAAAAATTCAATCTGAGTCTTTTCACGGAGAGCTTTCTCTTTGGCACCTTTTTTATCATGCTGGCTCTCATCTCCTGATTTGCTGATGGTCCTTTTAGCTTCCAATCCTTTTTCGGAGGCAAATTGTTTCCTAACAGCTCCAAGTAGTTTGCGACTAGCTTCAATTTCCTCTTCATCACTTGGATCCATTGTTGAAGAAACGCCTAATTTAGGAATATACTGACCAGATGAGGAACTTGGCTGTTGGCTCAACTGTTCAGATCTAGTTTTACCAGATGCTTGATCTTCATCTTTTTTCAGTATTTTGATCACTTTCTTTTTCTTTCCATCGCCAAAAAATTCTTCCGTCAGGATTTGAGGCTCTATAGGGAGTATTGAAAAAGGGTTAATGTTTAGTAAACAAAAAGATCAACTGTTAAAAATTTGCGACGCAATAAAATTGAAACACATGCTTTACTCAATATTATCACAATTAATTAAAAAACAATTGAAAATAAAATATTTAATTACTATTCAATCTATTCAATTAACAAAAAAAAAACACAATCAAAACACTAGCAACTAGCATTGAAGCAAATAAATTTAATACACAGCTGATTAAGATTTATACAATAGGATTAACTTATGGTTTGCTTGCAAAAAGGCAAAAACTAATTGGATTTCTTATAATTAATTAACAGTTAAACTTGAATTTCCTAATTTTGTGTCTAATTGTCGTTTAGTCTCAAATTTTGAACAACCATGTTAATTGCTAATTAAATAAAAAGCTGACAATCTTCAATACAAAATCTATGGATTTGTGATAAAATTTATTGAAGCCACATGTTTATTTTGTTTTGTTTTCATAAAATTGGTCAATCTTTACCTTGGACATTTGGACTTTTATAAAGTGTTACTTTGTAACCGAATGTTTTCTTGACAACATTGGGTTCATTGGATTCACCTTCAGTTTCACCTTTGACATCAGTTTCTTCATCTTGTTCCTTGACATCGTCTTGCCGTCTCTCCATATGATCACCTTGGTTCACATAATATCTTGGTCGTAAAGATCTTAGGTCAACTTGGTCTTCTGTTGGTTCATTTAATGAAGATAGATCAACAAGGTAAGCTTGAGTTTGTTTATTAGCTTCTAGAGAAGAGGTATCTTCGTAAGGAACCGTCAATGGAACCAAATTTATTGTTTGACTTGACAGAGATCCAATTTTGGTGAAATGTTGTTGGTAAAATTTCTGATTATGCCCATGACGTTTAAAGCGTGAATTTTCCGATCTATTGCTGTTCAACAACTGTTGCTGTAATTTCAATTCATATTCCTGTTGATTGACAAATGGTTCAACATTGTTTCCCGCGTAGTAACGTTTACTTGGAAAGTGGACAATGTTTCGTTTAGGTTTGGTTCGACTTTCAATAATTTTTGTTGATTTACTGAACATTCCATCATCACCCAGTTTAGGATAGATGACATCTCGAAGAAGATCATTTTCCAATAATTTACGAGTTACTTGCAGGATATCTGCACAAAGACGTGAAGAATCACTGGAAGTTGAAGGTTTATTAGTCCGCCAAGGACTGCCAAGTGTGTTATATCCAACAATCTGGTCAACATTGAAAGCAAAGGTAACAATAAACAACACAATATCCACTTTGACTGTCAACAAATTTGTAATCTTGAATGTTTCCATAAATTTGTTTTTCTGGTTCAACACCTTTCTAACAACGTTTTATTTTATTTCCTTTCAGGTGGATTCACAAAAGGAAGACAATGGTCATGAATGTAAAGATGGTCAACTTGGTTATCAAAAACCACAACAAGATAATATCGTTACTTGATTTGAATGAGTTGCAAAGCAGATCCAACTGAAATCATGATCAATCAAATGACCTTTTTTGATCAACATGACATTAACACCAAATGAACAACACTAAAGATATAATCAGATGACTGATGATAGACGAGATGTCATTGATCGTCTTTAATTTTAGAGAAAGGTGAGATTAAATTTTAATCTTGGCCGACAATCAATTGATGATGAAGATCAAGTCAACTGAGTGAAAGTAAATTCACCCAAATTTGGCTATGTAATGGATATACTTTTATTGCCAGAATACTTGCCCAGCTATTGGATAATACTCATACTCTCACTGAATTTCATTGAATCTCATCATCAATGAACATCTCAATCTATCTTGAAATGATCACTTCTATTAAATCTTAATCTAATTTGATCCATTTAGACCAATTAAAAGTCTTTTGTTGATGGTACCTTAGCAGTTGAATGGTTTTCTCGGTCATCGATATTCAACCTTACAGTCTCTGATTACTTTCCAATGTATTGATTGGTTCGTGATTATGGAAACGTGCTGGCAACTTTAATGGACACGGATGGTTAATTGATTCACCTTGATTTGTATCTATTAATCAAGGTGGATACAGAAATGGAAACAAAAGAAGACTCAAAATTCGTGTTTAAATGCAATTAACAGTTATTTCATCAATGTTTATTACTTTGCTGTTAAGCCATCAGTTTAAACTAAAATGACAATAAATCCGCTCAACTCCTTATGTATCTAATTATGGTTTACACTTGATTATAATCAAAATGTTGATTTAACCATAATTATCTTTAAACCAATTCCTGTTCCTTTTACAAACGCAGTTCCAGATTTTAAATGATTTCCAGTCATACAAACGATTTACAACATTTAAGATTCAATAATGAAGATCCAACAGAGTTCAAATCTTACCTCGCTTTTAACCATTTATTTATTATTTCAATTGACAATTTTACAAACACTTAAATGTGTGTTAATCATGCTGTAATAATTTGATTAATCATCAAAATCTCAGTATGAAAGATTTCAATAAATAAACAAGCAACCAATACACATTTATGTGTAGAAAGGGTCATTCATCATCACACAAACCAGATTGCCGTTCATTTTACCACTTACATTATTTTGAATCTCCACTAAACTGGTGATAATATTATATTTTTAAATATTGATTAGGTTAAATGCATTAATCTTATTACCTGGAATGAAATTAAATCAATTTTCTGCTCTCTACTTTCCCAAGAAATCAAAATTAATTCAAAGTCTGACTTATTTAACACTATTTTATAATCTTTTCACATGTTAAACGATTACAGTCACACAAATTTATATTAAGCAAAGGCTTAAAAGCAACTCGACTAACATGATTTCCACGAGTATTTAAGCTTAGTTAATCAGTAAATTGACAATTTAAAATCAAGTCCATCTAAAATTAACCAATAAAGCAATCTTAAGCTTCAGTCTAGGTTTTGAAAAACACAATTTGACTAAGATTTCCGCTTAATTTGAATTCAATTGTCAACCAAAATAGCAATAAGAGTCAGGGTAAGTTAATGAATTCAAAATGGTATAAAATTGATTTAAGGTTTGTGGTTTCACCTGAAGACGAAAAATTAGCTAAATTATTGTTATTTGTTGAATTATAGATAGATTATTGTTGTGTAAAAAGGTAAACAAGTCAACAGATCAAAACCAATCTGATCAAGTTAACTTCAAAAATCATCTTTGATATTAAAGAGTCCTAAGAAACAGTGAGATTGAATTCAAATGTGAAAAACGGTTTTTAGCAAGGATATTAAAAATAGGTTTATAAAGTAAAAGATTGTACCTTTTGATTAATTTGAACAGTAGACTAAATTTGGTGAATTAAATATGTTTAATAAGGCCGAAGATTGAAAATAATATTTATCGGTTAAGCAATTTTCTGAAGAACTTCATTTCATGTTCATTCCCACTATTTCTTAGGGACTCTTTATATTTGGAATTGATTCACTTTTAAATGTTTCAAGTTGATTGAAATATTTTTTGCCCACTTGTTGTTACCTGAAAAATAGATATAACTGAAGTATCTTTTTTTGGCAACTCATTTTGGTTAACCTTGTGATCTGTATTGGTTATAACGTTAGATATAAATGGACTGAAATCAAGTTTCAATTGAACCTGAACAAAAGACTGAAATCAAGATGAATTGAAGATGACAGTTGATGCCGTTAATTTGACTCAATACAATTGATATTTGTTTAGTTTAACAAATGAAAACAGTGACAAAAGCGATTAAATTATCAATAATAATTTAGTGTTGATCATGTTTGAAAATCACATGCAGAGATCATTTCATCAATGATGGATTTAAGGTTCATCTGACAGGGATACAATATGATTATGAAATTAAGGCCTTTTTTTGATTGTTGTTCCAATGGGATGGTCAGTAAAGGTCATCAAAATAATTCTAACCAATGAGTTAACTTTTAATTGAAAAGATGGATGAAGGGAAAAGCTTTCATTTGGATTGATGTTGATGAGCAAAGATGATTGATGAATCTATTAATCAGGTTTTTCTCTCTCATTTTTACTTTTGGGGTTAACTTATAATAATAGAGAATCAGTTAGTTTTTAAGAATTAATTTAATAAAAACTCAACAGGAAAGTTGTTTTCTTGGAAGTCAAGTTAAGAGAAGAAAACAAAATTAAGAAGATAGGAAAGATTGAAAATGATCATCAGGTTAAAGATAAACTTTACCTGATGAGGACTACTACAACGGAGATTAAAATTGATTATTACAGACAATATTGTTGGAATTACAATTTATTTTTTGATTTGATAAAAAGAACGACAATTATTTAATCAACTAGCACCGTGAGTTTCAAGTTTTGCAATCAATTGATCAAGCCAAGGTTAAAAAGGGTATAAAAGGTAGACACACACAGATAGATCCACATGGATCTGGAGTGGGCAGACATATCAGGATGAAGTTTGAGGGTTGAAAGATCATGAAGCTGAGTGGCTGTGAGATGAAACAATATTGAAAGCAAAGTGGAAATTGATTCCAAAATGTTGATAACTGGTATCGATTTTTGCTTCCTTTCCTTGGGATCAAGTACAAACTTGGGATTGTCAAAAATGCTTACAATGCATGGACAGTAAAAATGCTGATAATTATGGAAGTAGCGAGTTGAATATTGGATAAAAAAGCGCATAGTAAAGGAGGAAGATAAAGTTGACTGGTAAGAAAAAGAGGAAATAGGAAGCTTACAGTTGAAAGAAATAGCTGAAGCAATAGAAAAATGTAGAAATTGTATAAAGAAGGAAAGAGATTCAAACATGCAGTGAAGATAAAACAATCTTCAAATTGATCAATAAAATTTTATATATTTTTGTATGATAAAAAACTCTGAGTCTTGAGGGGAGTTGTCGTGTGTTTAGTGATGAATATTTAAAATCATTGTTGTTGTTTGTTGTTGTTTCGTTTAGCGTTGAATATATAATCATTATAGAAATTTTGGGTTTCTTTTAATGCTTTTGTGGCGTTTTTTTGTTTCCTATTATATTTTATTTTCTTGGAGAGCGGTTTTTAATCGCATTGTGCGCACCATAAAAGTAATCGTATTGTTACGTTTTTGCATCCTTTTCATTTGCTTTAAGATACGGTGGGTAAGGCTGATGCTTCGGTGGTATTGGTTGCAGATTTGTCAGCAGCCTCAGATTCCCTATTTACTCCATTCTCGTTGCTTTCTTTACCTAAAGTTTAAAATGAAAAGAAGATAGAAACAGGAAGAATTATTAGAATTGTAACAATTATAAAAATTATAGGAATTATAAAGGAGAATAAAAGAAATAGAAGCATGAAGTTGACGATAAGAAGCGCGCATTGAGTGACAACGCCCGAGAGTATAGAATCTCAGGTTTAAATTTACATCTTGTTCAAGAGAGGTAACTTAAAATTTGATTCAACTCAAGGGTAACCAACCTTCATTTTCATCGATTTTTTCAGGCTCCCTGGCTTTCTTGGATTTCTTGGGCTTTTTAACTGCTCCCATTTCAATCAGACTATGACCACTATCAACTATAGTCTTGACATATTCTGTTGGAGTAATGCCCAAAACTTCGGTCATCTAAAACAAGTTGAATAAATGAATAGAAGAGAAAAGGTAAGTTAATAAAGAATAAGAGAAAAAGAACAAGAAATGATTTAGAATGGGTAAAAAAATAATCAAATTAGCGTTAGTAAAAGATGAATAAAGAAAATGATTTTTGCGTGAAATAATGATAATAATGAGAGAATGAAATGCTTACTCTTTTAGTATCATATTTAAAGTCTCGGCTGAGTCGAGGAAGGACAAGTTTGTAAGTTTTGTCCATGAAACTAGACATCCAGACAAAGAAATTGGGTGCAACAACAGTTGGTATTGAGTATCCAAGAGGTTTAAATTCCTTATGCAATACCATGGCGATGTCTTTCATCCAAACAGAATCAGTGACAATTATGTGTCGATGTCCGGCAGCCTCAGGAGCCGTGAGTGCCTTAATATGAGCTTGAGAAACATCACGAACATCGCAAATTGGTAGGCACAGTTTGGCCACGGCTGGAGTAGCTCGGTCCAAGAGTCGGCGAACCAAATCCAAACTGGTTGGTACAACTTTACTGTAAAGAGGACCCAAAACGAGGCCCGGGTTTATGGCTACTAATTCAAATTTCTTTTCCTCTGGAGGGGGTAACAAAAAAAGAAAGAAAGATAAGAATCATAAGTTAAAGAGTGAAAAATGAATTACAGAAAGTGAGTGAGACACAAATCATTCCAGACTATAACCTTGATAGAACCACAGAGATTTTAAAGATCAATGATCTCTCTCTCATTGCTTGTGTTTTCTGTCTCTCTTTTTCTCTCACTTTTTCACATGTATCTATTTCTTTGAAAACATTTTCTCGAGGATGAAAATGACTAGCAAGACAGATAAAAAGGCGTGATTAGAGTAAACTTGAACCCATTGCATGCTTTACTGTACTTTAAATGGCCAGTTTAAAGGGTCATTAAATGACAGGCTTGGATAAAATAGAGAGAAATTAGATGGATAAATCATAAAGTTGATTGGCTAATGCTGATAGATCAGAGGTAAATCATGAAAAAACATAAGGTTCTTTTTTTTATTTAACTGAAAGAATTTGATTTGTTGAAATGTCTTTTTTTGCCTTATTGATATTGAATGCTTACCAGGTAACTCTTTAACGAAATCCCAAGCAGCTTTTTCAGCCAAAACTTTACTTTTGGCGTAAACATCAAGATGCGGGTCTTCAATGTTTGTCCAATCTTCTTCAGTAAAAGCTTTATCCTCTTCGTGCTCCTTGGGAGGAGGAATGGATGGATCTATTGGGTTGAAGTTTCCATTTTGTTAAAATAAACATCAGGTAATGTTTTGTCAGATTGAGAGATGAGTTTGCAGTGGTAAAAAGGTTGAGTAGTAATTTAATTTATCGATGAAAAGGTGGAGAGAGAGAAAAAAAAGTACAAAATTTGTATTAACAAAAGTGAAATGATTGCAAATGGGAAGAAAGGAGGGAAATGATTGAAAGGGATTATGTTAGGTGAAACTGGTTAAGGGTTATTTGAAAATCAATGAAGTTTTGTTTACCATAAACAGCAACAATTGAGCTTGTTAAGACAACCCGTTTAACTCCGCCAACCTCAGCACAAGCTTTGAGTACATTAAGGGTACCGTCGACTGCAGGTTTAATTAGTTCATCGGGATCCGATGGAATGGTCAATGGGAAAGGCGATGCAACATGGATAACGTATTTACATCCCTTAACAGCACTAAGGATATGAAGAGGCAAAAGGAAAGTTGAGAAAAGAAGAGAAAAAAAAAACAGAAAAAAATGAAAAAATTAGATTTGAATACAACTCAATTATATGGTGGTATAAAGGGTATTAACCAGAAAAGTTAACAAGATCATTAATTAATTGGGAGACAAAATATTGTAGGTAGTTGGTATATTATTGTTATTCAGATAAATTTGATGTTTCAAGTAACTGCTAATTTTAAATGGTAATAAGAATTGAATAGGAAATTATGGATAAAAAACAGGCAAAGCCATGCAAGAATAAAAAGAAATGTTCCTTTTTGTTTGATAATAACAATAATTCAGAAAGGCAATCAAGAACAAAGAACCATCAAAAAGATGATAACCCAAGCCCAATCAATTTAACCTTGTTGTTATAAATTATCATCATTATTGAAATTATTATATTTAGAGAATTTTTTCTTCTAAAAAAGCTCAGGGGCAGAATACTGAATAATGATAATAATAAGAAAAAAAACAAGAAGCTGACAATGATGATATTAATATACAGTGTAACCAGAATTAGATGTAGCGGAATATTTAAGAGGAAATAACAATTATGGTTGACAGGCAATGAATCATTGAGTGAAAAATGCAAAACCTTGATCAAGAAAAATGATAGAGAAGATGAAAAAATAGGAAAAGATCATTTTGATTTGGTTAAATGATAAAAAAAAGCGTCAACCTTGATTCCCTTTTATTTGTTGTGATGTATTAGCTTGTTTTGATTGTAATTCAATAATGGAAATTGTAATTATTGGTGTTCAATAGGAAATGGTTCATGAGTTTAGCTAGTACAACACATTTCCCTATTTGTGGAAAACAATAATTCAAAGTAAATTGAAAACATGGACCGACCCGATAATAAATTAATGATTACTTCCTTATAAAATCATGTATTTGTTGATAATTGGGATGATGATGTGTCAACAGGAATCACTTGCAAATGTTCATGGGAAAGACTGTCTTCAAGTAGCCCCTCTCTTTCAAATGTCTGTCAAATTTTTAATTTTCATCATTTTATATCAAATGAATATCAACTTTGTTGTTGAAGATGATGTTGATGATGTATATTAAGGTTTCGTAAGATAACCCCTTTAAGTAAATCTCATCATTTAACTAATGAGCAGTCAAAAAACTATTTTTCGCTCTCAGAATACAAGATTTTTCAGCCTTCAAAAGTATCATTAGCATCATCATTTAGCTGTAAAATTAAATCTAAATTGATCAAGTCCCGTTAACAAATGAAAGATTTTGCAAAATGTCTTATTTTTATTGCTAACTTCCCACTCACCTCATCATCATCATCATCATCATCATCATCGACAACAAAACCGTCTTCTTTCTTCATCTCCCACAATTTTCAATTGTACGCTTTTTTCATTTACAGCATGACAGCCTTCACTTTGGACCTTAAAGCTATTTGAAAGTCAAATACCGTGTAAGTTTATCCTATCATGACAAGCAAGATAATACAGTTTTTAAAGCTTTCATCAAGTCTTTTCATTATCATCATCGCAACTCTTTTTGCAGCTCAGAAAAGTAAGAATTGAGAAGTGAGATGATGTGAAAGAGAGAGAAGGAGAAGAATGATTTTTGAGTCTTTCTTCTCCTTTTTACTTGCTATTTTGATATTTTATAAAATCCTCATCCACCAAGATCCTGATTGAAATTAAGATTTCATGCTTGTTGATTTTCTTATTCGAAACACTTCAATATAAAATTAATAACAAAAGATGCCAAACAAGGAGTGAAGTTTCACATTGTGCAAACTATCTTTTTCTTGGAATATTTACAATCAATCGAGACATTTGATCTTAATAGTTTAGCAAAGTTACATTTTGACTTTAAACAGAGCTCGATGAGGCAATTTTGATTTAAATAATGATTAGTCTAATTATTGCCTCTCGTTTTTCTTCTCAAACTTGTTTACTGAGAAGACTCTGTGGACTTGAAATCATGTAAAACTAACAAGACACGAGACAGATAAAAGGGAGTGATCAGGGGAGACTTGAGCACGTTGCATGTTTTACTGTACTTTAAGATGGGCAGGTTAGGGGGTCATTTAATGTCAAGCAAGGAAAAAGAGAATATTGAAGAGAAAAAGAAAGATGGAAAAGTAAAAAGGTCAAGGAAGATAGTAAAGATGGTAGAAAGAGAAGAAAAAAGAAGCAAAAAAGAGGATAAAATATTGAAAGACAGAAAGAGACAGAGAGAGAGACACACATAGAAAGAGACAGAGAGAGAGAGATAGATGGATGATTTAAATGATGAAAAAGAGACTTACTCTTTCCATGTTTCCTCCTTGAGAAGATCACTCTCAACCAATTCAAGATTTTTATCAGCATTGGTCAACTTTCGAAGTGGTTCAGTTTTCTCTTCATTGGTAAGACTGCGAACAGTTCCACGAACTTTAAAACCCTCCTCAAGCAATTGCTTGATGACACTCGTTGCAACATATCCAGATGCACCGGTTACAAGAATTAAATCTCCAGAATTCATGGTAAAATCCGAATTAGAGAAGACACAGAAAAAAATAAAAAAATTAACCAATAACTTCCAATATGCGATAACAAAAGGTAATTGATAATGGGTTACAGTAGAAACACACAGACACTTAAAACGCCAGTCAGTTGACAGTCAAATTGGACAAAAAAATGGTAACAAACCTAAAATTGAGATTATGATGACTAACTGGAAGGGGCAGAAAGAGAGAGAGAGAGAGAGAGTCTTCTGTCTGTCTTCCCGGGAAGCAACCGAAACCCCTCTCTGCGCAGTCTGCAAGTTAAACCCAAGTTATTCAGACTGGTTGAGGTTTTGCGCATTAAAAACCAACCTCGCCGGTTAATATTGACTCACTTTCAACCCCCTTTTGACCTTTTATCACACTGTTTTCATTTCACTGTTACGCCATCTGCTAAAATATTTTAACCTTAAGTCCCTCTCTTACATTGATTTTGGCATTGATTACAATTTATTGATTACTTTTGACCAGATATTTCAAGTTTTGCCACTAATTACTAACCAACTACTCAAACATCAATTAACATTTAATCGTAGGAATTGATTGAGTTTTTTAATTTGATTGTGATGCTTGGAAACTAAAAAAGATAACAATTTTTATAATTGTTTTCAAACCTGTCAACGTTGTTGTTTGGGTAACTCTGGTTAACCCATTGATTGTTTTCTGGATCCTTTTGTTTAATCTGTTTTCTTTCATTTTATACTTTGAATTAATACGAATCATTATTGTCAAAAGTGAAACTATTGTTTAATTTAATTTTAAGACAGTTCAAGTTTTTTTTTATATTTTAAGATTTTCTTTTACCTTGCATTTTTTTTCGATTTGGTTAAAGGTTTATTTTTAAGGTAAGAAAAAAAACATTTGTATTAAGATCTAATGATAATTAAATGAGTTGAGCTCTTTTTTTGTGTGTGCATGTTTGGTTGACTGAATCATTGTTGCTTTCCAGTTTGTTATTCAGGTGTTAGTCATTGATTTTTAGATGATAATGTAATTGTTGCAACAAGTTATCCGGTTTTAATAGATAATATTGATCCATTTTTAGACTATTAAATCCATTGTTAAACATTGATATTGCATGTAGCAAGAAAAGGGTTAAATTTCCCAGATTTTTGTTTTCCAATTGATTTTTGCGTGTCAATAATTATTAGCCAAACAATTGCCTATGATTTGATTTCAAATCAATAATACATTTCACATGGTTAGATTGAGATGTCAATGAACTTAAACAATTAAAATCCATTATTATGTATCATAATGGTTGTTGGATCGACGGTAAAATGAAATAATCAATACGAGCAAGTTGATTATTGCAATGAATAACTGGCTTTGATTGAAGATTAACTTGATTGTTCCAAAATTTTAATCTATTTTAGGACTTGTTGACCGACTATTTCATGTTACTTGACCAACGACAGTGAATGGTTGACATGAGAAACATCACATTCTGGTGATTATTGCACTGAGTCAATGGATCCGGATCTCTTGAATTTAGGTGAAACAATTCATTGATCAAGCTTCTCCTCGACAAATGATACGAGCTAATGAATTCAAATTGTTATCTTTGATGGCCAGTCGACAGAGTTGTACAATCTTGGTTTTTGAAGGACCAACTGTAAAAATAGAAAGGAAAAAAAGGACAAAATTAATTGAGTGAAAATGAAATGGAAATGGCAAAGTTAACTGCTATTATGGAAACAAAACAGTACGAAGTAAATCAAACTGTCACCCAACATCAATTAATGGCACTGATAGCTAAGAAATGGCCATTCAGTAGGAATCAATAAATCTTGAATTGTAAATAATAAGTCTCAAAGGTGGCCAGTTGAACCTCAATTCGGGTGAAAATTGTTGTAAGATTTGAATCGAAATGGATATCAGTTGAGAAAATGGAAACAATTGTTGTTGCAACTACATTTGAGTAATCTTAATCATAATTATCTTCTGTTTCATGTTGATTCATTCATCTATCAACAACAAAAAACAGGATAATGTGTCTAGAGGCCAAGGTTAACTCATACTCAATGGGACGCATTTTTCAACTATTGGCAAATTACTGTGTAATGATCAATCAAATCTCTAATTAGCGAGTGACAAGCTTTGCTAGATTACTATTAATAGACTGTGATGAGAGGATGATAGAAGATGGAATGATGATGATGACAGGCTAAATATTTATCAAATAATTCATTGATTTGATTCATTCATTTGATTACAGTTATATAATCTGAGAGCTAAAAATGGATTGTAAAGTATTGATCGGTTAGAACCAGTCATTACTAACCTCTCAAGTTGGCCGCTTTTTGGATAATAACATTTATTTGTTTCAAACTATCAACCAGATCTTGATGGTTGTGACTTCGAATCTGATACTCATGAATTAGTTCACGATTGAGTACATTTAAATCCATATACAGTTGTTTAACCATTTTCCTGTAAACATGAAAGGTTAAATGAAACAAAAAAAGAGGTAAAACGGAAAGAAAGAAAAATTTGAAACAAAAGGTAAATTAAAATTGAATATAAATGTGAATTAAACATTGATTAAAGTAAAAACAAAAGTACCATTCTCTCAATAAACGGGCATCTTCTGAACGCACAACCAATGAACGTACAGCAACTGAATTTTCAGCAATGTCAGCATCGATTGAAGCTCTTACTGATTGCATTTCTTCCACTTTTGTTATCAATTTTTTCAAATTTTCGATTTCTCCAGGAAAATCAACAGTTGAGCTGAGGTCAGGCAAGTTGAGATATTCAACTGCAAGGGATTGAACAACTTGACCCGCAATCTCCATAGAGTTGGTTCGAATAGTGAAGCTTCCCGATTTACCATCCATTTCAAATATGAGCAGCTTATTGTCACGAAGAGAGATAAAGGTTACATCTAAATTTTCGAGATATTCAAATTCTTCGACCAGTAAAAAATTTCGATTCAGCCAAAGGCAAATCTGTGGAAGATGAAATATGAATCAATTTTAAATATTAAAAGTAGTCATTTGATTATTTTTGGGTTACTTTGGGTCGATCCATGACATCCATATTTTTATGTTACATCGTCAAATGTTTACTGTTAATCTTACCCGACTGACTTTTTCACCTAAATTAAAATTAACCCATCCTTTAGGTTTACTTGATTCTGGGAAATTGGTGTTCTTCCGTAATGCATACATTGAAAAACGAGGTAGATGTCGACTCAACTCGAACACATGGAAATGATAACTTCCTTTATAACCTACAATTGATTTAATATGTAAATCAATTGGCATATCTTTTGGAGGCCTTAAGGGAATATTTAGTGTACCAGAAACTTCAGATTCAGGAGGATGGACAACATGACTTTCTCCTTTGAATATTCCTTCAGCAAAAATAACCACCATTCTTATGATTGTTTCATTAGTTGTTTGAAGAGTCAGGTCAACGGAAGGCTTTAAGATGTGATAAAAGAGTGAAAAGATGAAAATTGGTTATTTTAGGTTGTGATGAAAATATAACTATTAGTTGATATATAACTGAGTTCACTCATTGAAAATTGAGAGTAAATCAAAAGTTGATCAACCGTAAGATTTTTCAATTACCTTACTATCTTCAATGTTGAGGATCAAAGCTGATTTCAATTGGGTGTCCGCAGGAATGGCTCCATAATGATCGTCTTCAGTCGAGGCTTTACCATGAATTAGTGGTTCTGTTGATGAACTGAATTGCACATTGGATTCATAGTTTCTAAGCTCGAGGAGTAAATTTTGCTTTCGTTTCATTAAATCTCTTATAGTTTCTTGTTCATATGTTATATCTAAGACGGGTTGAGGTCTTTCGGTTCCTGAATTGGTTTGATATCCTTTGATTTCTCCTGATACACTGATAACAACCAATTCAACTACACCATCGAGATTGTAATCAGCTGTCATTATTGCCGCAATGGAAGAGTTGAGATTATCTTTGAAAATTACTTCACCGGTCTCCATGTTACGAGCATCTATTTTACCACTTGACCATCCAGTGATTAACTCTGGTCGTCCATCATTATTAACATCAAACCCAAGAATACAAATTGCCTGATTTTTGGACTTTATCCGCCAAAGACGTTCTTTCTTGGAATAGACTCCAACTGTACCATTAACTAGTGCATAAGCAAAACAGTCTCCAATCAGAGGACAAACGCATTTAATCGAATCTGTTTCTGACATTTCCAGAAATATTGACTCTTCTTTGAAAACGCGAATATCATAATCTTCAGAACCAACAATCAACTGGTTGAAAAATAAACCATAAATCAACAATTTAGACAAGTGAAGAGTAAAAAGGTAAAATGAAAATGAAAAATCTAAATGAGATTCACCGCAGTAAATCATTCGGTACTTACCTCATTCTGTTGGTCACCATCAATATCCCAAAGAGCTAAAGTTGTTATATTGTCCCCAGTAACTGTCCAATAACAGTCATTACCAACGGCATCAAACCCTTGGATAGCACAATTACCACCAGCTATAGCCAAAGGACTTTCAATTGATCCAATCTTTCCGACAACGAGAGCATTCGCTCCATCAGGAATCTATGGATGTAAACAAACATTGCTTTATAAAAATGCCAACAATAGTTTCTACGAAAATAATTGGCTGAAAAGGATTTCAAAACAAAAGATTGATGGTCTCACCTCACGATAAAAGATATCAACATTGTTCATTACATCATAGGTAAGTATACTGATAGGTGTTCCTAGAACCAGAACATCTGCCTCTGAATCTGTTTTAAGGCAGCCAACAGTAAGTGATCGAATTGTTTGGTTAACATTGAGAAAAGTAACATCAGTTCCTGCTGAAGGTTGACTCCAACGTCTTTCACTTGTTTGCTGAGATCGACGAAGAGGATTATGAAGAAGAACCTAGACAAAAAAAGAAAAAATAGGAAAAATTGAATTAAAAATTAAAGGTTTGTAAGGAGAAACATTATACGCTTTGATCCGGTACTTTGTCTTACCTTATCACTAGTTGTTACCGCCACAATACATGGGTTGATCCCATCAAATTTACCAACTGCAACTTGGCCTGGTTGAATTTTTTCATTAAGATTAATTGTAAACACAGTCTTCAACATATCGATGATATGGTAATTTATTTATTGCCAGTTCTCGTTTGTTAACGAAAACAAATCCTAATTATCTAAGGTTTATTTTTGTTAGGAGAACTGGTTGCTAGGTTAATTAACCGACATTGTTTTGCTTGTTTTGAAACCAAAACAGCATAGAGATATTTTTCAAAGATTACTTGGACTTTTCCCATTCTTTTTTCAAATCTTTTATTTAAGTGAATTAATTAATCATCTATTTACCTATTTTTGTGTAATTTATTATAACATTATCAAGCATCAATTGAAATTTGAAATAAGGAAACAACATTTTACATAATGGTAAGTAACGTTTATTTTTAGCGTTTTATTTTCTTTGCTTCTTGCTGAGTAAATTTACAAGACAAGGTTTTTTTCGCCTGTTAAATAGATGCAATTTTAATTGATCTTATCTTACTTTGACAATTTCCATCAACAGCCAACCGTTAATAATGACTCAGGACAGCCTGGGGAACAGCATGAAGAGGCAATACTGGAAATGGCTCCTGTAAAGAGATTATGTGTCATTACATGTTATTGTAAGGAAGGGTGAAAACGGTGTAACTATAAATTAATTTGAACAAACTCTCATTCACTTACTTCTTTCTCTTATCCAATTCATCAAGCTATTTGGATTGTATGATCGTTTGTACAATGAACAAATGCGTGAACGAGCTGATTGTAGCTCCTTGATGGTACAAACTCGGATCAAATTTTCTTCATGTGATGGACAAATTAAGCTGAGAAACAATATGACGAGTTGAATCACGACAAAGGAAACATTTAATTTGATGACCATCTTGATGTTTCACGACGGATAACAGGAAAACAATGATGATGAAGATTATCAAAATTACACAATAATCAGATTATGAATCGTGAATGAACTGAATGGTAAAACTAATTGAAACTAAAATGAGATTTAAATGGATCTTAAAAGTGTATTTATAGTTTCTCAGTGATTTAATAGGCGCAGGGTGGTTGATAATGATTAATTTTAGTCAAATTATTATGAACAAGGCCCCAAGTTCATTGTCAAGGGAAAGATGTGTTAAGGTTAATCGTAGGAATCACCAAAAAAATAGAAACAAAGTAGCACTAATGAAATAAGATAAATTGGTTCCCGTATAACTTCTGGTGATAGACAATTTATCATGAAATGTATAATTAATAACACAGTCATTTGAATCTTTGAACAATTATAGCTACATTCTCTTCTTTCTTCTTTTGCAAATTTCTTGCTGAATTTCTAAAGATCAAATGAACAAGCATCAAGTTAAAAATTTACTTGGGAAAAATACAACATAATTTATCTCTAAATGCTCATTTACGGTTCTTTTTTCTCATCATCATGTTAGCCAGGAAACACATACTCCCGTATTGTAGGCATTAGGGTAAGATACAATCATTAATTTTACATAATAGAGTTGATATTTGGAAAAGAGTGTAACAATCAATGGATAAAAAAAACCGTCTAACATGTGTTAGTGTAAAAAAGTCAAGATACATGATAAATTGGACAAAAAGATTTTATTCTGTATTTGAATCGGGCATATTAATTACATCGCTTTTTCGTCAAGATGTATTATTTAAGTTATAATCCAAATTTCAATCAAAAATCAGTGGAAGTATGGAAAGATGTTCAGGTTGTTCGTTAAATCATTTGATATTTTTGCCAAAATTGTATCAATCGTGAAGCTTCTCTTATACCAGATGAAAGAGCTCCATGGGCAGTTGAGAAAAATTTATCATCTGTAGCTTCACCGGCAAATAATATTAAAGGCCAATCAACTCGACATTTTGTTTTTTCATTTTCAAGTTGATATGAAACGGTGAGAGGTTTTGTCAATTCATCTATCGAAACATTCAGCTTGGCAAAGGCAACTGTCCGATTGGAATAAGCTCCTCGAACATATTTATTTGAATACCAAGATGTTCGAATAATTTTGATTGGTTTAGGTATTTCTCTATGGACAATTGAAGGTAGGAAACGTGTTAATAAAGAATGGAAAACTCGAAGTAATGTTTCATCACTTTCCTTTTCAATCAATTCAGCTCCTTTTCCACCAATCCAACCAACCAAAACATTAGGTTGACCAGCAACAGTATCTATTCCAGAGATGTCATAGACCCATGGTGGATATTGATCAGAGTAGTTTGCTTTTTCCTCTTCCAACCAAACCATTTGGAATCCAAGATCACAGGGTTGCCAAAAAGATTCATCAAAAACAAGGTAAATTTTATTCACAGTTCCAAAACCCATAGTTTGGATAATAAGGCGCTTTTGTAAAGGAAGTTTCGGTTCGAAAAATGAATCCATGTTATGTTTTAAGAAACCAATTGAGCTTGTGATGATAACATGATTTGCATAAACAGTTGATCCATCTCCAAGAGTCAGGCTGGCTTTATTTTCCAATGTTGGATGATATTTAACTTGCTTTACAGGACAATTGATTTTGATGATTACCTCAGGAATAGATTCTAGTAGTGATTCTATGAAAGATGAATAGCTGGATTTGAAGTTATTGAGCGGAACACCTTCACATGTTCGATAGAGTGAATAAGATATTATGGACAGCTGATCCAGAGATGTACATGAATTATCTATTTTTTCAAATTTCATAAACCAGTTGAAAATGCCTTGAACAAGTTCACCATCTTGAGGAGATTTGAATTTTTTGCTTTCCATCCATTTTTTAAACCGAGTCTTGAAAATTTCTCCGACTGAAACATTATTTAAATTTTTCTCTTCATCAACATTATTCCTGAGATAGTCGAGTTTGTAATCACCATTGGAGAGAGACATTTTAATTGTATCTAAAAACATGATCACTTGATTAACCAGGCTCGGGTCAATTTTATGGCCATTTTGGGTACAAAAATATCCAACACCTTCGCTTGCTTCAGTTGAGGCAATTAAGCCTTGTTCGGAGGCCATTTCAAATAATACATTATCTTCTTGTCCATGTATCCATTGAGCTCCCAATTCAAGGTAGTTGTCATCTGAAAGATAAAATATGAATAATGAATAAAAGCAAATACTGTTACAAAACTTAAATTAATAAAAGCAAGATGAGTGAGGTAGGTAAGAATTGAGTAAAGGATTACGAGGAAATACACAAAATTAGATAGCTACCATGTTTTAATGACTTAATCCTTCCACCAATGTAATCTTGAGCTTCGTAAATGGTGACACGATTGAAACCAGCTTTAACCAATGTTAAAGCTGCACCTAAACCAGCAATACCAGCTCCAACTATTGCCACTTGCATGTTATTTCAGTAAATAAGGGTTAAGACTGAGCAAACTGTGAGAAAGGATCAACAGGAAAACAGACTGAATGTCTACCAATTTCTGTATGAATTTAAAACTAGTGTTGATAGTAATGATTACCAAATCCAAGGTTAGCACAGATCATTGTTTCCGTAATATTGAAAAACGAGGCAATCACGTTGCTGACAACAGAATATTTGAATGAATTCTAATGCGTATCATTTTAATTGGAACACAATTTCTCCTCAATTTCCGACAGAGACACAGAATTGCGGTGGTGAATACATCAGTCGTAAAAAATGAAGGTCAACATTAGATCATCGATCCAAACAATAAATTTGTACTGACACGGGTTGGAAGTGAACAAAGTGAATACAAGCAAACCAACTCAAAGTGGTTTAAATTGATAGAAACAAAATTTTTCTTAGCAAAAAGTTTAAATAAAATACAAAATTAAAGGTAGATGATTAGTTAATCTACATTAAAAAATGAATTGATTGTTAAATAATTGCACACTGAATTAAATTCAGTGAATTTAAAAAAGGTGAATTTCAAGTAGATATTATCGATATCGATGATACTTTATCGATACTTCAAAGCACGATATTTATCGATATTTAGCTCGTCCATTGAAACTGTTATTTTTTCGATATTTTGGCCTAATCTCAATATCGATATTTGAAAAAATCGCTCATCGCTAATTTAAAATTAGTAATTTGAATCAAATCATTGGAAGGCATTGTAATCAAAATAAACCAATGACTTTCCACGAAATAAGGCACCAGAATGAATATTTTTTTGAGCCGAATTGCCTTTCACGATTAAGCTTAAATTAATTGTTTGAACGTAAAATTGAAAATTAAAATTTAGTAAGGCTTTAACATCTAATATAGACGTTATTTTAACTAATTTTGTTGATACATTTCACAGTATTAATAATTTGTAATCCAATCTTAATAAATGAGTTTCTCTCAAGTCAATTCTATGGAAAATTATGGAATAGTGAAAGCAAAGGAATGCTAATTAAGTGCATTATAATATTGAATAAAATATCATAATGTAATATGAACTTGAATTAGAAGTCTTTCTATCACTTGACAAACAGAACATTGTGATAAATTGATCAATGATATTGATCAAATTGCAAATGATTCACATCAGTTTCTAATTTTGCACTGATAGATGCGATAAATCAGCTCAACAATAAAACCATATCGTTTTGAATTAAGATATAATTATGGTCTCACAATTTTTATTGACTTCTTTTTTATATTGGAAACACTAACTTGGTCTTGGAGCCGGTATTATCAACACAGAAACATAATTTTAGTTTTTTAGTTGACTAAATAGGAACCAAATCGTAGAAATTGTATAAAATAGGAGAAAATCATTAACCATTCAGCCATCTTTTACAACTTTCCAGGTAAAACTTCAAAAAGGTCAGTCTTTTGATCTTTTCCATTTTCTTTTGCAAGGTTGTTGGAACATAAAAATATTGAATTTCCAATTTTTTCAACAGGATTTAACATTGTGTGATTAACTGATTGTTTTCATGATATAGATTTTCTCTTTGTAGTTGGCTCTTTCTTGAACGTCGAAAAAAAAGTTGAGACTTGTGTAAATAACAAATACAAAATCTATAAATATGCAGCGAAAAGACATCTCAGCCACTTAATTTTGCTTTGAATGAGTGTCTTTACATTGATTTAGTTGAATCGATTTTTCTTTTTGAAATTTCTTTTAGCCCCATTTTGTTCCGTTTCCAGGTGACCATAGTTGTTAAAAATTAGGCTGATTGATTGGAAATCAATCTTACAGCCATTATTAGCATTTCTCTTTGTATGAAGTGAAGTGGTTACGGTTGTTTGATTCTTTTTCCTTCGAGACTTGGGTGTATAAGAAAAACAAAGGCTTTTGAGGTTTTTTGTTAGCATTCATGGCGATTTTCTTGTTTTTGTTTACTGTTTAATGATGAAGAAATGTTATGGCGATGATGATAGCGGTGATGAGTGATGAACCATTTTGTAGAATATGAACGCTTTTTATCAACTTTGATTAATCAAGGGGCGCTGTTTTCAATTATGCTCACTTTCATAGTTAAGTAAAACAATGATCTAAAGATTATAGCAACATCAGCGATAAATAAGATGATATACAATACAATTAAACTTTTAAAATCTGAGAAATACTTGAGAGTTCCAAGCGTCACTCCAAGAGCAATGGCAAAGAAAATAATTGAAATAACCAGATAAACTAAGCCTTTGAAACGAGCAAATTCAGGTCCAACAGAAGACAGTTTACGGCAATGAGGGCATCGAGCCAAAGAGTTGCTTAGTGTGTTGAAAAGAAAAGATTCATAACAATGGCCACAAGTGACTCTACACATTTCAGGCAAAGGACCTGAGCTCGTAACATTATCCATTCGTTCACCGCCTTCATTGAGAGCAGAAGGAATTTGATTACCAGCATTAGAACGATTCTCTAAATTCAAATTTATAATCCTTAAACAATTGCGACGAGGACAGGCGATCCTTTGTGCTGGTGCTTTGCAAACAAGTAAACAATTGCATGGACATCTAACATATTTTTTCCCGGCAGGAGCAGGTTTGATTGGCTAAAGAAATGAAATGAAAAAAAGTACAAATCATTAGAAAATGTGAAAATTGAAGTAGATAACGTTATCAGTTTGATAGACATAATCAAGAGCTGGTACGTTGAAAGTTGAGTAAACTCAAAAATGCGACAGTGAAAAGAAAATGCGTTGCATGTTAGATGATTATTCACTGACAATTTTTAGGAAGGGGATGTAAAATGAGTGAGCAAAAATTCAAAAATGGTGGAAAATTTCCTTACTGTTGCTTCGTTACATTGTTCACATTTAACGACATGCTGTTCTCGCTTTTCAGTTACATCTATCATAGCTCCGCAAACTTTACAAGCAATTGCCAAACGTCCGCCTGACATGGATAAAGTTGGTTCATAGGCTGGTGGTCCATCTGAAGTGTAGCTTGAATCAGCTGGACGAACATATACCTCTGACTTGGGCGGTTTCCATCTATCTCCATTGCTTCCATTAGTTGTTTCGACGCCTCCAACAGCTCCTAAATAAATGAAAATGTGTAAGATGAAAATATATGATTTCAATACAGAAATATGTAAATATAATAAGTGAAACTTACCTAGTAAAGGTTGATTTTCATCTGTAGAGTTATGTGATGACATTTTATCTTATGCAAGATTTTTTCTAAGCTTAAGGAAATTTGTGTTGAGAATACAAGTGATGGTTATGGCAATGTTGGTGACAGTTGAATATGCCAGTCAAATGGCTTAGCAAGAAAAAAATAAGAGTAAGATGGCCAAATCTGATGATATCATATCAGGAAGAATAGAACATGGTGATGAATATAAATCCAGTATTGTATCGAAGAATCTGTAGGGAAAATAGTTTTAAAATGATACTGTTAATGATATAGTGTTACTTGTAGATTAATATGAGTGAGAAAACAAACGAACAAGTGAAGTTCTTATTAACAAAGAAAGCATGAAGATCCTTACAGTTAGAGTCAAGATGCAATATTAAGAACTAAATAAATAACTACAATCACATAATAAGATAAAGATTAAAAAAGAACTAATATTATGACCATCATGATTCAATGATAGCAGGATAAACTAAATTATCGTATGAAGTACAAAAAAAGATCATCCGTCAACAAGTGGGAGTTGACAAAATCTTCAAGTCATTATTAAATAATTTCTCCAATGAAAATTGGCAGAAGACGAAATTATCATAACAAGGCAATAGATTAATAGATAGATAAATGCAAAGATTAAACAATTGTTTAAGATTTTCAGTAGTAGGATTAACAAAAAAATACTGAGTGACTCAAACTAATTTTAAATGCAAAGCTGTCCATTTGCTTACCAACCTATCTTTGCTTTCAATTCTTGTTGCTAAGGCCATAGAGAAAGGGAAGCTAACGGATCATTAAAAGGAAAAGGTAATTTACATATAAGATGAGTTACAATTATAGTGACAATGTCCCTTGGATAAACCACAGATCAAGAACTTGAAATGAAATTAACACTGATAACAAACAAATAAGTGAGGGAGACATTTAAAAGCAAAATATGATTAGAAAGATAAAGATGAGAGGATAAGTTGTGATAGTGTAGTTGGATGGAAAGTCTTGAGTGAAAGAAGAGGTTAACAAAAGGTTTTTAAAATCAACACAAAGTAACAGTCTAACATGATGATTAATGAAATGACGACTGTAACAAATACTGCAATAACTCAATAATGATTTAGAATGATTAAAAGGTGAATAATGAGAAGAAAGAAAAAGAAGGAAATCAAGTGAATACAGAAAAGCAGACATGGACTTCAAGTAGCCTTAAGTAACAAGAAAGAAATGAGGCTATCTTTAAGCTGATTTCAAGTTGATGAATTATCAAACAAATTGGTGATCAACACCGAATGAGGATCAAAATCAAATCAACACATGACTGTAGATTTGATTGAACTCAGAGATGGAACGATTTAGGTTCATTTTGAGATATTGAAAGATGAAAAACAAAAACATTAGAATGTAAAAAGCAAAAAAACTAGACTTGGTAACAGAAATATAGTCACATTGGAAAGGTAATACCCAGGTTAATACAGAAATTGACTTACCAAGAGATGAGATGTAAATTGAAATAAAAAGAAAAATAATTAATTAACAATTATAATACAAATAAATGAAAAAACAACAAATAACAATTGAACTACTCTGTAATGCAACTTTATAAGCAACAAAGGCTATTCTGTTACACAAGTGAACGTAGAGTGAGTCAATGAGTAAAGGTGGGAGCAAACAGCAGAGAGAAAGAAGGGGAGAAACAACAGGGAAGAGATAAGAAGTGAATTTTAAACGAGAAGCAAAATTTGAAACAAGCAAAGGTTTTATTTCGACTTTACACCTTGAGTTACAGGTCAAATGCTTATTAATTATTATAATAAAACTTATGGAATTGGTACAACATTGGTTGAAAAAATTGGGCCTAACATTGAGGTCTTTTTAAACATTAGTTCATTGAAAATTATTATTCGTCGCCTTTCGTTTTTAACTTTAGTGAAAGTATTGAACATAAATGTGATTATAAGATTTTTTACCAGTTTTTTTATATATAAATTTTTTTAAGTGGATCTTTGAGAACGAAAAATACTAGAATTAATTTTATTAGGTTATGGAGGCACATAACGAGATCCACCAGTCCAAGGATCAACATATTCAGTGGAAGCTTGTCTTGGAGCTGGAGCGGCTCCACCGGTATTTTTTATTATAAACTGTGCAATTTGATCCAAATAGAGTTGACTTAGGTCGTGCTTCCAAATAAATTGCTGAGCAGCCATCCATGGATCATCTCCCATGTTAAAGGGTAATTTCAAAGCTGGTTCGCCATCCTTAATATCCACATTAAAAACAAAATCATACTCTTTTCCTTCAAATTCAGTCTTTGCTGATGGGTCTTTATCAGTATTGGCTTCCCCAACAACATCGCCAACTTTTGTCCATTCCATTTTCATACTACTCCATTGATAGGCTACTATTTTGTCACCTTCGCGAATCAGTTTGGTAGCACCTTCTTTTTTACCAGGTTGATGTAAAGCTTCTTGGCCTGGTAGCTGATCAGCTTTGATATCACCCAATTCCTTGATTGGTAGAGCGCTCTTTGAGACTTCATCTTCAAATAATTTTATCTCCTCTTCAGAAGCTACTCGAGAATCAACACGAGTGAATGTATAAACACGACCATCAGAACAACCAACAGCTACATCAGATTCATCAATAGCAGCAACTGACCATGCAGTAGGAGCTGGTAATCTGATAGTTTGAGTATTTTCTCCATCAGCTTTCCAAAATCTAATAGTTCTGTCTTCAGAACATGTTACAAATTCGAGGCTACTTAAATCGCTCTTGAGCAAACTAATGTCATAGATATAATTTTCGTGGCCATTGAAAACTTGGATGACAGCTCCAGTTAGGGTATTCCATTGTCTGGTAGTTCCATCATTGCTACATGATAAAAAGTTGTCCTTATTAATGATAGCTAAACCTCTGACACAATCAGTGTGACCCTCATAGGTTTGAACATCTTTGCCATTTTTATCCCATCGTTTGATCAGTTTGTCAGCTGATCCAGTGAGAAAAATGTCTTCTGTTGAACAAACAGCCCAGACAGAACCCGAATGACCTTTTAAAACTTTATCCACTGCATTTCCTCGCCAGATTTGGGCAGTTTGATCCCAAGAACCACTCATCAACAATTGATTAGCAGAATCACCATATAAAGAGCAAACTGTGGGTAATTTGGAAGAAAGGATTCAATATTATAGCCAATATTGCAACAAACAACAAGCTAGATAAATTGTTTACTCTCACCTGTCCCTGAATGTCCGACAAGAATGCAATTGGGCTGTGCACTTTTTAAATCGTAACAATAAATACAAGCATCATTGCTTCCAACATAAATAATATGTTCATTATTAACTGTCATGACAGCAACACTTGACACATAGTGTGTAGGCCCAGTAAAATTTTGAGCTTCGATAAATCCATTTCCATTTCTAATGAAACAAAAAAGATACAAAAATATTTACAGATGGTTAAGAAACTAATAAATGCAAAAATCCAATCCAAATACTTACTTTTCAGAAACATATAATTTAGAGATTTTATCCCTAGATCCACAGACGAATCCATCTTCAGAGTACTTGGCTACCGACCGCACATCGTATTGATTGGTTTGAAGTACCTTTCGCAATTTAAATGGTTTTACTTGCTCAGACATTGTTAAAGGAACAAGATAGTAAACAATTTACAGAATGACACAAAGTGACCGGTAGATAAAAGTGTTTAAAAACTTATCAAATTGTTGAATGAACAAATTTTCCTGTTCAGCAAGAAAGTGATCAGCTGAGAGTTTACTGGGGACTTCACAATAATTGCAATCAGTTAACGAACACAACAGTAGCAATTATTAATTGCCTGATTCAGATAACTCTGAAATGATAAAATTGCAAATCAGATTCTACATGTTGATAAGCTTACAATTTGTTAATGTCTAAAATGAAATTGTTAAAATAATCTGCAAATCATTTCAGTTTGTAGACAAAAGTTAAATCAATAAAGGTTATTCTAACCGCTTAATGGTTTAAATGGACATTTTACTATTGATTTATCGCTAAGATCAGATGTAATTAAACTCAATTTATACTTTCAGATGGATTAATCTCTAAATCATTTGTTTCGTTGAACAATTACTTGAAAATACTTGATTGAGAAATTGACTATTTTACGTTATCCTTACAGATATTTTAGTGAAATTAGCAAGCAAAATGAGTAGGAGACTGGTTTTTAACCATTTTACCAGAATTTGTATAAGCTGAAGGTTTGTTACCATCTCTTCACTTATACTGGTAATCTAAGCAAATGTTAATCATTGATTTGTGCACTTTTTTTAATCCTGATTCTATTCGCTTGATTAAAATCAAGGTTGATTTACATGGTTTACTCCTTTGAGTCAATTTGTAAAGGAAGTTCTGGCTTTTTCCGTTCTCCCTTAACAACGGATCAGCCTGAAATATTTAGTTTTTTTAGGGATATGACAAAGTGGTTTGGAGATTTTTTTTGTTAATGTTGATTTAAATTAGTTATTTATTATACTCTTTTCTCTCCCCTAATTTATTTTCTCTGTTCCGGACTCATTTCATCCTCAGTTTCAATGTTAGAAAATCTTGCTTGTAGCTTTGAACAATCTTCATCGCCATCTTCATCACCATCCTCTTCTGACTCGACTGATACAACATGTTTATCTTCCAACAACAACGTTTCCACAGTTGACAGTATTAAAGATAACAACAATTTACTCAATCATCACAACCACCACCATCATCATCACCTTTTGACCAAGTGCACCTCGTTAACAATCAGGGAATGGCAAATTACAATCAAAGAATGGAAAGTCCCAAAGTTGTATAAAATTACAGATGTTCCTGAACATTTACGTTTCAATCCTTTTGTTACCAATGGCTATCGTTTTTACAAATTGTCTTTCTGGCAATCTATTTATTCACTTTTCTACCTTCACAATGAAACTCTCAATATATTAACTCATGGTAAATATTTAAGAAAATTTCTAAGATTCTATTAGTGCCCAATCAGTTCATTCTTTAATTTCAATATCGAATATTATCAATGTGATTTAATGTTTACTCTTTGTTTCTTTTCTGCTTTTAGGAGCACCGTTTATTTATTTTCTGCTCTTTATGCCACGACATATACCATGGGACCTGATAGATTATCATTTTTTAGCATACCTGCACATTACCGGTTGTGTTGCCCCTTGGCTTGGAAGTTGTGTTTATCATACGTTTATGAATCATCGTTCGGGGGTTGATCTGTATCAAAAGCTGCTCAAATGGGATGTAATCGGGATATGGATTACCCAGAGCCTGGGTGCATCAACAACCATTTACACGAGCCTCATACTCTATCCATTTTGGTTACAATTTATTTTTATCTTCCTTTATTCTCTGATTGCAATCAGAGCTCTTCAGCATACTCTTTTAGCCAGTGGGGTTTGGAAAAGGCGACTTGGTTTTGCTATTTTAGTAGGAATGCGAGTTTTAGCCTTCATACTTCGGCTCAATGCGATTGAAATTGGACAAGCTAGTGTAAGTTTGATTAATATTTCCAGTCATTCCAATCTATGCAGCTTTTTGTTTTTATCCAATTTAATCTAACTTTCGTTTTTCTTTTACCCCTTTCTTTAATCTTTAGCCTCTAATCCATACTATTATGCAAGAAATTTGGCCTATCATTGGAGCCCTGATATCGGCAGCTCGAATACCCGAGCGTTGGTATCCTGGTTATTTCGATCTTGCCTTAAATAGTCACAATCTACTCCATATTTTTGCTGTTATTGGAGCTATTCATATGCATTTAGCCACTTGCTCTGATTTAATATGGTTATCCAATATTTCTAAATTACACGCGCACAATTAATTAAATTTTTCACTGTTAAAATTGCACGGTTTCCCTTATACAGCAAAACGTTAACTCAATAAAACAAAACAAAAAAGTACCTCTCTTCATGTCCCCTTGATTTCAAAATAATTTGATCTTATTATCATGAAAATAATTCTCGTTGATGGTTCAATATTAATTTAAGGAAATCTTGTACATTGAGAAGCTGCAAACTTTACGACAAAGAGTTTCAATGAGACAAATAAAATCAAGGAGTTGCGTGTTCAAAATGGATTCATAATCTTTCAAGATTTATTAGATTTGAAGCCTTAATTGTGCATCAATGGAAAAAACAGAGTCAAATCATTTCAATCCAATTTATTATTAATATACTTTCAGATCGATGGATTTATTCCTGTCTAAATTATGTTTCATGATGCAACTGCTCTTCATTTTCAATCTTGAATTAATCATTAAAATCTTTCTATCAAACTCGTCAATTCACCTGCCTTTGAATTTTTGATTTGAACGGTCGATAGTCTCAATCTATGTTCTATTAGGTACATTTGGTTAGTGAATGGCATTTTATTAGTAATTCATGGTAACATGAAGATAGAAAACTCTAATCGCTTAAAAATCATTCAATTGATTAATCAAACCTGATTCGTATTGAGTGCATACATATTTGAATGTTACCTCTGAGTAATTGATCCTTCATGATAACCTTGTGATACCTTAAAATCAATAGATGATCTTTAATCAATGTATCCAGCCTTTACCGATAAAACCATTCATTGGTTCAGGTTCATTACGAAAGATGCGTTCTGATTATTTAAATATCAACTATGATAATGAGTAACAGACAAATATCATCAAGATAACTAATTCAATAATGATTCCCTTAAAGAGTCAGCATTGACTCGCCTGGATGAATATGTTGATTGGTTAAGTCGTTTTATGACTACATAGAAACAAATATAGTCTGGTTATCGGAAAAATCATCAACTATATTTCAACTATTTCAATTCTGAATGCTATCTGCATCATTAATCAAGTTCCGACAATGACAAAAATTATTTCGCTATATCCTACAAAAGTGTTACCAACAGAACACCAGAATCCTATTTCTGCTTGATTTGAATAATCGAAGCTTATCTTAGCTCTTTTTTCCCTTCAACATGGGTTCAGTTTGACATAAATGTCATGTCATATCAACCATTGGTGAATATAAAATCGATAACCAGCACGAAACATTACACAAAATCTTCTAAGGCTTTGAAGACTCGCTTCTTTCAGCTGAATCATTGACAGCTGATTCAAATGGAAATCAAAATCAGTCTAAGAATATGTTAAATTTGTTGGCAATATTGAGGCAAAGCTTTGATTAAAAGTCTCGTTAATCTTACAAAATAAAGCCAAGAAACTAATTAAACTACCAAGCGATCGGATTATTCAATAAGCAGCAACTGGCAAATGAAACTGAATGCAATTCCATCTTTTGATTGAATAACAAAGTGCGAAAATTATCACAAATTAAACAAGATTAAATCTAATTAAAAAAAGACATTGCTAAGATGTTAGTGGAAATAACAAGTCTAATCAATAATCAGTGTAAATAGCCAAAGTAAAAGTTTTGTGGATAGATTGGTTTCACTGAGAAATTGAGGGAAAAACCGAAAGTCTGATTGTTGAAAAATTAATTTCAGTCTATGACTAGATTAAACAGAAATTTATTATTTCAAGTTCCCTCAAAGACAGCGCCTTAAGACTTGACAATTATATTATCCTTAAAACAGTTATTTCAACCGTCCATTCACATTACCGGCTTAATGTTTTCAAAAATAAAGCAACGCATCACAAGTTTAACTCAAGATATTGTTGGTGAAAATGTTGTAAAATTACATGTGAACACACATTGTCAATGCAATTTATAGTCTAGATACACTTATCAATCCATAGAATCCTTCAAATCGCAACTTGCAACAGTTAACTATTAAGTAACAATCTTCAACTTGAAAAGTCAAGATTAAATGAATCCTCAATGCAAACAAAGAACCAGACACACCAAGAATTATTGATAATAAAATCTGCCTCCAAACTAAGCATCCATAGTAATAGTGATAAGCGATAGTGAAAACCTTTTGGCTTTTGTAAGCGAATGTAATCTAGAAAATTTAAATTTTAATGGCCTCAGCGAGGTTTCCATGTGAAAGTTGATACACCCTTAACAAATGCAATTAATATGATGAAACAAGGTGAAGAGAAACTGGATTTTGTTTGGATGCATAAAAATGACCTTAAAAAAAGCGAACAACTTTCCATTGTTTGTACGGTTGAAGGAAAAAATAAAGCTCCTTTTATCGGTCCTTGTGTTTAAGCCGAAAAGATGGAAGCACAAGCTTGTCTCAGGTAGGTTTGCAGGAAAGAGAAATGGAAAGAGGAAAAAGGTTCAGCCGTATGGTAAAAAAGGCCTTTGATTCACAGGCTGTGTGAAAAATATTATGTAAACTTACAAAGAATCTAAAGCGACTGGATGGAGCATGAGTTGAATAGAGAATTGAACTCCGCAGAGCTTGGAAAATGCTGATAGTATATAAAACATGCGCTAAGAATGCCGTAAAATGCTATCCTGGTATTAGAATAAAGAAAATAAAGAGAAATAAAGAAATTAAATGAACAAGCCAAGACCAGCCTTTATACGGTCAAAAAGGGGGTGGAATATTGAACCACTCGGCCAACGCCATATTTTCATTTTCCCTCAAAGTGATGCTGGAAAGTGATTTTCTATAGTTTCTATACTCGTATGTCGCTTGCATCAGTTCTCCCTTGGATTTAGTGTTTTTAAATCTGTCTTTTTTCGCTCTCTCTCTTTTTTTGTGTCGCTCTTTCTCTCTCTCTCGCTTTCCATAACTAAACACATTTGGATGATTATTGTTCATCAACAATTAGTTTTTTCATTATTATTATTTTAATTATACTCCATCTATTGGTAAGTCATTTCATTATCGTTTTTTTGTTCAACTTAAACAAAACCAATTGTTAATATAATATAACCTTGATTAATTTTCGGTTAACATTTGTCTTTACCATTTGGTCTTGTGTCTCTTTCCTCTCTTTCTCTTTTTCCTTTCCCTTTCTCTTCCTCTCTCTCTCTTTCTTTTCTCTATTGCTTCCACTCTCTTTCTTTTATCTCTTTATTTCATGGTGGTGCCTGACTTTGTTTTTTTCTGTCCTACCTTTCAATATCAGTACCAGTGTCTGCTTCCTTTTTTCTCTCATGTCACATAATCCATCATTCCAGTCTAATCAACCAACTTTTGAGCAACAATTTGCCAATATATTTGATGATGAAGAGATGGTTGATGTTGATTTCACTGGAGAAGAAGATTCGGTGAGTATCTATTTGAAAACAAATTTCAAACAATCATCTTGACAATATTAAGGTTTGTCACCTAAACCTTGTTTAGCTTGACGAATTTCAGTAACTTTCCTGTTGTAGCAACATATCAATTTAATGAGATGATTGTTTGTATTCCTGTCTTTGTTAAGTCCAGTTTTCCCTTCAATCGGATCTAATTTTTGTTTCTTTTTTATTCTGTTTAAAATTTATAGCACAATGTTGGTTTCTTTTGTATATTTTGCCCGGAAACGTTTAAAGACAGAGACGAAGCTCGTCGTCATTACCAAAAGCATGTCAACTACTATTCTATGATGTGTTCATTATGCGGTGAAGGTGCCACTGATATGCAAGAATTTTTACGACATCACACAGAAGTACATCCTGAAGCCAAGAAAGGACGATACAAAAGAAGAGAACAGCCTACAGTTGATAAATGGATAAATGGTTTTCTTTATGCGCAAGCAACTATCACTCGAGCCTTTCCACCGCGAGATCATTGTCCAGTATGTGAGAAAATATTTTCTCCAAGTCAGATAGAGTCTGCACGCTCAAAAAAGACTTCACTTAGTCGTAAAATAGACCATATCCATCGTCATCTTTGTTACTTACCATACGAATGTATGCGTTGTAAACAGGAGGGTAAAGAATACTCGGTGGCTTACTTTGAAAGTAAAGCAAGTAATCATATTGAACTGAAACATCCAGAGGTTGATGATACTGATTCTCGCTGGCTTATTTTCCAGAAAACAATTTCTATTACTAAATTAGATGACTTTATCGCCAGCTATTTAGCCAAATTCGGTATTTCCATGGATTATGAGAGGCGTCCAATCAAAAAAATTATGCGGGAATTGGTTCCTGCCTCTAATGGTGCCAACGAAATAGCAACTTGTAGTCGAAATGATGCGTTACCCTCATCTTCAGATATTTTACCAACCAATAATGATAATGGTGTAATTGTTTTGGATGATGATGAAGATGCTGATCAATCACAAGCTGGTGACTCTAGTGTTGCTTCGGAAGAGCCAGCTGACGGCAATTCCATGATCATCTCAGTTTCACCTTCTCATGCTGAGTACATTGAATCTGGAAGAACTTCCAGACAGCGTAGACACTCGAAAGAATATTTTTGCCTTTTTTGTAACGCCAAATTTCCTTGTAAACTAGATGCCTACCCTCATTTTGGTGAACATTTGGAGTACAAACCGGTTTTGTGTTTATTGTGTGACAATAAGTTTCACGATACAGATGCATTCACTTTGCACCATCAACTAAACCATCCTGAGGCAACAGATCTTAAATATGAAATCCGAGAAGATCAGAATATTGAAAGATGGGTTGATGAATTTCTTGAATCTCAGACTACACCTTTGTCAACTAGATTAACATTAAATTGCTCTTGTGCAACGTGTTGCCCTGTCTGTGAAAGATTACTACCTCGGAGAAATCTAGTCGCCTCTGGTTGCACCCCGTGCAACAATCATAATGATGTTTCCTTCGCTGAACATATTCACCATCATTTGGCCTATAATGCTTATGAATGTACATTTTGCAAAAAAACAGGCCACAGCACTCGTCTACCAAATCTTGACTCAGCTGCCCTCAATCATGTTCGTGAGAATCATTATGTGCGTGATGCTACCCTTTATCAACTTAGTCGAACTTTTCCAAAAACTCTCACAATAGCAAAATTAGAACGATTTATTGCTGAATCCGTGCAAAAACGTCGTCTACTTGAAAAGAAATGGCGCATTTTCAAAAATGAACAGATTAAAATGGAGAGATTAAAATTTCAACAACAGTTTAGTCCTGCTAATAGACTTTATCAACAGCCATTGCAATACCTACCAAACTTAGGTGTCTCTTCTGTGAATCGTGATAGTTCTCATCAACAATTAAGACATAACCTTTTTCCAGGTCCTCTCAAGGTAAAATTTTACGTTCTAATAAAAATTTTCCCCTTTATTTTCATCTTTTCAATAATTTTAAATTTAATATAATACAAAAATACTTTCTCTTTTTTTTGTCATCAGAATAATGTTAATCATGTTCGAGTTGAAGGAGGCCGAGTTGTCAATCTTCCAAGCCCTCTTTCGATTAAAGCAATTCAACAGAGGAATAGATGCAAAAGTAATTCAAGCTTGCATACAAACAAAAATAACTTCATCTCTAGCAACACTAACAATATCACCAATAGCGCTGTTATGAATCTTTCAATGAAAACAGGCAGTGTTAACAATCATCATCTAAATAACAGTATCAGTGGCATTAATAGTAACAACATGAATCACCTTAGCATGAACCACGGTAATAGCTCAATGAGTAGCCACAATATTAACAACGCTGCAAGTTTGATGATGAATATGATGATGAATATGCATAATAATTTCGTCAACAGTGGTAGTAATAGTAACAACAACAACAACAACAATAATACTAGTAACAATAATAATAATAGTAATAATAATAATAATAAAAACAACAACAACAACAACCACGACAACAACAATAACCACGATGAAGACAACATGGGTACCAATTCTAGCACCAATAACAACTGCACCAGTAGCGCCAACAATAGTGACAACAACAATAACTCTACTATTGATCTCACAAACGATTCTTCAGTAAATGATGAAAGCATGTTAGGAGTATCAACTGGAGTGCGCTTTTATGTCAAGTGCCTTCATTGTAATATCGAGCTACCTAATCGTAAACAATTGAAAGTACACCATCGACAAGCACATCCCGGTTTAACCATGGCTTGTTTCACCACACCTAAACCAATAATTGCTACAGAAGTCTCACCATGAAATTAAAGAATACCAGGAGAGACAAATCTATCAACAAGCGTTTCAACAAAGATCCTCAAACAAAAATAAAATTGACTTTTTGTTCTCGTCCCTTAAACCTACCCACTACACATCAGGATACAAACAACAAAAAATGCTATCGTCACTACCATTATGACAACTATTAATTGCGTTCTACTTGTCCCCTTCCTCTTAACTTAAATACTCGATAGTTTGCTTGTGTTTCCTATATCTTATTTCCAGCTACTTCAGTCAAACTCTCAAAATGGCGCCGTGTGTGATCAGGCGACTTGCTATGAATGCAAGTTTTCCCAGTGCATTCAATCTTTCTACCCAAATCCTGTACGGCCAAAAACAAACCAAAGGGAAATCATATATGACCTTGATGTCACTTTGCCAAGGCTCCATTTTGAGGGACCAGACTGTACTTTTGCTTTTCTCTCTTTCTCTTCTCTCCTCTTCTCGTCTCATTCTATTACTTCATCTCTCTTCTTTATCTTTCTCTTTCTCTGCATGTCTTGTATACATTTATACATTTTCCTTCCCTCTCTTTCTCTCTTTCTATATTCATTCAGGATTTGTCAGCTTCGGACGTTCCAAAGAAACTGTTTCAGCATTACTGAGCCCATCTTTGTAATTCAATTCTCAATCAGTAATCTCACTTATATCGCGAATAATTATTCTGCATGAACCTGAAAAATTATTCCACAGCTTCCTTGGAAAGTCTCCTAAATGATAAATTCTGTTTATTTGTTTATTTTTTTTCTTTAGTTTACTTTCTCTTCTCTCTTTCATAATTTGTAACTTAACTCAAATTTTCCTCATTTTTTCCGCTAAAAAATCACCAACATTTACAAATGAAACGCAATCACTCACTTTTACCTCTACATAATTAGGTTTTGTCTCGTTATTTGTTACGTCAACTTAAATGAAAAGGATTAACACTCGATTAAGTTAAATGACAAAAAACGGTAAAACCTAGATTATATTAGTCACAAGTGGGTTCAACTTCCTTGGAATGTATCCTTCCCTGTTCCTTTCCTTATTGGAATCCCTGACAAACTTAATTTAATATTAAAATGAGCATGAGAAAGTACGAGAAGATGAAATAAAAACAAAAAATCAAATAGATTTAACATTTATTTACCAAACAAAAATGTTGATAAATTGTACCTCTGTTTAGCACGTTATCAGTGAATTGTACTTGTCCCTTGAAAATTAACGACCGACAAAGGACACTTTTCATACCGTTGTTCATGAAGATGTAAGCCATGTATTATCATCATCCAAGGAGTAAGCAAACAATTCAATTCATCAATCTCATCACCACCATTGTCAACAACTTAATTTGCTATTAATACCGCCATCACCTCCAACAAAACCATCAAAAGCACCATCATCATCAACTCATCTTTAAATCTCATCGCTCTACCATTTTCAGTCATCATTAAAACAAGCTTGTGACCATTTTTCATCTTCAAAACTCGTAAGTTGCACCAAAATCAAACCCAAAACCGACTCAACTAATCTAGATTTACCTGATTCACCTCAACTACCTTTAAATTACCTCTAGACCTCTCAACCTCTCCCAACATATCAACTTTCAACTAATTCTGATTTGTTTTGCTTCTCTTCCACAGGCACGATTCTCCCTCGGATATCTACATGAGCTAGTAACTCTCTCCCTTTGCTATATCTTTTTGTGGAAAAACAAAATTTACAAAAAAAGCAACCGCAACGAGGAATAAAGCAAGATTTCATTCAACCAAAAGCTAATGGCGAATCACCATCCATATCAAATTTAATTTAATTGAGCAAACATCATATTCTAAATCTCTTCTCTTCTATCGTCTTTTCATCCTTTCTTCATCCCTTTTCATCTGCAACACAAGCAATTTTTTTTGTTCAAATTCATCCCACAACCCTGCTTTTGAAGCCCCTTATGAATCTAATTTGTTTTTTCTATGTCAAACTCGACACAAAAAAGATATTGAAAGGGATGGCACAAAATCCATGGTATAAGTAAAAAACAAAATGATAATATTAATAATAATTATAATATTAAAAGTTGCTTAATCATAGTTGTACAAGGTTAATTTAATTTAATTGAAACCGGTAAATCTTAGCCAAATTTTTAATCATATTTACATCTTTTTAAATACATTTCATATTCATTTTACCTTTTTTGTTTTTTTTCATCAGCCTTTCAATCGGTTTCATATCCAATACCATCATCACAATTATTGGAATAATTTGTTTTCTTATTTGGTTACATGATGATTATTGTCAATAGTTTAATTGTACTTAAACGGATCAGGTCATTGTCACATCGGATCTTGCCCTAATTTTGTTGTACTTGCTACAATTAATGGTGATACACACTGATCAAGATAAATGATTCCCAAGCCTTGAATTGTAAAAGCGTCATCTTGATTCATTCAACTCGAGAATTATGAATTACTTGAACGGAAGTTCAATTGTTGATCGCAATTAATTTGCATCAAGCTTTAAATCTCGTTCGATTCAGCAACAAAAAGCCTAACTCACAACATTGTCAGTTAACCCATTTACATCATCACAATATTAGGCTTTTTTCATAACAATTAACTGGTAATTTTTGTGATCGTGTACAAACTCGTAAAGCACATGCAAACCAAATGGCACAATAAAGGAATCACATTACTCAAGCAATTAGGACATTGAGTTTCAAATTTCTGTAATTCAGTCTCATTCTGGACTCATCTTTGTCTTCATTTCAACAAGTAAACTTTGGTAAACCCAAATACCAGATTGTCAATGGCAGCAATTTTGATTATCAAATGAGTTGACTGTTTTTGTCTTAAAACATATTAGTTAATATTTAGTTTAATTGATTCAACTCCAAGGCCTTTGATATTGCAGCTTTATTTCAAGGTTTCAACTTAAATTCACAATTTTAATCCTAATTTGACCCAATTCGACCCAGTTTTGCCTTTAAATTCACTTCTCTGAATCAATCTTGAATGAAAACAAAATCACTGGATCATTAGCTTTCTCATAATTGAGAGTCCAATCACTGTCCAATTTTCTTGAACCATTTTGAGATTCCATTCAGGGAGCAAATTGTAACCTTCAAGATGACCAAAACTATCGCAATTACTAGTTAAATAATCAATGAAATTTAATTGAGGCTTTTGAAGTTCGTCCAACAATTAGAAACACAAATCTACGCAAAGACTATTAAGACCCTAAGTCTGTCAACCTAACCCAACCTAACCTAACATAATTTTGCATCAAGCCTTAAGGCCTGAAGCTCACATGGCTTGGTAATTCATTAAACCAGATATTAAAATACTTATTAAATCATTAACTCGATATGCTTAACCATTAATTAGTAAATTAACAAGTTACCAATATACTGATCAATGTTTATCGACAACTTGATGTTAACAACCAACATCTCTGGATGAAATTGAAGCTAAGTGCAAATGGGTTGAAAACTAGGAAATATTGAGAAATGAGAAATTGATTTCAAGGTTAATTTGAAATTAAATTGTCGATTAAATGAAATTATTTGAAATTACAATTAAATAGCTAAAGATTGTGTTGCAAGTAGACGGCAACTCTAATAGACAGTTAATTGAGTTTTAGATGAAAAACAAAGGTTACAATTTAATTACAGTTTCTCAAGTTAATAAGCAAGTTATAGTTGTTGCCATTGTAACTAAATGATACAAATACCAACATCGAAAGGTTTAAATTGAAGTGAAAAATTGATCATTTTTAATAAAATATCAAATGATTAACATTTAATAACAATCAACGAAATGAGCGAATTAAACTCTCACTAAACCAGTCTTGACTCTCTTTTTTGTTTGCTGTCTGTCTCTTGTCTTTCGTCTTCATTCCATCTTCTTCTTCTTTCTCTTTCTCTCTCTCTCTCTTCTTGATTGAACGAAGGTCGATTAAATTCATTTGAATTGGCCTTTTATTATTATCATTATTTAACTCACAGTTCTGGATGAAACAGATATCATGTTATATCAATAACTTCAATCTTCATTTCATCGTCATCTTCCAACTCTATAGCCAAACATCTCTCATTAATCTTCATTTAACTTGTTGCTTCTCAACCCCATCATTAAATCATCATCATCTTCTCATCTTTTCTCCCTGTTGATTGTTACAATTGTATTTAGTTTTTTCGTAACCAGTGATCATTGACAATTAACCAGAAAAAAAGCAACATTCAAAATATACACTTTTGTGTCACTCCAACATTAACCAGTAACTTAACCAGTAACAGTGAAAACAGTAGCCGATAACTTATAACAAGTCAATGCAACAACACTAACCGTCATCTCTAATTGTTACATTAACCAACAACAGTGTTTTACCTGAATTTAATTGTATCTTTATTAACTATCCATTGTTGCAGCAATTTGACTTCAATAACAAGCAATCAACGGCTCTATTTATTAAAATAGCGATTCTTTTTTCACCAAAGAATACCTTTTGCCTCCATTTTTGTTTTGATTCACACGCTTTTACACTTTTAGTCATTTGTTTTTGCTTAACCTGTTAATCGGTGATTTTAGTTGTTGATACAAATCAATTGTTAACAGGATTGTTCATTAAATTGTAGTCTTGAGTCGTGATGACAATTGAAACCAACCCTGGAACCAAAGTTACCAAAAATGGACCTTACATCAACAATAATTCAAATATTGATCAAGTAAGTCACTTTTCTGGTTCACTTCTTACATCTCTCCTTTTGTTACCAGTGTTTCTTTACATAGAAGCTTGACATTTTTGTGATGTTAAATTGTACGTAAATCAATGATCAATCTTCAATTTCAATCAGTGTTCTAATTTTGTTACAATCACAATCAAGTTGTTCATCCTCTACGATTCCCTTTCCTCACTTAATTTAACTCAGCTTGTTTACGATTCACTGACCTGTTAAGAGCGTGTTGTTTAACAGATTTGTTTAATGGGTTTAAGAGCAGCAAATCTAATTAGACTATCACCTTCAGTTTAAATTTATTTTCAAACAATTTCTATTAACCATGAAATGTTATATAACTCTACTAAACTGAGACATGATTAATCAAGCAATTGTAGTTGATCCATCATAATAATACGCAATGAAATGACAATAGAAACAAGTAAAAGGAAATCCGATTATTGATCAATCCAATAGTCAAACATTACTTTTTCAGGCCAAGGTTTGATTTTCAGCCGTTCCTACAAATTTACATCTTAATTAAGCTATTGGTACTCATTAATTTTCAGTTTTGGTACAACAACACCAATATTTCAATTGTTTTGCGCCATTCAGTTTCTTAACTCAGTATTTGATAGATAAGTCGATACAAACACATTTAGCTAAATATTTCCCGTTAATTGTTCCCATCAATTGTTCAACTCGAAACATCAAAACAAAAAGTCAATATAAAACCAACCAAATAGGCCTTGTACATGACTAAATTAATGATATTAAACTGAATACAAAGGAAGCAAATTATAACCTAAAATGATTTGATTATTATTTAACTTTCTCCACAATTTATGATAATATTGAATCAACTCTTGAATTTTACCAGCAATTAGCAATTCATTATTTTGGGTAAAACTTGATTCCATCAATGGTAGCAATTCAGTCTCATATTTATAATTAGTTGTGATCAATGATTTAACGTCAATCTTGATCCCAACCGTTGCCCTTAATTGCAGGTATCGAATTGAAATATTTGTTTATGATTAAAGGTAGGAACAACATTAACATAATTAAGTAAATTGACAATCTTAACCTTGACTAAGCATATTTCAGGTCTGTTTTGGGCCAAATAATTAGTCTCGATTTACAGTAAAAGTTGAACTTACGCTTTTCCTCATTATCATCAATTAGGCATAATTAGGTTCCAATATGAATCAGATTAAGATTCTTGTTTTAGTCAAAACTCGAGTCAAATGATTTACATTTTGATATGAAATTGAGCTTTGCGGTTGTAATCAGCGAGTCTTTGGTATCATTCAAGTTTTCCAGCTAATTGTTCAACTTTTCTGGTTCAAGCTGGTTATCAATTGTGGCCAACAATCAAAGTCATTCATTAGTTTGGACAAATTATCATTTAATCATCATTATCACCTGAAAATTGAGTTTTACAAGGCATCTAATGATTTAGATGAAACTATTAGCTTCTATGGCGATTCAGTGTAAATAACAAAACTGTCACCAAATGTTAAGAAATGATTGTAACACTATTAGACAATTGTGATTTAAAAATGCCAAATTTAACATCAACAATTGAATTAGAGTTTGAATGTGAATATCGCAAATAGCAAACCTTGGAAAGTTATAAACAATTTAATAAAACATTTAGTCAACCTTTTAATTAACACATCTTTTTGTTTGTTAAATTGTTGTCAAATGAAAACCTGATTAAGATGGAAACATTTACATGTCAAAGGAATTGATTAATTTTCCTCTTAATTTCATCGAAACAATGATTGAAGCTTTGATTGTGTCGTTTGAGTAATGAAAATTAATAATCATTTCAATTACCTTTATGATTATTGATGTTATTTCAATTTGATTGTCAACAAAACTCTTTGGGTTTGTTTCGTATTCTGTAAATATTAAGTGTGGAAGTTGATGAATTAAATTAAATCACATGAGTAAATCACATTAAATAAGAGGATACTGAGGTTATTGTCATTTGTGATCATTGAATTGTCACTCAACACAATCAAAACAATATGACCTGTTATAAGGCCTCAATTTTGATGTTAAATCGCAATATCAAGCCAACCATATTTATTTAGATTCAAGACTAAAATTGAAATTTTTCATTCCATGAAAATATTCATTTTCTACTGAAGCTCAGATTAGCTTTGTTTGAGTCCAGGTCGCCTTTAACAAAACATTATTCACATGACAATTTAAAGGTTCAACTCGACTTGATTGTCAGACATTTGATGATCTTTGTATTATTACAATCGTACTTACAATCGTAGGTTTTCAATGTTAATGTTAATGGTTCTTATGAAGATTGCTTTTCATTGCATTTCGGTGTAAAATCTGATGGAAATTTTAATGATCTAAGAAACTTTCATTAAGATTAACCTTCAATGATCAAATGAATGTTATGAAAATGAAAACATTTTGTTTCGTTCAATTCTGGTAACAATTTACAAAGGTTGATAAATTTCTTTGATTATTTGACTAAATCTAGTGAATTTGTTTCTTTCCACTTTTAGATGAAAATGGTTCCTCAAAATGGTGACCAACCAGCCAGTAAGGAGGAACCCGAACGTGGTCAATGGGGTCGAGGGTTTGAATTTTTACTTTCATGTGTTTCCCTGTCTGTTGGACTCGGTAATGTTTGGAGGTTTCCTTATGTTGCTTATACAAATGGTGGAGGTAAGTTGATTATTACAACAATTAAGAGATTATTTTTACTATTAAACCCAAATTTGGGTGAAATCACTGGCTATAACATGAACCAACCTTGATTAACTTTCATTGATATGCATTATGCTAGACACAGTCTGATAGTTTATATTTAACCAGAAACATTTAATCTTGTTTAATGCAGCAATTTAATTTCAACTCCATTGTATTTCAATGTAAATCATAAACTATTATTGGATCAACAGTTGAATAGTTGGTTAATTCAGCTGTCAATTGTACACAATTTAGCGATAGACTCAACAGTCTTTTTGTTTTTAACTTTCACTAAGGTTGATCGGTTAATGTTTTGAACTTGAATATGAAATTATGATTATGTTTTATTTTAACCATTAGATTAACCCTGAGACATCAACCAGCTGAGTAAACACCTTGATTAATTTGATTCAATCTATCAAACTAAATCATTTTCCAATTAATTAAACGGTAAACAATTGAAATTGAAATGAAACCAAAGCTAAATATTACAATTTTTCATTTAAAACGTTTACTTTTTTTTCTGCTCATTGAAAGGTTGGTTAAGTTGTTGAGACATAAAAAGGTTAACCTCATTGTTTATGAGATTCATTGCAATTATCGGTTGTTTCAATTAGTTTCAACCAAGATTACATGATTATCATTTTGTCCTTTCCCATCTGATTTACAGACTGATTCAAAGAGTTAAATTGATTGAACAATTGATAAACTGTATATAAATATATAATTTTGCTGTTGCCTTTAACTTGGTTAATTGAAATCAAATGTTATCCTAACAATCAAAAATAAACAAACGTGATTGAGGTTAATCAAGGTTAATCTTGTTTAAAGTAGCTTGGCTGCAATCGTTCAAATTTACAAATCAAGTCAACTTTACCATGTAAATAGACTCATCTATTTGTTTTCAATCTAATTTACAGGAGCATTTCTGATTCCATATTTAATCTTGTTATTTTTCATTGGAAGACCTTTGTATTATATGGAACTGGTTTTGGGTCAATTTTCTGGTTGTGGTCCGATCAAAGTGTGGAGAGTTGTTCCAGCATTTAAAGGTTGGTTAAAAATTGGTAAATCACTTCAACCTGCTGTTCAGCAACTAATTATTTTGATATTCAATTTCAAAAGTCACTTTTTCTCTTGATTTTGATTATAAGTCTAATGGCTATTTGAAGATTACATTCAGTGTTAAGAGTCTACTAATCAATTTTAATTTCTATCTCTTACAGGGATTGGATTTGCCCAAATGACTAGTTGCTCCTATGTAACTGTTTTTTACAATTATTTAATGGCATTAACGTTGTACTATTTTTTTGCATCCTTTGCATCACCTTTACCTTGGACAGTTTGCGATCCTAGTACTCATTGGTCAGCCTCTCTATGCAGCAATTCAACCATTTCTCAAAACAATTCATTTCTTCTTCCAGAAAAATATTTCAAGTTAAGTCCAAAAAATAAAGCAATTTATTTCTGATGTACTTTCCTTTACCATTGAGAAGTAACTAGATTGTGTCTAAAGATCATTTCAATTCCGAAGTCTCTTCTTATTCAATTGGCAATATTCAAAGATCCATTAAATTAATTTTAATTGTAACAATCAATGAAAAAATTAGCTGATTGTTGTTCAATGGTAGCACCATCTATCGGTGTGCATTACAATTGTGTACCAGTGAAAGAAAGTTTTGGGTTTATTGTCCAACAAATTGTTGTTTTGAATATTTTTAGCTAATTTTATTTATAATTGTTTTATATTAATTTTATTTTCAATTTTATTTTCATTGATTCAGTAAGGAAGTGTTGCATCTTTCAAGCGGACTTGAAGAGATAACTTGGTTTAATTGGAGGATTGCTGGCTGTCTCTTGCTTTCTTGGACTCTGGTATTTCTTAGCTTGATTAACGGTATCCAATCTTTGGGAAAGGTACGTTAAACTATTGATTTGTTAATTATTGGTAATCAATTGGCTTGTGAAATAGTCAATTAATTACTATCATTGATTGGTAGTTCTATTCCATTGAAGTGTCAATGGTCAGTGGTATCAAATTAAAATGTTGCAGCAATAAGGTTATGTTTTTTGCTGAAGTCAAATTATTTTCTGGTTAAGTACAACAATATTGTTTATTATTAGGTTGCCTATTTCACGGCTATTTTCCCTTATGTGGTTCTCATAGCTCTTTTAATTGCTTCATTATTGGTTGATGGAGCAGTTGATGGTATAATTTATTTTTTTAAACCTCAATGGCATCGTCTATGGGATCCTTTGGTCTGGTACAATGCTGTACTTCAATCCTTTTTCTCGCTCGGTGTTTGTGCTGGGGCACTTCTCATGTATTCAAGTTACAACAATTTCCGTAAAGATGTTTACAAGTAAGACAATCTGTTTTATTGATCAAAAGTTGCTAGAAAATAGAAGGAAAAGATTCATTATTTTTATGCTAATTTTGACACCTTGACTTGATTAATTAATCGTTTACTATTTTTATTATCTATCTTATAGAGATGTAATCATTATCAGTGTTTTAGACACTTTCACGAGTATTTTAGCTGGTTGTGTGATTTTCGCTGTTCTTGGATCAATGGCTAAAAGTCAAGGAGTTGATGTTAGTGAAGTCGCTAAATCTGATGGTATGTATTGTATTATCATTGATTAATAGTTTGACTAACTCAATGTATTTGGTGATTTAGGAACTGGACTTGCATTTATTGCGTATCCACAAGCTTTAGGACAGTTTACTTTTTGGCCTAACCTTTGGTCAATATCCTTTTTTGTGATGCTTTTTACTCTTGGAATTGGAAGCAGTGTAGCTCAAGTTGAAACAACAATCACATGTTTGAAAGATCAATCCAAATTTTTGATGAAACACAAAACATGGACAGCATTTGGAGTTTGTTTCATCTACTTTCTATTAGGGCTTCCTTTAGCTACTGATGTAAGTACAGCTCTACAGCTATGTATTGTCATTCGGATGAAATAATGTCATTTTTGAACGCTTACAACTTGTGAGTTGAAAAAAACCAAATTTTAAGGAAACAAAAAGCAAACCAAACAAAATTTTCTTCATCAAACGGTTTTAGTTTGATTCAGTTGAATGTTAAAAGTTGGAGATTTTCATTCAGAAATCAAGTATTTGTCCAAAACTAATGTAACTATCATTTATTTCCAACAGGGTGGAATGTACATCATGAAACTTCTGGAAGAGTTTGGTGTAGGAATAAGTGCCTTTCTTTACGGTATTCTGCAGGCTATCGGAATAACATGGATTTACGGTTATCAAAGGTTTGCGAATGACATTAAATTCATGCTTGGAAGGCCAGTTAGCTTCTTTTGGCGATTAACATGGTCAATACTAACACCAATTCTATTAGGGGTGAGTTTTCTCTGTTGGTCAGTCTAAATATTTCAACTAAAAATTGCCTCCAATCGTTTAGTGCATCTTCCTCTATGGCAATTACATGGCTGCTGTAACACAAAACCACTCGGATCCACTCAGAAAAGGAATCCCTGTTTGGGGTGAATTATTGGGTTGGACGTTAGCTGGATTAGCGCTCATTCAAATTCCTCTTTGGATGGTTATAACCATTTGTCAGCAATCAGGAGATATGAAACAGGTATACAGTGGAAACCACATTATAATGAAAACTACATAAGATTTGCTTTATTATCACCAAAATATTTATATATTTTTTATCCATTTCTAGAAAATAAAGAACGCATTCAGTCCGACCAGAAACTGGGGACCAAGAGATCCAGTGCACTTCGAAGAATGGTTAAAATATAAAAGTTCATTGAAGCAACCCAAAAATAGGATTTGCCAAGTGAATGCTGGTTTTGTCATGGACAATTACAGTACAAGCGATAAACAAGTCTGATTAACTAAACCAATCGCCTCATCGAATCATTCCTTGTAAAAAGATAACTAAAATTCATCGCACATTAACCATCATCTTAATCAACTTGTCCTTTTATTATTTCCATTAAGCATTATTCAACTCGATTTCTTATTGAAATTTTTCGCCTCCTCAAATGTTCCAATAATATTATTACTTGAAAAACTTGGAAAGTGCCAGTTTTAGCGTTAAAATTCCTATAATTGTAACAAATCTGTAAAATGTTTACAAAACAAAAATTGAATAATAAATTAACAACATTGAAACCAATCATCTTGACATTGAATGGCTTAAATTGTTAAATTAATAATAACCTAAATTATAAAACCCTTTAAGATTACCGAACAATAAAAATTAAAGGAAAATTCAAATAAGTCCAATTACCATGAAAGCAGAAACAATTGTCCAGAAATTGTCAAGTAATCAATGTTATAATATAAAGCATTTAAATCAAGGTTATCCAATTAAAAACTCTTCAACAATAAAGGTATTTCCAATCAATTATTTGATCAATTCACAAATGATAAACTGTTACATTGATGCTCAATAATGCTCAATCATCAGACCTCAGATTAAAGATGATATAATCAAAAAACAGTTGTTATTAAATTAAAAGCGAGACAAAACACCAAGCATAACGACAATCGACTTATATATTTGTCGATTATAAAAACCTTTCATTGGTTGAGTTAACTCTAGTTGTGTCTTAATCGTCACTCATCAACGTTTTAGTAGCAATTAGTAGTGAACAGTTAAGCAAAATGTTTCTAATTTACTTGATCATCGGCTGTTTAATCCCAGTAGCCGTTTTATCCGATCCCGATTATGTCTCACCTCGCACTGCTTTACCGTACAACTCAAGTATCACCAATTGTCAAGCTGTTGGGCGAGCACGTTATCAACATTCATGTGTTTTAGCACCAATGGTTACTGCTGGTCCATACTTTATTCCTGAACCTTTGCGAAGGATAAATATTCGTGAAAATGAAATTGGTTCACGAATGGACTTGATCATTGCTGTTACCAATTCACGTAACTGTCGTCCTGTTTCCAATGCTGATGTTTACATTTGGCATGCCAATGCATTTGGTAATTACTCGGGATTCAATGATTTAGCCGGTGTCCAATGGGCCGATGATGGTAACTCAATTCCTCAGTTGACTTCACGTTGGTTGAGAGGTGTCCAAAGGACTGGGCTTACTGGTCAGGTAAGATTTGTTTCAATTGTGCCTGGTTGGTATCGTGGTCGATCTCTTCATATTCACATTGAAATACGAATGGGAAACAATCTGGTTTATGTTGGACAATTGTTTTTCACTGAAGAGTTTGGTGAACTTTTGGAACAAGTTTCTCCATACAATACAGTTACAACTCCACGAACCATAAATCCAGACGATATTAGGTTCCAACAAGCTCGAGGGGCTGGTATATTGACTACAACTGGTGATTTTGTCCGAGGAATCAGAGCTTCAATTACACTTGGTATTGAGCCTACCAGAACAGTCTCTGATCAATTGAATCCAAACGGTGATGGTAATCGTGAGCTTTAACTGTTTACTGTCAATATTTGTTGTCTCATTTGTTGCGCTCTTTTGAGCATCAATAAAATATTGTTATTGTTGAAACTAGTCAAAATAAAAGCAACTTTCAATTAATCAAATGATGGTAAATAAATCAAAGGGTAATATTGTGTTGTATAGTAATATAGAGTATAAATTATCTCTTTAAAATAAATCCGATTTTCACTTTTGTCAAAATAGCTCTTCAATACCTCACATTTATGGAGCAATGAAAATTTACCTTGACATTAACAACCAGAAATCAATGTAACTCAAGATCTCGATCTGATTGTTAATTAATTAATATAATACATCTGACTGTATTTGAATATATTTTAATAATTAGCTATCTATTATTTATCTATCCTATCCGATTCTGACAATGTTCTGGTAAAGCAGATAACTTATTGTCAAAGTGGTTTCAATTGTTTTTTTAAATTTGAAAGTGTAACTAAAAAGGCTTACCGTATATCCACTGGACTGTGGTTAACTTACATGAAATTTATCAAGATCCTGTAAACAACGGTTGTATTACAACCTCTTGACGCTTGAAAGTTATTGGACCATTGAACAGATGTTAAATACCAACAGACGAGGTTCTCCCTCGCATCTACATGTAGAAAGAGAGGAAGAAAGAGATGATGAAATTTTAAATTTGTACAAAAACTTGTTGAGATAATTTAATTGAATCGATTTCCATCAAAAAATACACCGTTACACATTTGGTTCCAACAAACACGCGACAAAACGACTCATAGCTTTTTTATGTCATAAATTGAAGGGGTTGTCAGCTAAATACCATCACTACTTGCTGAACGCATATGTTTGATCTAGGTTTATTATATAACAACCCCTTCAATTAGTTAGTTTGTTGAAGACAAAACATTTGTCTTCATTTGAATTATTTTGGTCAATAATCGCCAAGAAAATTTAGTTTTATTATTAATTAGAGTTGTTTCATCAAAAAATAATTTAAAAATCGTTCTTCCAAGTAAATCGTGAACCAGAACCAAATGCTGTTGGAACCAAATGGATGGTAGTGTAAACATTTTGATAACATAACATTCGCATGAAATTTGCTGTTGGTCGATATTAGCACATAAAAGGTGTTGAATCTCATGTTCAACAAAACCATGTGTCTGAAGAAACGGCAAATTGAAACTGTGTTAATTTGTTCATCATTATGAATGTGTACAGAATTAAGAAGTGGAAATAGTCCATAAATTGTATTATTTATCCAGATTGGTCGAGCGCGCGCCACTTTTGTATTCATGTTTGGTTGTAGGAGTTGAAAAGGATGCGGATGCGGAGGAGGAGAAGGAGGACGAAAGAAAGAAAGTGAAGCCTTAGGTACAGTTTTGTTTAAAAGGCGATCTTATTACCCTCCTTCATCACAGTATTTTCCCTCTCTTTCCTCATCCTTCTTACCATCTTTTTTACCTTTACATCTTTAGCAACCTATTAATGATTGACGCTATTGGACCTTTAGACAGATGTTGAATACCAGCAGACGAGGGGTCTCCCTCGCGTCTAGAAAGAGAGGAAGAAAGAGGGAATGAAAAGGTAAAACACCTCTTTCTCTCTTCTATGGTCTACCTCTCGCCCTCTGTCTGTCTCTCTCTCTTTCTCTCTCTCCCCCTTAGATGATTATTACAAATTTTGACCATTTCAAATGGTCAAAATTTATTTTTAATTTTGTGACCATCATCGAAACATCAATAACACTAAATACTGAAGAGTTACTCCAAATATTTATAACCAATGGCCACGAAAACATTTGAGACAACATGTGAACCCGTTTACCATCCATTAGTTTTGGTAGACACCAATGGATCTTATGTTAAATCATCAAACCCTGCGATAAACTCATCATCTTCATCAACTGAAATTATTCTGGTTAAATGTCGACCTGATTCCACTTCATCTACTTTTATCAACTTTAAATGTGAAAATAGTTCCTCATGTGAATCATCTTCTTCCTCTTCCCCCTCATCCTTTTCATCTACGGTATCAATCAACAAACGAAATGAACGGGAAAGGAATCGAGTTAAACTGGTTAACATTGGATTTCAAACACTTCGCCAACATATTCCTGATGGGTGTAAAAGTAAAATGTCAAAAGTAGAAACCTTGAGGTCAGCGGTTAAATACATTAGATTTCTTGAATCGGTTCTTGACGATGATGCCCAGTCAACTACCGATGGCCAAGTTTCATCTTCAACCAATTCTTTGTGCCTCGAAAATTTGGAAAATTGTATCTTTTTTCAATGAAATTTTACTTTTTTATTTACCTCTCATTGCTTCCACTTCCATCTTCATCTAATGCATCAATTTTTACTCTGAAAATTGAGTTATATCATTTATGGTTTACTACTTTATTGTGCCTGTTTCAACTCTGATTGAGGAACGCTTTCAAACAGAAATCATGTTTTCTAATCAAACTTTTAATTTGGTCGAATCAAATTTTCAATTATTAACGATCAATGAAATGGTATAAAAATGAGCTGAAAAACTCAACTTTCAGAACTTGCTGATTGCCGATTACAACAGATTATCAGTTTGTGTCATTAAAGTCAATTTACATTAAACGAGTCAAATCCAAAATTAAAAAACCAATGTCAAAATGAAAAAAAAGAGCCAAAAATAAAATTCTTAATTTTTGTTGAATTGAACATCTGATCATAATTTAATTTCTTGATTTTATATTTGCCAATACATTTGGTAAATTAAATTAACATCGCGTTTGAATTTTATATCTAAAAAGCAGCGAAGCTGTAAGAAGAGAATTAAAAATGACGAAAGTTTAGGCACTTTCAGTTTGACAGCTTATTGAGATGATTAGATAATTATATTGGACCGATTTCCATCAAAATATACACCGTTATCCCTTTGGTTCCAAAAAAAACACGACAAAACGACTCATAGCTTTTTTAGGTCATGAAGGGGTTGTCAGCTAAATACCTCACTACTGACTGAACGCAGATGTTTGTCTAGGTTTATTATATAACAACCCCTTCAATCAGTCATCTTTCAGGGAACCAAATGGAGTCCATTTAATGGACACAGTGTAAACATTTTGTATAAAACTTGGATGAAATTTGCTGTTGATCGATATTAGTTGATAAATAGTGTTGAATTTCATGTTCAGCAAAACCATGTGTCTGTAGAAAAGGAAAATTAAAATTTTGTTAATTTGTTCATCACTTTGAATGTGTGCAGAATTAAGAATCGGAAATAGTCCATAAATTGTATTATTTATCATACAACAAACAAACGATTCACTATTGATTCACAGCTTGGTCGAGCGCGTGCCTCTTTTGTATTCATGTTTGGTTGTTGTAGGTGAAAGAGATGCGGATGCGGAGGAGGAGAAGGAGGATGAAAGAAAGAAAGTGAAGCCTTAGGTACAGTTTTGTTTAAAAGGCGATCTTATTACCCTCCTTCATCACAGTATTTTCCCTCTCTTTCCTCATCCTTCTTCTGACCATCTTTTTTTACCTTTACATCTTTAGCAACCTATTGAGGATTGACGCTATTGGACCTTTAGACAGATGTTGAATACCAGCAGACGGACTTCTACCACGCGACCGGAGAAAACAGAGAAAATCCCTTTTCTAGACCATTACTATTGACTATTTCAAATGGTCCATTCAACCATTGAGAAAACATGGATCAATAGTTATGATTAATCATATGGTGACTTTATTAGGGGTTACAGAGGTTGTTGAACATCTAAGTCAAACTTGAGTGTACACTAAACAAAACACCAAAACGACAATAAATAACCATGGTAACAAGAACGGAAGCAAAGAGTAAAATAACAAGAGATATCAGTCAAAAACAATAATTAGGTAAAATTAATAAAAATTAGAGCAAAAAAACTAAAAACTGATGAGAAAAAAATTAGATACCGAAGCTAGCCAAGTAAAAATGTAATTCACTGGCTAACGTTAAAATTGATATGTGGCTGACTGACACCTAGCTGTTTCATAGCTTAGCTAGTTAGCTAAACTGGCTCACTAAAGTGACTTTTAATGAAATATGAATGATTTATGAGCAAACTACACCAGTGTCAAAAAATGATTAAAAATATTTAAATTACAAGCCAAACTCTGGCGAAGCAGCTTATTTGATAGCTAGCTTTAATCTACTTTAGCCACCTTATCTATTGGCTATAGCCACTCATGTCAGCATCTGGCTGGCTTCGGTTGGCCTGTGGATAAGATGCTCTTTACCCAGAGATCTCAGGTTCAATGTGTTGGCGGCTATACCTAAAAAATGGGGGAACCAGGAATGAAAACAGAGTCATCCAGTGAGTATAAGAAGGGGCTATTTGCCCTTTTGATTGCTATCTCTTCTTACTTTACCCTTTGAACGGAAGTGAATAAAGGGGTATGTGCGGCCTCAACTCATATCCGTCTTATTTTAATGTTTATTGTTATTTTCTGATAAAGCGTATTGTGATCTATGTGCATTATTAAAATGGACAAAATCTATGGTTTGGCCTCAATTGCGTTCAAAAGACGAATCTGGTGTGAAACCTTCCAAGCTATGTCTCGTTTAATAATTGAAATAAAAAGCTGTAAATTTAAACAGACTATTATCTTATAACTAGCATAAATGTAAAAAAACCAGACTCTAGATCATTCCATTTTTGAGTTTAACGAAAGGCCATTTCGTTTTTTCGAAGCTAAGTCAACAGATCACAAGTGAGAATCTGTTTTAATGACTAGAAATATTTGTTTATGTTGAGTACATGGCGTGACAGCTTTATTTTGCTCTTGACATCGTAGTTTAGTTGATATAAAGGTTAGTCGGAAAGCGATCTTGAATGGATGTAACTAAATATCTCAGCAACCTGACATTTAACCAACTTGAAACGAATGTTAAAGTGTTCAGAATTATTGACTCTGATATGAACATAGTTTCTCAATAAGCTGTATCAGAAAATGAACATTGAAATAATTTTGACGCATATGAGTTTAAGCTGCACATAACCCTTTCAATTTTAACCTCTTTATTTTTAAACTAAACCATGGTCAATCAAATTTTAATTAAACAATTTGTCTACTGTGTGCTTCAAATCAGAACCTTGGGCTCCATGTTATATCCTTCACTTTATTATTACCTAGTGATTCTTAATCATTGCAAATGTGATTGACAAAGAGTAGTTACTTTGATAATTGAACTCCCCGCCTTTATTTTGATTACTGTTTTTGTTGCTGTTTTTTGTGCTTTTGCTTTCAAAATATTTTCACTCGGTCTTAATCAATCATTAATAGGTGTTTTAAGGTTTTAATTTCAGTCAAACTCAACTTTTCTGATATTTGCTCTGTTATTTATTTGTAAATCGTCATTCGACACATTCATTGGTGAAATGGCTGCCTCAATCTCTCATAAAACGATAACCAGATTATTAAATGTAACTGGTTTAGGTGATAAAGTAAATGATCTCATCCTTTCTCGTGTCTGTTCTGGAAAATCTGAGAACTTGGTTATATTTTTTCATGGAGATATTCAGGTAATTCTTTAGAAATATTTCAAAATTAAATTTGAAGTTTATTAAATGAAACAAGTGATTTTTTCCTTTTTTAAGTAGGATTACTCTGAAATGATGTCAGCCAATCCAAACTCTAAAAATTATTGCCAATGGAATCTTGAGGATACTGGTTCAATTTTGGCCAAAAAGTTTTCCAATCATGTAATTATGACCGTTAAAGCTTCAAGAATCGACTCTCGGGCCAAAGCTTGTTTTGATAATTTTGTGAGTAAGTGGCAATCGATCATTTAATCGTTAATCATTCCGATCATCACTTAATCTAATCCAATGGTTCTTTACCATTTTCAGAGACTGACCGTTACGGTGAGCCGACTTTTGCCATGGACATCAAGCCTTTAATGCATCTTCAACTTTTAACTGAACAAGCAATCAAATCATCTGATTGGCTATCTTCTTTGAAATGTATTAAACTTATCGGTTTTAGTCAAGGGATGACTGTCATAAATCAAATAATCCATTCACTTTACTCCTTGGATCAATCTCCTAATTCTGATCTTGAGGCTTTCGCTTCTTTAATCAAACATATTTACTGGCTTGATGGAGGTAAATGCTGGTTAACTGATGAAAAAATCATACAAACACTGAAAAATAGACGCATTTTTGGACACGTATATGTCACTCCATTACAAGTCTGCAATCGCGATCGTCCCGATAATCAAATTAATTATAAAATTTTTCTTAGTTTTTTGGATTGCCTTAAAATTGATCATGTTCACAAGCTTTACTACAAGGATTCCGAACCTTCATTTGCTCATCATTTCCAACTTTTAGCAGATTTCGATAGCGATTAGTCTCCACGATGATCTCACTGTAATCTCAAATCAATTTGATCACCTTTATTCAAGTTAGAAATAAAAGTTACATTCAATTCTGTATCAATTAATTATGGCAATTTAAATATTTGTAAATTGGTTCAAATTCAACAATTTGAACCGTTTTTTATTGTTTTTTCTTACAAAAAAAATCAAATAAATATGAAAAATCTAGATAAAATGATATTGGTCAAAATATCGCGTAGAAAAGGGTAACAATTCTTACTAAAACTAAAATTGTTGCTTTGTTATGAGTTGACGTAACAGTGATTATGTACAAATTTACATATTATCAACAAAGATCCAGGTCAAAGATATATTTTGAGATCGACAACAAGCATTGATATAGACACTTCATTTGGAAGAATATAATCCTGGATTGAAGAAAAAGCTCTTATTCCAACCCCGCCAAATAACTTCAATGGCTTGTTTAACACTATCTTTACCCTGTCTCTTGGTAAGTTTAGAGCTGACGACCATTAATATTTCATGTAGACTTTTTTCCCATGCATGATCAACCAGAGCTTGTCCTAATGCTTCAGCAAACCATGATCCAGATTGGACACTACGCAATGCCACATAACCTAATGAAGGGGAAATACATTTAAATTACTAAGTTTTTCATAACAATGTAAATAATGAATAAATTTACCTTGAACAGTTGATTGAACTATACACATATCACTCCAGGTTGGAATGCGACCTTTATCAAGATCTTTAGCAAAAACGACTGGACCAGGGATTGGGCCAGCATCGGCAGTAGTGGTTGCATCTAATATGCCAAAATCGTATTCATCTAATCAAATAAATATAATAGAAAATAAAAAAGCAAGAACAAGAAATTAATAAATTCATTTATATTAGAAATTACATTAATAAATAGATTTAAAAAAACTTCTAGAGAGCTTTATTCATGATATAAATTCACTTTCAATCTGACAATTGTGAGCTTTTTGCCATGGAAATTAAATGACTCAAAGTAAACCTTAAATCAACAAAATAACCAATTGTTTTGGTTTACTATGATGTAACAGGATAGATAAGTCAGATTGTTGTGATATTTTACCATGACGTTTGTACTTTTTTTATTTTTCATGATTGTTGTCACAACTATGATGAAAATAAGTAAGCTTTGGTGAAATTTTAAAGGAGAAAAATCAATGACTTACCTCCTCTACAAGCTTGGATGAAGAAAAGCTTTGGCTTGTTCATCAGATACGGGCAGTTAAAATTATTGAAATAGGACAGAAGAGTTTCGAGACGGACATAGAGTCCGTCAGATCCAACGATAAGATCACTTTTAAGTCCATGAGACATGATGACACAAACGAGAGCATCATGTTCCTTCAATTCCTCCATCTTTGAATACTTTTGAAATACGGCTTCAATATCACTGGCGCTCATATTTTTAAAATAGTTCATTGCAAAGCCAAGCTGTTCAAATATTGAGGCAAGAAAAACTCCATCTTCTTCAGCAGATAAGCGTTGATCAAAAATCTCAAAATCGATGTTGTTTACAATCAAACAGAAGCCCCTTGGATTTGATTTAACCTCATAGATGTTCTCCCCTTGTTTCATCTCGCCATCTACCTTAACAATACATTGATTTTCGGGTCTAAGGCCAACTGTTCTGGGTATTGGAGATTGCAAAATTTCCTCATTTGCACAGTTACGATTAATTTCATCCTGAGATCCTGATGGATCTACATGGTCATTGACATCAAAGTAGGATATGGTTCTACTCTGGGATCGTCTACATTCGCTAACTAGATGACGACCTGAACAATTTCCATCATATTGAGAGGTACAATGAGTACACATTTCATCATATGATGAACCAGAATTGAGTATCTCAATTGCTCGATAGTTTTCAGTTATCGCCAATATATCTTTCAAGGCAGTCATAGCTTCTGATCCAGCCCGTCCGATGGCAAGTAAAAGACTCTCAGTCTTGGAATAGTTGTCCTCTTTTGACTAATCAAAGTAAATAAAATAAACAAAAATTAGCTAATCGAATGTAAGAGGTTTCTTAAAAAATACATTCAGGTATCAAAGGTTAGGAGTCAGAATCTTAATGAAAAGAAACCCACAATAATTATAATTTTTTCAATTCATAGTAAAGTGTTTGCTATTTTTTCTTAAATAGAGGAGAATGAACCTGGAATTACTCATCATATAAACTAACATTCTCTTTTTTGGTAACAGATGACCGACCTCTTTTATTGAAAGAGCCCAGGCAGTAGCTTCAAAGATCCCAGAAAAACAGTTTGGTCCCGAATTTCGAGGGAGGGATGTCATTAGCTGATGATTAGACCTTTGACCAAAAAGTGAATGTCCCGGGAAAAGTTTAGTTAAAAGCAAACAAAATGAACCCAACTTGCCTGACATCTAAAGACTAGTTATTACACTGTTCCTGGCAAAAATGGTTTTAAATCTGGTTGCAGTTTTCTTTGTTTGAGAAAAAAGAGTTTAAGCTTAAATTTTAGGTAGATCATATCATATTTTTCTCATTAATCAGAACGTATTCAAGAAGAGTATATTCAGAAAGTTAATATATTTGATAAATTCTAAGCCGTTAATTGTTAATCAACATTGAAGTTTAAGGATAGGGGAATAGACAATGGATACCAGTTTAAAAGTTGTAGCAAAGAAAACAAAGAAAAACTTACACTTATAATCTTCCAATCCTCATCAGAAAGGACTTCACGATAAGCGATGAGATCGCATATAAAGTTACCATTAATCAGAGGAATTAGTCGATTAAGGTTGGTCAAAATAATTTCCATATAACGATCTAGTCCTGGTTGAGACATTTGGCAAAGCTGGTTAGCTATTATGGCACACAAGAATAATATTACAATGGATGCAAAGTCAAGTAAAACAAGGAAGCAGGCAAGTTGATGGATAAGCCAAGACAATGGAAATTAAATTGTTGTCAGGTTAAAAAAATTGAGGTGTTCCAAAATCTGCACAATTCAAGACAGAGTTAAGAAATGAAAGAGGAAAATAGAAGAACACAAAAAAACTAGTTTGACTTGGCTTTTAAGTAACAGTAACATTTTGAGCTTTATAAAATGTTTAGATTCATACAATAAAAATGGTGGCTAACCGAGTGGCAAAAATGAATCAATTAAACATAGAAGGGAGATGAGAGGATAAACCTTAATGAGTAGATGGAGAGATGAATGAATTGATGAGAGTGACACTTGTTTTTGGTGGGATCAAAATAGCAAAAATTGCCGATATCGGGATCATCGATTATTCATATCGATTTGAGGTGAGCGATAAACCATCATCGATAAATCAAGTCACCTATCGATGATTTCAATTTTAAAAGGGTAACAACATGATGTTTTGAACATCTTTTCCATGACCTCTTTGTGTGGGTAATAACCAGCAATAACCTTTATCTTCCTAAAAATATGACTCGGGTCACCTGGTGATCCTTAAGAGGTCACTCTTTGAAGTGATGGTTTTAACCAAAGATTAAGGAAATAAATTCTTTGTTTTAACCTTTTATTCCAAGCTTACATAAGCTTGCAAATTGTTCATTTCTCTTTCAGTATCAATTTCACCAACCATGAAGTATCCAACGCTGATAAGATTCTGGTGATAATCTAATTTCAATTGAACACCAAATGAGATGGAAATGCTGATAATATTTATCTTACTCAGCAATTTTACACTTCAAGTCTCAGGTCAATGGTGATTGCCAAGGCTGCCAATGCAATAATAATGTTTCATGGTTGGAGGTTTACTTTCACAATTTTGTAAATCGACTGGTATTCATCCTGATTTTATTGATTTCGCTCGATTTAAACAATTAACCCTTCTCTATGTGATTACTCGTTGTTTTGATCATATATTTAGATCACTTTTTTACCATTGAAATAAGGAATCCTTGGATTTTCATGTTTTAATACAATTGTTCATTTTTCAACTCATTTCAATATTTGTTTTTCATCTATTAATAGATAAACCTAGCAACATCCAATCAACTAGGCTAAAGTCTCAATCCTCTCCAAAGTAACAAAATTTAATCAAATAATCCAGTTTCACTCAATGTCATCAATCAATCAAGGTATTTTATCCAATCAAACAGAATAGTGCTTTGGTTCAGTATGATTTACCAGTTGGGTTACATTGTCTGGTCAAAGTGATCTGGTTAGACTCTGGTTGATGGCAATCTCAACAACCTTATAAACTACCAATCTAGTGAATTTTCAATCATGATAACAATTTATCAGAGCAAGTACTTTGAAAAATGGCGATTAGGAAGAGAAAGTTATAAAAAGTCAAGTCCTTGAAGATGAAGAGTATCAAGACAGGAATTGACAAAAGCAAACGAGTCTGAAGTTTTACAATGTTGGCAATAAACATGGGCAGCAATTGAATCAGATTTATATTCATAGACATTCAGAATTGTTGAATTTAGGGCCTGAATCAAAAGCTTTCTAGTAATGTAGAGAAGCGAAACGGTGATGTTTTCTTGAATTATTTCAATTTCTCCACAATCTTGAGTGCATGTTACATCTCTGGTAAAGTCAACCTGTTTGAGTACTTTTAAAATCATCAAGTAATCTTCTCTTTTAAATCCCTTTTCTCTTCTCTCTCTTCTCTTTCTTTTCCTCTGTCTTTCTAGATTTTCTCTTCTCACTCGTTGCCTCATCATCATTATCATTATCATCATTTTTTAGGCACACCTTATCTAGCAAAGGCCAAGTGAATGTCTCTAAAACTTGCTTTCGTGTCTTTAGCCAACAACTTCAATCTCATTCCTAGTCACTTTTATTTTTATAATTTAGTCTTGTGAATGCTTATTAATAAATAATTAGCCATTCTTTGGTTACCTTTTTTACGTTATTAATTATCAGCGGTCGGACACTTTTTAGTTAGGACAACAATCAGCAGGAAAACACAAATCACAACAAACAACATGTACAATCAACTTTACCTTTTACTTTCAACACTTCTTATTTCAACCTGTTCTGCCCTTGAATATCGTGATTGTGGTGAGTAGTTGGTCTATTTTTTGAATAATTTGGTGTCTCATTAATATTTCAATTGCTATTAACCAACAACAATGTATTCAACTCATAGGAAATGGGCAAGTTAAAGGAATCAAAGTAGATGTTTGTGATTCAGACCAGGAAACTTGTGTGTTAACCAAGGGTAAACCATTTCAAGTTGAACTGGACTTTATCCCGGGTAAGTTTACATTTTCAATTGATTGATTCACAGTAGTTGATCAATAATAGAACATTTTGCAGTATGCTTTCCTTTTAATGTTTCATATTGTTAAATTTACATTCACATTGGTATGGATTTGAATGCTTGCAAAGGAATTGTGATTAAAACTAGTCGAATGATTCAAATATTTTTCATGTTTCTATCGTTGATGGCTGATTGGTAAACACTTGTTGATGCGTTCATTTCATTTTCAAAATTCACAAGGAAATATTTTCAAGTTATGGTTGAATCATTCAATTATAATGTTTAAGTACAATATATCAAGGACAGGAGAGAAAGTTGATTGCTTTCTTGACAATTTGCAATCATCGTTTTATTAATGATCGAAAATTTTGAGCCTCAGAGGTTTTATTACATGAGTTTAATAATCGTTCAAAATGTCATTTTCAATTTTAACCATGAAAAAAAGCTAATTCAAGTTATCAAACTGTATACTACACATACTGTATGTTGCGATGAGTATCAATTTAGTTTCCTGATTGTAACTTTTGGTTACTTTATTAGGAAGTAATGTTGATATTTGGTTTTGTTATCAAATGAAATTCACCACGTTTTTGAAATGGTTTTATTAATTTATTTAATTTTAGACAAAAGTGAGCAATACACGTTGAGTGAATTAACAATTAGAGTCTACGATCATGAAATGTATCAATTTCAAGTTTATCTTTTTGAAAACACTGAGACTTTTATCAGTAGCAGTTAATCCAATATCGTAACTTAATCTAGGATTAAATTGTTGCTATCCACAGTTGGTTTAACCTTGTCATACAGCATAAGTTGAGAAGAGTCTGGATAAAAGGCTGTTGGACCTAGACCCGAGTGGGGACTCTCCTGAAGCAGGCAGTGCTTCGGTACATTTTTTACTTGAAGCTTGATAAGATTGACAAAGCATTTCGGGCAGTCGGGAAGCTGCAAGTCTAAGAACTTGTCTTGATAAAGACAAAGCTTGAGGTCCACACCGAGATGAGATGATACTACTGGTACAAGCATCATAACGATTGTAGGCACAACAGCCCGTTTGAATTCGTGAGTCCCAAGGTAAATTTTGGACAACCTCTAATGCTCTTTGCAAGTCTCTTGAACATCCGGCTGATTCTCGTCTAGATAGACCCAAACATCGAGCATGTTTCTTGTACTCTTCACGAAGTGGGCTTCCTCGGGTACAAAACTCTTGACCAACTTGACGACCTCCTTCACCAAGATAATCAATCAACTCTCGCTGCAGTGGAGTGGTACATCTTCGTGTAAAGTTTCGTCGACAGTCCTCGGCTTCACGGATAAAACTGCATTGTTTGTCCAATTCAACGTCATTTCCAGTCAACTCTAGATTGGCAACAAAAATTTAAAAGAAAATACAAATTAGATTTTTTTCAATCTTTGACTTTGAAAGATTTACACACAAATTGTGGACCGTTTCATGAGTTACACCTCAGAATTAGTCTTTATCTAACCTCATCTTAACTCCATCTAAAATTGAATACAATTGCATTATTTCCTTTCATTTCTTTGTCATTTCACGTTACGCTATTCAGATTCATTGAGATTTACCAAACCTTATAAGAATCGCTTTATAATTTTTCATGCTTTACATTTACTTCACAATTCAAGAAATCCCAACAGAAACAATTTGATTAATTTTTGTCTTTTAACCTTTGCCATTACATCTTTCATTTGAACACTTTTGTTTTCCCAAGCTTAGTATTAATTTGTTTCCAAGTTTAATAATTACTTGATAAATATATCGATGACACAGTCTTGAACATTAGATTTATCCGTTCAATTGAACTTGAATCTTTATCAAAAGGCTAAATTAGTAAACCTAGAGATTTTAATCAATGAAATCAAATCTACTGATCAGTAACTTTTGGAAACAAGTCTTGGTTAACATATAAAAGTTTTTCATAGATTTATAAATTGATTGAAATCTTGGCGAGTACAATAAATTAAATGAATTTAGTATTAATGAATCAAAGAGATATATCAGGAACATTAAGACATTGAACAATTCTTAAATTAACATTGATTGAACAAACTATCACAATGAAACAAAAACTATTAGAGACCAAAATTGACCGATGAACACAGGAGAGAAAAAAACTATCATTTTATCTTCAAAAAAATAATCTACTTCTAATAAGTAAATCAATTATTAGTAAATTACAATTGATTCTCATATGATCATCAAGCAGCCACAACCAACTTGCATTGTTAACCTAACAAGATGACCGGAATAACCCTGAGATTGTTGTATAAATTATTAAAGTCCAGTGTAGGCTGAAAATAATCGTGAAAGGACTGAGTTGCTTCTAGCTCCTCTCGGTGGTGTTCCCGGTGGTGGAAGAAGTGCCCGACATTCTGAGGTTTGTGGTCCATAGCCGACACAAATGATATCTGGTAATCGAGACAACGCCATTCTCAATAGGATATGGATAAACTCAACAGCTTCTTTACCACACTTTGATTCAACCAGATTAACAACGCAACCCTGGAATCGTCGATAGGCACAGCAACCAGCCGGTATCCGTCGATCCCATTCCACATTGGCAATGATCTCAAGTGCGGCTTGTAAATCTTTAACACACATCCTTTGGTTTCGCTGAGCTTGATTCAAACAAGGTGCATGTTTAAGATAGCTTTGTCTCAATTGGGTTGCCGGGCTGCAATATTCATTCAACAGTCTCATTCCTCCTTCGGTAACAAAACCAATCAATTCTCGTTGTAATGGAGTTGTACATTTGCGGGTAAAATTTCTTAAACATGAATCAGCTTCGCGCAAATAACCACATTGTTTATTCATTTCTTGTCCCGTTGTTGCGATCCCTTTTAACGCCATGAAAATACCAATTTGAGTGAAGGAAGCAAAGTGAAATTAACATTGGGTTAAATTTTTGATTGTTTGGTGTTGATTTTCATTAAAATACTTGTTAGTTTTCATCCAAGCTTAGATTAAAAATTGGTTCAACAATGTCCAATCAATCGGGTTAATCAGTTAATCGACCAGAATTGATGTTGATAAGTAGAGTTTTTTAGATGATTATTATGGATTAGTGATGATTGCCGGTAACTGGAAAGGTTTCAAAATCAAGGTTATTTTTAAATTGTTATTCAATTTCCGTTTGATTATTAATAGCATGATTACTCATTGATACTTGTTAGGTGAACAATGAACCCGGTTGAAACAGTCACAAGCAATATTGTTTCTTCTCGATGAAAATCAGTGGTTTTTTTAATCAGTTAGATCTAATGATTGTCAATCAAGTAAAGTTGTGTTATTGAAAATTGTTAAATGGAGTAGTTGTCATCAAACTGTATAAGTTATTACTGGATTAAAGTTAAAATTAAATTAAAAATAATCTTACCCGATGGATTTTGAGTAAATACCAGTAAAGTTGCAGCGCAAAGATCTAGTTCCCGTAAATGGCATGATTGTCCATGTGTTTGTGTTGAAACTGTAGGAAAGACAGAAAATAAACCTTCATTAGCAGTTTTTATCAATCTGTCATGGCTATTTTGTTCACAATTAGTCCGTATTCATGACAATAAATAACTTTAAATGCTCAATATGAAAAGAAACTAAGATCACGCAATGTTCTGATATTTTTAAAATTGTCAAAGGTCTGGAAGTATCAAATCAGATGCATCTTTTGTAATCTAATGCTGTCAATATTAGACAATATTAGGATATTAAAAGATTAAATATTACACTATTAATACTCTAATCTGATTGGTGATATAAAAAATTCAAGATTAAATGAGTTTTAAGGACAGGAAAATGAAATGAATTGTTTTTGTGAAGGTTTTTCGTTCTGAGTGAGTCCACACAAAATCAAAACTGTTCACATTCATATCAAGGGCATGACTTTGCTTCGTTAATGCAGTTCATGATGGTGACTATTCAGTTGAAAAGTTGCTCAGAGTACCGTGAATTTGAAACCAGCTTTCCAGATGCGAGTAAATTTTTGTCGATCTTTTTTCCTCCGTGTATTTGATTTGTATAATCATTCTTGGTTTGAACCAATACATTTTTCTTGCATCTTGAATACTTGATTTGCACTCCATCCAACGACTGCCATAGTCATATCCATGGTTGAGTTATTGATTCAAATACTGATCTAATTGACACATGTAGATTTCTGTGTCATTAACTTTAGGTGATAATGTTATTGGGTTAGTTGAAACATTATCTGATGACGGCTTGTCTATCTGAAAAGTACATTACCTCTGATGAGAAAATCAAGAGTAATTTTAATTTCATCAGTAAATACATGTGTTTATGACGATATTTCAACCAAAAGACTTGAAATGATTGTGAAAATTCTGGTAAAAACCAAAATTTTTAGAAGAGAGTAATGTTAACTGGTGATGGAAGCTCCAACTATCTTTAGCTGCTGACTGCTGGTCTTCAGGACAATGTCACCCATAACAGTATTGAGGTTGTCCACCTGTGTATTTATTTTACACCAGGTTAATGATCATAATTCGGTTCATCAGCATAAGTTGTACATAACATCATAGGGATCAACACCGAAAAATATATGGATTCCAATTACTGTAGGATTACAGTGAGCATCGATTTGACATTTTAGACCAATAAGTGATATGACCGATGTTACCAAAAACAGTTCAACCTTTTAAACCAATCATTAAGCATAAGTTCTTTTCGAATATTTGTTGAATTTTGAAATACAAATATTACAAACGATGTCTCCAAGCAAATGTTAAAGATGGTTAGAGATGGTGAAGTCATAAGCTGTTAGATAACACAAGATGTTGTATTTAAAAGACTTTGTTCATCACAATTAATAAGATCACATCATGATATTTAACTATTAGAATATTAATCTAAAATTGAAATAATTTCAACACTAAATTAAAATAACGAAAAAAATCAAAGCAACTTGTTGATACAAAACGAAAGTAGAGGGAAAATACAAATGTAGATCCAGCTGTTTTAGCCTAAGCTACCTTAATGGGTTTGAAATGTTACATCATATTTCTTCCAAGTTCAAGTGCATTTTTTGATGTAAATTTTAATGTTTAGATTTGTGTTTTAATGTACTAATAAGATATTGTTTCAATGTTAACCTACGTTTAAATTACACCAGGTCAAATTATAATTTACCCATTTGATAATTATCATCACCTACGAGTCAAGTGATCAATTAAAGCAGTTATTTGCTGATTTATCTAACCAACATTCAATGCGTGTTTTCCTAAAAAAGGCAACGTTATAATGGATAACAAATGAACTTTCACATGTTTAATTGTCAAATTTCATAACTTATCTCAAGTGATCATCCAACAATCAAGATTCTATGTCTCTCAGGTAAGGGAATGAAAAATAAAATCAACCTTTATTCCTGTGTTAAATCAAGTGTTTGTTGAAGGTTATCTTGTATCCTTATTTAGGGTTAATTATGAGACACTCACTCAATCGACACTGAATGTCAGGTCAGTTAGTATGGTAATAAACAAATATGATCTAATCTAATATTACATGCATCAATTTACACCAAACCCAAATACGGTAATCCATCATTTCCAAACAGATTCAAATCTGTTGTGAAAATATTAGCTGTTTGGACTTGTAATGTAACTTGGGTGAAGTAGGAACGAGTATTTCCTACTAGAATCTCACCACTGTTATGATAATCTCCGTACCGATTACCTGAAATCTATTGAAAGCAACCTTTCAACGAAATTCTGTTGGTATATTAATGTCATTAATATATTCATCTATAATTGAATAACGTCATTATTTTACAACGGTGCGTTAAATTAGCAAAAACAATGATTACAGTAAGAAAATTGAAAAAATACTTTGGTAAAGGTCATTCGATTCAACCCACACTTGACAAAAGTGTATTTTATTCAATTTCAGCTTGACTAAACTGAAAATCATTATTGATTACAATTGTCTTAGCAGTTCCTTGAAAATTGAACAAATAAGATGAGTTAGTAGATAACTATCATGAAAAATTCACGGTCATTTGTACTAAACCAGAATGCGATACTCTATTGAAAAGCTATTTGTGATTGAGTGATTGAACCGATAAATCTATGGATATTATGAAAACATTGAATGTTGACTCATTTAAACAGCACACTGGAAGTGAAAGTGTTGGTTAACTTTTCAATATAAACATTAGGTTATGATAAATTGATTGAATACGGACTCGGCTCAGACATGAATAGATATTGGTGATAGCCACCAAAGGTGATGATTATTGAATAAATGTGTACTTACAGAAGGTGACGAAAAGGATGAATCCAAAAGCAATGGTTTGCATAGTTGATATAAATTTGAAGTCAGTTTAAACCAAAACTGATTGAAACACTGATTTACTAGGATTAGGTTTAAGGTACGAACTGTTGACACTGAATGCACCCAAAAGATATACTGAACTGTTGGCTGGTTGGCTAAACAATGTTTTTCGAGGTTGAAAGTAAAATCAGTGAATGGAAGCTGAAATTACTGTTGAACGGATGTAGATTACTGAATGGTGAAACTGAGCGTGGATACGATTTAAGATTTGCTCGGTTGGATGTTTTTATTGTGAGTGGGTTTAGGTGTTGACTAAAGTCTCTACTTATTTGTAAATTTTTAATGTCTAACTTGTCTCTGCCTTTTGGCGTGATTTCACAGAATAAATGTTTTCAACAGAAAAAATATATTTCCACTAAGTTTATTGAGTTGAGTTAGAGTCGGGTGTCGAATCTCTTCTGAGATCAACATTCAAGAAAAAAGGGGTTTTAAAGTATGTCGAGCGACAGTGAAAAAGGGGAAAGGATTTGGTGCCTAAGTTCCTTTACCTTTGGATTAGGATTAGTGCTCCTAATCTTAACGTTAATTATGGATGAGATCTGTTTGAGATCTCATTTGAGAAATCCTAGGAAAAAAGGCTTATATTGGGAATTATTGAGGGAAAAATAAAGAAGACTTTTATTAATTAAAAGTATTTTGAGGGTGTATTAATTGTTATTAGAGGTTGGGTACAAAAAGTAGGACCAAACTATACGTTTACTGCCAGTAAAATAAAGCCTCATGAGTCTCAGCAAGATTTACATACACATGTATGTACTTTTTTACATGCAATAACATCAATTGAAAAAACCCATTCAATTTGAATTTACATTTGTATGCGAAAATTAGAATAATTAAAACCAAAATTGAATGTAAATTTTGACTTAAAGCTTTGTTGAAACAAAACAAATTTGAGTTGACTTGAAACTTGAAAAGTCGATTCTTTGATACAATCATGATTAACTAATTGTTTTCTTCTATTCTTTTGATCTTCTTCTTAATAGAGCACGATGCCGATTCTGTTACATTTCATGTGTCTTCACTAGTTTTTGGATTCCCTGTTGAATTGCCTGTTGAAAATAATGATGCCTGTGGACAAAATTTGATTGAATGCCCGGTAAAAGCAGGAAAACGAACCAAATTTACTTACGAGGGAAAAGTAGATGAAGCGATTCCTATGGTAAATACAATTTGTTTTTTAATGACATCTATTTGATTGGCAATTGATTAAAATCCTTATTTCTTTTCCTTTACAGTCTTCTGTTACGGTTGTTTTCAATCTGAAAAGTGGTGATACTGAACTTGCTTGCGTTGAATCGGATTTGGAGCTTCAAGATCCAACACCTGAAGATAAGAAGGAAGACGAACAACTAACTCATCAAGAATTATAATCTATTTTTGATTGAACAATTAGTTACTATTATCATGTTTTTATTTTCCCTCAAAGAGATTTACAATATTTTTCAACTTCAAAACTAAATTAAAACCAATTTTTTGCCAAAACGTGTTGAGATAATTTTCATAATTTCGTAAATCATATTCCAATACTGAATTGACCAGAACAGAATGATAAACTCTGAATTTTTCCTTCACTGGTTAATCTCGAGTTACTTTCGGCTTGATATTCAATGTTTTCCGTTTTAAGCTGTTAACTTCCTGAGAATTGAAAAAAAGAATTGGATTTATTATTAAATTGTTTTACCTTGCTAATTACTCGATTCATTTCCTTGGACCGGATCATTGAACATAATTGTCATTAACATGAAAACACATGATACCAATTAGCAAAATAATGGCTATGGACAATCAAATTATCGATTGAAAGAACCGCTTTTTTATTAATTTAGGCATGAAATTTCGTTGGCCTCAGAAACCAACAATCATGAATGAGCAACCAAAAAAGAAAGGTCAAAAATATCACACAAACGGACACCAATTGTTTGGTATGAGAATAAAAAGGTTAACAGTTTGATTTGTCGCTTTAAAAAATATTGATTAACAGCTGCAATCAATTTGGTTTGAGTTTATCAAGGAGTCAGTCTATCACCGGGATAAATTACCGGTACAATTTCCAATCCCCAATCATGTTAACCACAATGACCAGGAAGAATCGGTGAGGCAGGAATTCCTAAAAGTACAAATAAAAGACCAAATCGACATTCAATTAATTTATGTATCCAATCACGAATAAAATTTTTTACCTCTTTGTAAAAGTCGGCAACGTTGCTCATTGAATCTTAATCTTTGAAACAATTTGTTTCAATACAAAACAGCTGCGGTGAAGAGGCAGGTACGGGAGGTTATTAATGAGGCTATATAACTCTGTCGTGAATGAGATCAGTTTGATGAAAATAATTTAATGAAAACAAATAAATATATTTGCTGTCCAGTTTTCACAGATTTAAATTGCATTTATATCTCCAGCCATAGATAATAGGATAAAAACAATTAACAGAAAAGCAGTTCCTAAGAAATCACCTAAAGCTGTCAAGATAGGAATCGAAAAATTATCAGGATCAGTTCCATTCCTCCACAAAAGTGTAACCAAATTGTGAGCAAAGTAAAGGAGAAGAGCGACCTGGAAAATGATAGAATCATAACCAACAATAATTATAAATCAATAAACCAGAGGCAAATGAAAAATGTTGAATAGATTTAGCGGAAAAATTACCTGAAATATTGCAAATACAAGGTAAATCGAGAAGAATAGAATGGTGATTTCAAAGCCAATGGAACCCTTTATCAATCTGAAGACAATGAGGTACAAAATGTGAGCCGGTAGAGATATTATAAGTAACACTCGAGCAGTGCTTATGTTAATGTTGGAACCAATGAAGACTCGATAAGGTATTAATAAATATTCAATACTAATAGGCAAGTGACCTGGTTGACCCTGTCGATGAAGATATGTTGATAGTCGGCTTGCTTGGACAGCGACTAGATTACCACCAACACCATTAATAACTGGTTGAAACAGGGCTAACCGTTTAAATTCAATAGTAGACACATCCAAGATGACACCTCCCAGACTTGAAATGAACATTGCCAAAATTATGGGGAGCCAACCTGGTGAGTGTATGAAGATACGATGAATATGAATGTAAAGAGAGAGAAATAAAGATTTATAAATGACTTACCGCAAGTAACAACATCAAATGTGTGTTCATTTTTCCATGCAGTGTATGTCCAAAAAGGGAGAAGAGTAAACAAAATTGCTATAATGATACACGAAGGTATTGATATTGTTCCTGGAGTAGCGTGATCTTGAATTAGCTGAGCAAATGAAGCTAATAAACTCAAGGTAACTAAATCGCCAATAGAAGCAGCTAAAGGCGTAGCAACATTATCTGGATCAATTTCAAATCGGTGGGAAAGAACGATAACACCAATCATACAGGCACCGAGAATAAAACAGGCAACATTTGCAGTCAACAGGGATGATGCGAGGAGAATTAGATTATTTTGCATGTTGAACGATCCTTTGGAGATTGCATTGGTGGATATGGCAAAAATAGAAGCCAGGAAAGCAACTACAGTAGCTTGACATTGGATTAGAGCCATGTTACCTTTAGCTAAGGAAAGGGTTGATTTTAGATCTTCCATGTGGCCCAAGTTTGCTTGTGTTGATAATCGAGCAGCCATGGTCATTTCTAAGTTGCCCTTAAGACCTAAAAGTGATGGAACTAGGATGAAGAGTTCACTAATTACTTTGAAAACGGGCCAATGTTGAACAATGTCAAGGATGAGACCAGCACCAACGTTACCAAACCCAGCTAAGGTAAATGCAATGCAAACCTGTAAGCTAGTCGAGAGAAGGGATGCAGATCTAGTTGAATCAGCCGAGTCGTCCATAGTTTGTCCACAGTCTCCACTTGTTACAACCACGGCATTAGGATCAACCAGGGACAAAATAGCGGTTTTGAGTCGAGTAAACACTCGACTAGGTTGGTTTGTTCGAGCATCATTATCAACATGAAGTAATGGAGCCTTTAGCGTGGGAGAAGACATGGCTTTTCTAGATTGACCATAGAGGATAACAGAAATACTGAGGATTTGTTGAAGTAAACCATTGAATGATTAGCAAAAAACTGCCACAAGTAAACTAAAAAACCAAACTACATAAGCAGACTAAACAAGCAAAAACACAAGCTACACAATAAAACAAAAGGAGGATTCCTCTCCAAAGTGTAGGATAGTGTTTCCCTGTTTCCACCCCCCTAAAAGCAATACTATGGATTTGGATTTATAAATGTCCAGTGTAAAAGCTGAAAATAGGCTGAAAATAATAGTGAAAGGACTGAGTTGCTTCTAGCTTCTCTTGGTGGTGTTCCAGGTGGTGGAAGAAGTGCCCGACATTCTGAGGTTTGTGGTCCATAACCGACACAAATGATATCTGGTAATCGAGACAAAGCCATTCTCAATAGGATATGGATAAACTCAACAGCTTCTTTACCACACTTTGATTCAACAAGTCATTAACTAATTAACATATTTTCAAGTCAAGTTGTTATTAAAAATTGTTAATGTAAATGTTGTATCAATCTGTATAATTTATTGCTAGATTAAAGCAATTTAATTTAAACAACCTTACCTGATGGATTCTGAGTAAATACCAGAAAATAAGAAACGCAAATATCTAACTTTAGAAACGTAAATGTCATGATTTTCCGTGTGTTTAAATTGTAACTGTTTGTATTGTAGTTGTTAGAAAATAAACTTTTCGATAAAAGAAACAATTGAATCAATTGTCATTTAAGCACAAGTTGAGAAAAATGGTCACCAACGGATAAAAATTTATTTCTTTCAAATTTCGACACTGAGTGTTTGTAGGAAAATAAACTGAATCCATTAGTGTCATTAAATTTGAAAGTTATGTCAATTTTTGAAAAATCGAGTTGGAGTTGAAACTTCTATCACATTTTGTATAATAATGAAAGCAGATTTTTTCACAAAACTCATTATTACTTATGTAAATTTTTATGAGCAACCAGAAAATGTAATTATATTGGTAAATTAAACTTCAAGTTTACTGTAAAACAGATCAGTTCGATTTTAAGTTAAACCGATCTATTTCCGTAACCATATGAGTTAGAGATCTGAAACTTATGATTAGTTTGCAAATACTATTAGAACACATGTTGCATAGAATCATTTTTCCAATTTTTCGACAGTTCCCAACATTTTGTCCATTAATCTAAAAACTTTAGACCTTAATATTTCGAGATTGGCATCACCTAAAACCATTATTATTTGACCAATTGTATCATTCACTAATTAATATAACTATTCAATTAAATAAATTTCCATAAGCGGGTTTGGGTGTCGATATTTGGGTTTTAAAGGAACAAGAAACAACTTATTTAACAAACTAAACTCATTTCAACCCATTTCTTGGTAAATAAACCAATTTTCTGGTTAAGTTTGCAAATGAAATGCAAAGAGTGATGCGAAATGCTCGAACATTTGAGTTGCGAGTTAAGACTAATAAGGGTTTGTAGGGACATGAAAACTCAGTCTATTGGTGCAATTAAATAATTCCTCACATAGATAGTTTTCGAGAAAATCGAGGTCAAACTTGAAACTTCGATCTGCTTTTGTACAATAATGAAAGCAGTTTTTTTCATTAAATTCATTGAAGTTTATGTTGATTTTTATAATCAACCAGAAAATGAAATTATTTTGAGCAATTTAATCCTATTTTTTCTGTAAAACAGATCAGTTCGATTTTTGCTTAAACCGATCTATTTCTGTAACTATATTAGTTAGAGATCTGAAACTTATGTTTCGTCTATGAAAAATCAATTCTATCCAACATGCAA